CGGTGGTACCAAACCGAAATTAGTTAAAACGCAGCTTTAAAAAAACGCTCCAACGTCAAATAAACAGAAGATAAATTTAAATAAACTTCTTCTCTTATGTTTTCACTTTATATAAATTTAAACATATATAATTCTAATTGTTACGGTGTGAAATGTTGAGCATCGTCCAGATTACCTGCAGCCGCCACCAGGTGCTCCTAATTAGCAGGCGCCCCCCCGTGCTGCGTTCAGGGACCCCTCGTAAAATACACTCCACTGATTTTAACAGTGGCGTAAATTTAAAAAATACACCTGGAAACTAATTTATTAATCTGAAGAGTATCTTTGCGTCCAAGTGACTACATGTAAGTCCCGACTCTGGGAGGAAGCAGCCTGCAGGCATTTGTGTTAACACGATGTTTAAACCCGCCGCGCTGCACTTGAACGTCTCATCAATATTTCAGTAGAATTAATGCCTCATCCAGTGGCTGCAGGTGAATTCCCTGATAATTACCTCGACACATATGCTATTCTATACACTTTAAAGACCTACATTATTCATATGAATTCCACATTTTTATTTATAGTTCATTTTTATTTGACAGTTTGGTTTCTTTTGGCCAAAAATGACAAAAATAAGAGATATGTTGGAGATGTTAATGATGAATTTTAACTACTTCTGTGTTAGTTTTTAATTTTTTTACTTAAAATACCATTTCAACAGCAATCAAACTGTTTTTCATAATTGCCAACAAGTGTTTTTGAATGTCTCCACTGGGATTTTCTGCTGATCTCCAGGTTTTTAAGGTTGGAAGGTTTCCTCCACAGATTCTCAGATTCAGGTGTGGACCTAAAGGTGGATACTTTAGCTCTATATTTCAGATTTATTTTAAGGTCCAATGATGCCCAATGCTTAGAATTTTCTTCCAGAATCTTAATGTAGTCTTGTTTTCTCATGGTTCCATTTACTTTGACAAGGCCGTCTGGCCCATTGGCTGAACAAAAAAAAACACCTAAACCATTGCATTCCCACCACCACATTTGGGACTGAATGCTTCTTAATTTCACCAAAATAAAGCCATGTAATTGCATCCAAGCAACTCAACCTTTTTGGTCGACATCAATGGAGACCAGCCTTGTCCAATGTCTGCTGAAGAGAATCTGCTACCACAACTTCCCATTCATTAGGTTGGTCCTGGGGCTGAAATTCCTCTTTTCCTCTCATACAACCAGTTTTGCCAGTGCAGAAGTCCCCTTTGGCCTCCTACCTACCTGATATTTTTGGAACTCCTTGTACTTTTTGATTCACCACTGGTACTGAAAAACAATTGAACATGACTTTTTATCTTTTCTTTGTCTTGTGAGCAGCTGCAATGGGCAATTGTCTCCTGATAGACCTTATTAGCAAGTTTGCAGAGCTGTGTGGTTTTAGCCATGGCTTGCACATGATTGGACATCTCCTGCATCAGCTGTTCCAACTTTATACTGTGTTAGAACGCTCTAGAACATGGTAGAAATCACCTGGATCATTTGAATTATATAGAAGCTGCAGTTTTTAAAAAATATGCGACATTTTGAACCGGTATGAACCATTTTGGACATGGTATCTTGAAGAAAAAGGTTTAAAAAACAACTTAAAGGTGGACAAAATTGGTCATTTTACTGTCTTTTGTCATTTGTTTACATCATTTCCAGTCAGAAGGAACCTCATGTTGGAAAAAAATCTCACTTTAAACCAAAATTTCTCATGGGTGAACTTGGTTTCAACCCTTCGAGGTCAGTGAATGCTGTCAAAATACACTGTCAGTCAAATAATGATGGTAGTTATTATTAATATGTGGTTTTTCTGGGATGTATTTACAGCTGAACACCAGATGCACGAAAGCTTCTTCAAAAGCATCACTTTAACATGTAAATGCAGCTTCCACACGTCTCATCTCCTAAACGTCGACAAAAACAACACATACAGTCGATTTATGTGGGCTGAACCAGAGCCTTTCCTCACATGTAAAGGGAACATCTGAGCCCATATGGAAATTAATTATTCCCGTGGCACCACATGAAACATTTCCATTTATGACGAGAGATGAGAGATATTGAAATTGCTGCATTTAATAACAAAATCCTTTCAGTGGTGCAAAAAAAAAAAGGTTCTGAGAAACAAAGGTTGAGCTGATTTGAAGAGGAAATAAAATTCAGAAAAAGAAAGAGGAAGTCTGATGCAGAGCGAGAGAGCAGGGGAGGAAAATTTAGCAAGAAAAGGAAAAAAAAAAGGCTGAGGTAAGTTGACAGAGTGAAAAATCAGGATGAGGAATGTGAGTGAGCTTGAGGGACAGTTTGCAAGAGAGGATGGGAGCTGGAAAAAAAAAAGGGAGAGAGAAAGAGGGAAGCAAAGGGAGGTGGAATGAGAAAACAGAAGTCTGACTCTGACAGTAGAAGCACTGAGCTCAGCTGATGGCCCCTAATGAAGTACGGCAGCTGCAGAGGAGGAGCCCACACTGACAGCCTGAGTCGCAGTCTGACGGATGCTGGAGGAGACACACACACACACACACACACACACACACACACACACCAGCAGTAGCAGCAGACAGCTAAAATTTAAGCATCCTGAAAGCGTGATAGACATGCCATGCAAGGAGGAGCAGAGTGCTGAATGGCAGAACATTGTCAGGATTCTCTGAATACATTGCAACGCTACGCATTCTCCCCTCCGTCTGTCCTCCACTGAACTTTTAGAGGAATTTTTCTCTGGTCTGGGGCTGCCGTCGGATAAATCACTTCTCCTTGCATTTCTTCTTAAAAACCAAAACAAATACTCCGGCGCAGAAGAGCGAGGATGAAGACGGTGGGTGATTTTCATGGCTGCTGCTGACATGTTGAGGTCAATGTGCTGAAACATGAGAAAATCAGACATAAATTGCATCATGTAGTGTTAAATCAGCAGGTAGAGATTTCCCACCTGGATTTCATTTAAATCTGTCAACTCCAAGCAGTTTCTGACCATTTTTTTGTTCCTGTAATATTCTTATTTTCTTTGCAATATAACATCCTGCACCTCTATGGAAACAGAAGAACCATATTTAGAAGTGAACTAAAAAATGTCGACACCGTTACAGCACCGTTAATCATGAAAGGAACTATTTTATTGTTTATTTATTTAACAAAAATTCAAGAAATAAAATGGAATCAACATGTGCAACAACAAGTGTCCACAAGTGTTCCTACAACTAATAAAAAAAAGTTGCTTCTACATATTATATATATTTTAATATTAACATTTTTTAATTTGCCTCCACATTTGTTGTCTATCTGCTCAACACAGCCTACAGTTCAGCCTAATTTAGCATAAAAGTCCCTGAATTTTTGTCGAGCAGCAGTTCATCACAGCTCAGTCACTCGTGGCTCATCGGTTGTGGCAAGAAACGCAAAATTTTTTGTTTTTTTAGAGAATTTAACGAATATAAACATTGGATTTTTGGCCTATTTTTAAACAAGATTTTGGTGCACATTCTAATAAATGGTGTAATTCTGCCATTTCTCTATAAGGAAAACTTGCTTTTAGTTTAGAGGGTTAAAAAGAAAAGAGCAAATTCTACACCATGGATCAGCATTTCAAGAAAAACTTGCAGCAAGGGCTTGTGAATAAAGTTATCGTGCACATTGATGTGTGTCTAAATTTAGCTGCACCTCGTATTTTGCCTGCAAAGTCCTCTAGTTCCCTCTTCAGGACGAACACAGCATGTTATTTTTCTGACTCATCAAGATAACAGAATGATGTTTCAAACTTTCAGGCAGCTTTAGATTATTAACAAGATACTGCAAACCAGTCTCATTAAGTTAGAACACTCCAATCACACAATAATCCCAAAATGAAATTATTATTATTATCAGCGAAACCACAGGCCAGGCGGACGGCGACAGAAAGGGATTTATTAATGCATGTCAGCGTGGCTTAACCATATAAAAACCTCCCATGATTCAGCGTTATTAATGATGAGGTTAATGAAAGTACGTTGGATCTACTTTGTAAAACATTAACGGTAAAGTAAATCTGATGGTTTTTAAGAAAGTTTGCAGCCATACACAATACTGGTCAGTGACGCTTCTTGAAATAAATCTTGTATTTAGATTATTCTAGAGTGTGCAACTGCTGAAAAAAGGGGTAAATATCTTCAGCATCCTGACATGTTGGCTGTCCTTGTTGATAAAGAAGTACCTGTTTGTTAAAGCAAGCCAAGCTGCAGCCTCATCACACAAGCAAGTGTTTTATGTGCAACTTATTAAGGATTCAAACTATGAAAAGATTAAACTATCCATCCATCCATCATCTATGCATCACTTAATCCTCACTAGGGTCATGGGGGGCTGGAGTCTATCCCAGCTGACTCAGGGTGAAGGCAGGGGACACCCTGGACAGGTCACCAGTCTATCACAGGGCTACACTTAGAGACAGACAACCAAGCACACTCACATTCACACCTACAGACAATTTAGAATCACCAATTAACCTCAACATGTTTTTGGACTGTGTGGGAGGAAGCCGGAGAACCCGGAGAGAACCCACACTGCACGGGGAGAACATGGAGACTCCACGCAGAAAGATTCCAGGTGTCCTCACCTGGACGCGACCTTCTTGCAACAGTGCTACCAACTGCACCACCTTGCAGCCCCAAGATTAAACTAAAATAGTTCAAAATAGCAAAGTAAATTCAAACTCAATTTTCATTGAATTGCAAGTTTCTGTTCTGACTTTATAGCAAAGCAGCTGCATTTGGACAATCAGTGGATGTTTATTTCTGCAGCCTCATATCAGCAGCTGCACTCAAGACACAAGACTGCAGGTGGCAGCAAAACTCCACAATTCTCAGCAGCTGCTTCGTTCAATAATTTGCATGTGGGTTTATAACAGGGGACAGTATATTTGAATACTAAAAATAGCACATTGACCAGGTTTTAACATCAGCACTGCTATGCATTGAACCTCCAACTATTGGATACACCACAGCTTGACACACGGATATGGTTAAATAAAATCGTTTATTCTTAACAATCAATAAAAATAAAATTAAATGTTACAAAAATTCTTTAAAATCAAACAATTGTACAAATCATGGCTCCAATTCAATCTTGCCTTGACATAGAAAAATACAAAAGGCACTGTGCATTAGTCTGCTGCATATATATATATATATATATATAACATCTGAACCGAAAATAGTAAACTAGCCAAAGTTACAACATATTATTAATAACCCCCTTCAAAAAAAACAAAACACAAAACAAGAAGAGCCGTCTGTTCTGTTCCGACGCGACTACACTGTGACATGTTCGCGTCCCACCAGCGCAGACTTGCATCTAACAGGAGCTATTTTTAAGAAACGACTGAGAAATTAAACTGATTCTTCTACGGACGAAAATAATATAACCGCGAGGAGTGTAAAAATAAAAACATAATAATAAACGAGAAACACAGTGCAAAGACACAGAGACACAGTAAATATGTAAAGATGATGGGATATGTGCAGGTGTGCATGTGAGGAGACGGGGATGTGCCGCGCACTTCTCTGCAAGACGAGCGATTGATTCAACATGTGTACCCATCACCTTACAACTCCTGGAAACGCTCACGGGCGAGTTATTTTGGTTTTATCGCACCTCCTCTGGAGAAAGTTTGACAGAGGCAGATAGAAGAAAAACCGATGCTGGTTATTTGCAGAGGTCATTAAGCTCCACGTACAAACAAGAACCGAAGTCTGTTAGCTTTTTTTTTTTCCTCCACTTTAACAATTGTGCAAAGACATCAGCCGAGAACCAACGTGGGCGTCCTGGAGATTCACATTCACGCGGATCCTTGGGATCCATTTTTTAAAGCCGTGCCAAAAGTGTGCCCATGATTACTTCCGAAATCTACAAAAAGAAATACCCAAGTTCTGACTACAGCTCATCAAAACCCACTGAAAGGCAGGTGTCCAAGACAGACGGAAATCGGGCAGACACCTCATAACACTGAAACGGGAGTAAAGCATTCCATAAGATGCGCGAGAACTGCAAGGAACAGCGTTTGTTTTTCTGCATGTGAAATAAATCTCTTAATCTCTTGTGTGGTAAAGTGGCTTTATGTGACACATTCTTTGCGAACCTTTACCAGCATAATGTTTCAGGCATGATTCTTTTTGTACCTTTCTACACTCTCTACTGTGCAAATTCACTATCCAGAGCTTTTTAGGAGCCGGATAGCTAAACTGAAGACACCTGCCGTTCTTTTAATTTCTTTTGAAACAATCTCTTTGGCATCCAGTTTCGTGTCCAACTTTCCTGCGTGACGAGAGAAAGCACACATCCCCGTTGGAAGGAGTCAAACTGTGCAGCAGTCGTAGTGCATAACGATTCCTTTTGGCGTCCAGTCACGGGGTCGTTGGTAGGAGTCATAGGAACCCGTGCTCATCGAGTCCTTTCTGAGTGACTGGATTCCACTTTGCAGTAGTCTTAGTTGTAGAATAACCTGCAAAACAACACAGAGTCAATGGATGAATTGAAAAGAAAGGTCAAAATGGAAAGTGTGTGAAAAGCATCCTGCACTTTGGTGTACCTGATTCTGTTCTGCTTTTGGAAGGCTCTAGTGGATCTGGCAAAGGTAACCCCCTCCCTTCGACATCGCTCTCCCCCGATGACGTGTGGTCCTCGGCTCTCATGTACAAGGCCGGCCTCTTGTGGTACTTGGCCCGGTACGTGTCTGTCATACAGTTATCCACAGAAAAGTAAGTGGTGGGAAGAACCATGTCCGTCAGAGAGGGGGAGTCCGTACCGTCGTCGTGTCCGGGCTTTGGGCTGGGTAACCTCTCGTCGCTCTCGCTGGCCGACAGATCGTTCCTGTCCTGGTCCGACGACCCCGACTTGGAGCTGGCGTCGGATGAAAGCCTGTGCTCGGCGGGCGTCTCAATCCACCGCCGGAGGGTGGTGTGCGAGAGAGGGGACAGGCCATTTTTGGGTTCATTGCGGGGGCTCAACCGTGCTGGCACCTCTGGTGGCAGGGAGTGGACGCCAGATGGGTCTGGGTGGCCGCTGCCAAAAGTCTTGGGGGGTAAAGGTGGGGGGTAGTTGTGCGAGAAATGGTCCGTGTGGCCGCTGCCAGTCTCTTCTTGTTCAGAGAAAGGTCCAGCAAGGTCGTCGGAGCTGTTCCACTCAGAACTGCTGGTTTTAGCTAAGTAAGGAGGCACGGGGCTCACAGGGCTGCCGTCCACGTTGTCCTCCCGCTCGCTGTCCAGGCCGCTGTTCCTCTCCAGGATCCCCGGCGTGTATCGGAAGGCTCTTTTTCTGTCACAGCACACAAACACAAACACTGGTGTTGTAACTGGCAGCTCGTCTGAAACATTTCACCAACACTGTGTGCTTCGTTAAAACTCTTTTTTTTACCTTTGTATGGGTTGCCCAGATAGGATGTTGGCGTCTTGCGGATCTGGAGATTTTCTTCCTTGTTCATCTAGACAAAAACGAATCCTCGTGAGACACTAATTTGCAGTCATGGCTAGCATATGGCTACAAAAACACGCCAGGTAACATCTGTCATGGGCTTCTAGTAGAGCATGGCTGCAATATTATTTTTCTGTTTCTCCAGCAAAGACATGTTATCTAACAGGGGTCACGGTGAGGCCCTCTGCCTGGTGCTGGGAGAGGAAGTATCAAAGCAGCGAGTCTGGCAGAGCTCCCTCAGGCCCCCTGTGTACCACTCTGACTGTCTAATCCAGCCAAAGAACGTGGCCCCTCAAAGGGAATTTGGGTTCATATCCAGGCCCTGTTTGCTTTGAGTTTACAGTCCTAATAAAACCATAATATAACTAGTTTAGAGGAGAGAGTAAAAAGGGAAAAGATAGCAGCATTTTAGGGTCTGAACCACGCTGCTAACGTTTAGAAACGCATCCCTGGGTGGGGCTTTGCCAAGTTAGCAGGGCGGGCGTGATTTACAAGGCCTGAGACAGACGACAGCTGACAAACAGGACAAGGAGGAGAGTGAGTTGCTGAGGACCATCTGTGATGTGTCAGCAGACCCTCTTTTTTTTTTTTTTTTCTCCTCTCCCTGTGCTCTCAAAGCATTAGTGGCTAAATCCTTTGTGCTGGCATGCAATTACGCCAGGGTCAGACTGGAGACTTCACATCCCCTCACTGCTCATTGCAACTTTATTATGATGACACACACTGTACATTTAATGCATGTATTTATGCCTTTTATTCGTTTTACAGCGTGCATTGGTTGCGTTAACTACTGTTTGCGAGCCAAATTGCCCCCCGGGGACAATAAAAACCATCTAATCCACAACACTATTGCATTTTTAAGCTGCTAAGTCCGTGTGGCAATTTGATGTTGCTGATCTGAAATGTTGGCAAGCAACTCTGACAATATCATTTTCAAAAAATATAAAGTGATGGAGTTTACAGCGCGTTCTCATCCCCTCCCTTTATGATCGCGTGCGCCGATGCCAAGAAAATGCTAAACAGAGAAACTTGCGAGACTGTCTGGTACTTTAAAATCAAAAGTTTTTTCAGGAAACAGAAAATGTTACTCTTCTGAAACGTACAGAAAAATCTGTTCTTGGGGTTTAACGTCTGGCTGCCATCCAGAGGAGAGTAATCTCAGCGAAGTTTTAGGCAGACGCCAGCAAGACAGATGCAGTCAAAGCGCCCTGCTGTTTACATGGCCTACTGCACTTGGCTGGGAAACCCTCCATGTACAGTGGATTAGACCGAGCTTCAGCTGCATTCGGCGTCCTATCTAAACCGCGACACGTACAGTAAAGCTTCCCCGACATTCCCGTGCTAACTGGAAAGCATAAAGTCGAGTTGTTCGCAAACTGTGTGATGCTATACGTTTAGCTTGAGGAAAAATGTTTAAGAGAGAGACACCTGTCTGGGAGCTCCTGTTTCCAACTCAAAAGGTTATTCGGGACACTGAGGGGAAGGAGAGCAGCGATCTGACATTACTGCAATTATTTCAAGTGTGACACTCCCTCAGGAAACAGAAAATGTGCCTCGGTACAGACCATGAAAGCAAACCCTAACTAGGTTTTGAAAAATTGTACATGCAAAATTTCTCAGCGGCTCTTTGAAGTTTTGTTGATGTGACAAAAAAAAAAAAAAAGAAAAAACTCTACACATTTCAGTTCTAAGGCTGTCAAGCTGAGATTTGTAGTTCTGTGCGTTCTGCTGTCTGGGGTACTTAAAATTCTTGAACATCAATCACGAGTGCATGCACATTCGCAGCTCGGCTTGTCATGAGGACGTGAACTGCTGTGTGCGGAGAGGAAAAATGAACCTCAAGTTTTGAAATTGTATCTGCTCGTGGACAGAAAGTCCTCCATCAAGAGGAAATAGCTGTTGTTCCTGTGTGTGTGTTGATACGGCACAAGCTCGGAAACAGCAAGCCAAACTCCACAATATAAATTTCATCCGACGGCATTAACACTTATTATTATCGCATCAGTCACTTGGCTTGTTAGGTGGCGTCAGCGGGCCAGCTAAGCCGCGTAGCATTATGGCTCTCACCACGGACACCCACCGCTCAAGACGTACGCAAACAAACGCAGCGGAGGAGAAATCCATTTAATCGGAGAAATTCACCATGATAATCTATCTTCTTCTCTCCGTTCTGCTTTTTCAGACAGGAGCACTTTGCAAGCAGCTGGTTTAGTTTAGCCTTTATTTGTAGACGCCACTCCTCTGTTTATGGAGTGTGGAGATGATACAGCCAGAATGGATTTCTGATGAAGATAAAGAAAGCAGATTGGAGTCTCCAATCCAGCCTTCAGAGCGAAAGTGTGTCACCGAGGTGATCAAAATCCGCCGAGATGCAGACTTAAAAGTCCACGCTCAGATGCAACAAAACCGCCGTAAGAACAAATGTCGGCGGTAAAAACGTCGACTGCGATTCCTCACAACAGCCCTCCCACACGAATGTGCTTTCAGAAAGGATTTTGGACTTTAATGGACTACTGGAATCTGCTCAGGCTTCTCTGAAACAGCAGCTCATGCCAGACTACCATCACTGAACTCAGGCCAAATTGACTCTGGACACATTTACTGCAAGCTTGTCAATACAATTTGCGGGCAGCAGGGCGTAAATATCCCATACCCATTTTTTAAAATAGCTAGTGGAGAATAGTCCTCAAAGTCGCTATTTAAAAAAAAAAAAAATTTTAAGCTGGGTTTAGGGTTGGACAATTAAACAAATAATGAATCTTTAAAAGAGGAAGCGAGTTAGGTGCGTCATGACTCCTTAACGGCACTAGGGGGCGAACGGGCTAAGTGAGTAAGCATTAATGAGTGTTTGTCATACAAATATAAAACATATTTTACAGACAGCGCTGCAAAACAGGTTTGTGAAGTTAGTTAAACATAGATTTTGTCAGATAAAGAGTCGTAATAATTATAATGACAAAATTCTTGAGAGAAATGTGAAAACTAATCGTCACTCTACATGTGCTGATGCTCACAGGCCGATAATAAGATGAGCACCGCCTCTACTTCCTCCCCCCAAACTCCTCACACTTCTTCTAAAGCTATATTTAACTCTGAATAAATCTAAAAGGCAGATAAAACTCGAGCCGCCGTTTCTTCGGAAACTTGAAAGTGGCATTTTGTTTTGAGTCGTGTTTGAATTCCACCTTGTGACAGGTCCAGTCACGGTATTTTCTGCCTGGCCGGTCACAGCTGGATGTGCCCCTACAAGCTCGCTCATCTCCCCCCTCTAATTCAGGATTAACTCGGTGTTTTTCCTGTTGAGGGGAATTAGCGAAGCATTTTCCAAGATATTTGTTCGTTTAAGAGATATTTCTGTGCTGAAGCTGTGTATCGGCGAGCAGATAGAGCCAGATAAAGAATGTGAAGGGCGTCCAGGCGACAAACCCCCCCTCCAGTGCTATTCATGTCATCTTATCTCCCTCCGTCCTGTCTAGCAGATAATTAAAAAACCTCACAGTTGAGACACATAACTTATTTTTTCTTAAACAGCAGTTGTGCCTGATTTTCACCCCAGATTTTGCATCCTAAAAGTTATTCTAAAAAAGGAGAAATTATTCCTTGCAGTAAGTAGTTACCAATAACCTTGAGGGTTTCTTTTTTTCCCTTTTCTATTTGTTCTTTGATTTTCTGCACCAGGAAGGACAAACAACTAAATAAAAACCTGAGATTTTGAAGGCTTCTTTTTCTTCTCTATGTTCAAGCTCATGTGCATTTTCTCTGCGTGCAGCATAGCATAAACTTTACTCAGGAAAAAAGGTCAAGGCCAGTCAGTCAGGAAGCACGCTACACTTATTTCCATACAGTATCCCTTCAATCAGACGGTGACCTTAACACCACTGATGGAACAATAAATCAAGGAAATTGCAGAGTACTATCTTAATGTTTCAGGTCCTTATAACACACGGAAGTCTATTGGGCAGAGGAAATTTCTTCGATGTCAGGGCCAAGCCTTTGCAAAAGAGTGTTACTTCCATTTATTTCCACTGTGTAACATGGAACATGTACTTTTTTTTTTATTTGTCGACATGATCGCAAAAAAAAAGTGAGACTGAGATACTTACCAGCAGAAAACGTGGAGTGCAACATGTCGGCCTTAAAGTCATCACTTCTTCTCTGAGGAAAATGATCCCTAAAATAGAAAGTAAATGAAATTACTCATTTATTGAGGAAGGCTGCAGGATATTTTTAAAAAATGATATCGTATAAACCACTTAAAAGGAGAAAGATGTGCTGCGACTGAGTCTTTAAACTTGAACCATGTGGCAAGGGATGTCAATGAGTAATAATTAAGAGATTAATTGATGCTAGAAGTTGGCCCAATAAAAAATGAATTCACTAAGAAGATAAACGGGCATGCATGTGAGAGAAAATGCATTGTACATTATCTGTAGTACCTCATTGCACCACCAGGTGGAGCATCTTACTGTTTAATGGATGGACGACTCCAGTTTGTTTGAGTTTAATATTGTAGTGAATTAAGGAGGCGATCACTCGGACTAACGGCGATTCTGGGCATTTTGCACGTTTAGCTAGCAACATACCACCATGATGAAGTCTTATGTGTCTGTTAGTGGATTCTGGACAGAGTTTATGGTCTGTATTTAAGCAGTTTACCTACTGTCAACCAAGTCATTATTACAGTGTGAACACAGTTAAAAAAAAAAAGCATGTATGAGCATATGGACTAATGTCTACAGGACTTCATTTGGCTTGAAGACTGAGCAATTATTTGTTGATGAAGTTGCCAACTATAGGTTAAGAAAATAGTTCAGAGTTTGCATCCAGAATTATGATTGTAGCCTTCATATATATTTGCAATATGAATAAAGCACAGTGGTATCATTGAAACAAATCCAAGCAACAATGCAAAGAATAAGCCTCCTGTCAAAAACAAAGTAGTGCTTAAGACTTACATTTTTTGCTGAGATTCACAGCAAAACAGTTTCCTTTTCCCTTAAGTGCTTTTTATCTGCTGCAAAGTCTATTGATTACAACATACTGACCTAACAAATACCACAACATCCGAATAACATCACATTTTATTACATTTTCCCAGAACAGCATAACCATATGTTGAAGAATTAATAATTGAGGAGGTATCTTAGTAATATAGTGTCAACAGACGGGCTTAAATAATGCACCAGCGGCTGAGGAAGTCTGCTGTCTGCCGGCTCTCCCCACTGAGCAAAGGAGTTGTCAGCTACTTGGGATCATTATCTCCAAACAAGACCTGCACTACAAAGCCAGCAAATGACAGCCCAGCATAATAAGGTTTGCGTATCTGCCTTGTGTGCATTTATGTTAAATGGGTCCTGCTATTCTTAGAGCAGTTTGTTTGTAATGCTTAATTATTTAAAAATGGCAGCACCTTTGAGACTCCCGTCTTTAAATGAGTAAGGCACGGGATGACAAAGCAGCATTCACACGCTGGTGTCACACAGCAAGAAGTGTGTCAGCTATTTCTGTGTCACGCTTTGTAGTGCCACGTTTAGGTGCACTTGGCTCGTAAAAAATGTCTGTTTTACCTCATCAGATGCAGCTCGGGTATGGGCCGGAGGTCCTTGGAAGACAGGTTCTCCACAACAGGTGAGTCGAGATTTGCTGAGCCGTTGCTGAGCCTGTCACTGCTTTCATATCCAGATTCAGTTCTCTGGATCTTCCAGTTGTCATTGCGGACTTTAAGCGTCGCCGAGCCCTTAGATCTGTCCTTGTCGCTGTGTCCCCCTCGGCCATCTGAGTCCAGCGAGCTTCGGCTGCCACCGGTTTCGTGCCTCTGCTCGTCCTCATAGATGGTCATCAGGCTCTTGGGTTTCCGTTCTTCCCGGCCTCCCCACGTGTAATCCCTGTCTCGCTCTCGGTCACGCGAGGGCGACTGACTACTGGGTCTTCTCCGAGGGCTGTGCTGCCTTCGCTCTTGACTTACTGAATTTCCGCCGCTCAAAACGCTGTCCACGTTCAGCGCCTCCCGCATGGGCTTCCACGGCCGACTGGACCTACTACGGCCTGCGCTTCCAGAGCGCTCCCGGGAGTCTTGGCTGCTGTCGGTGTCGTACCCGTTGGACAGGTGCTCCAGTCTCCGGCTGTGGTGCCCACTACTTATTGTGGGCACACTGGGCAGCACTTGGACCCTGGAGTGGGAGCGGGAGGGTTCGTGGGGGGACCGGCCACCGAGCTGCGGCGTTCGCTCGGCCCGAATGGGACCTTTTCCTTGGCTGCTGTACAGTCGAGTCTCCATGTGTTGTTTGAAGCCGTTCTCTGGAGGGGAGGCAGAGCGGGAGTAGATCCTGTCCTGACCTGGATCTGAGCAAAAGAGGTTTCATGAGAAATTTAACAGCTCAGCATGTTTTTGAAAACATCACTGGATTTTATTGTTCAAGCTAATAAATCAGAGATAGATGGTGTTGGGCAGGCTTCTTGTTTGAGGACTTGTGTTGTGTTAGACTGTCACTACTTTTTGATGCAGCTTTGCACATCTCCCCTTGTTTATTTATGAAACCTCGTTTTAATCTAATTTTCATCAGTGTATGTTTTTATGTTGTTTGTGAGTCTCAAACCTCATAAAATGATGATGTTTTTGGATTAATAAACCGCTCTCACCTTCAAAAATTCAAGTCAATTCTACATGAACGCGTCAAATCAATCATTTAATCAAGTAATTAACCGCTACACGACCCGTTCGGATGGGTCAGCGCATTTTGTCTGCTTTTCTTCCCCACGATGCCAAAAGACAATGTGAGGAATAACGCTGCCAAGGCCAAAAATTGACTTTCACCGACACCTCGACCCCAAGACACAAAGCTGCTCTCAGGAAACACAGCGGGTTGGGCAGAAAGTGAGGCAAGGGCATGACTACAACAGAGTTACTGACATTTATGTGTGCAGATGACAGGAAGGTGTAAATTACAGCCACCAGGAGTCGATTTCCTTCCGCGGCGGTGTCACAGAGGGCACTTGTATAGACGTTCATGCAGATACTGACGACAAAGTGGTGTGTTTCTCTATGTATAAATATATACTCGTGTGTGTTTCCCCAAATGGAGAAGTGACATGTGTGCACAAGACAGCGTGCGACTCTGCGTTCTCCAAAGACACCTCCAGCCATAATAGCCACTTTAAAAATACATGACTTGACATCTTTCCTGGAGACATTCACGTCAACTATACATGCATACCATACATGCACTTATTTATCCATGCAGCAGAGTCTCTCGACACCACTCTGCCTTTATTCTCTGAACAAAATCAACAAGATAATTCTGCTGAATTGTGAAAGGGAAATGTTCCAGTGAGGGTAAAGAAAAACAAACAAAAGACTTGTGTTGAGCAAAATCTTCATTTAAATTGCATTTTCCTCACCTAAAGCTGGCAGTGCTTCATTCAGGGGCTGCATGCTTTGTGTGGGAGTCCTCATCTAAATGACTGGGAAAATCTGATCTGTTGTAGCGGTGTGTGTGAGTGTACAAAAAGTGAATTTAATACTGCATATAACTGTCAGTCCTTGGAAATAAGCCCGCAGGAGATGGAGTCCCTATTGCTTTGGATTTTGCTGACTGTGTGCCACAGTTAAATCACTTGAAACATGGCTGTCTACATTTTTGGCCATATATATACGAAAGTGGTGTGTTTTGGAGAGTTTCTGCCTCCAGCTCAACGTTGTCAACAGTACACAAGGCTATGGATCATTTTGGAAGTCTGTAACAAGTCTAAATCAATACTGTCGGAGATCATTTAGAAATTCCCTGAACTTATCTCACAATTCAGTATGAGAAGCAACGCTGCAGAAGCTTTTTCGAGTGCTGTGTTTCTGAGAAATACTTCATAGCAAAGTGCTAGCCTGGGCACGAGCCGTACTTGGGGAAATTTATACTACTTACATTAACTATACTGTCACTCGTAGCCTTGCCGTTCATCATAACTACGGCGCTAGCCTCCTTTAGCCGACTGCATTTGCTCATAACGGGACGTGAGCTCTGTGCCAGACGGATGTGGTGGAATTGGTGTGTGTTACAACCGTAATCCCGTCGCTGATACTTAATTGAAAGCAGTGATGTACTAAAGGAGTATTAAAGGAATCAAACAATCAGAATACTGATTAGAACACACAATCTCAGTTTGCTATGCATAGGAGAAGGAGCGAAGTTTGGAATTTAATCCATCCTTCAATTAAATCAAATTGTACTCCTCACTGTTTGGTTTGATCTGCTTGTATTTGTTTGTTAATACTCATGTAGACCACAGACAGAGGAACCAATAGCTCTGACTATGAGAGAGGGGGGATCAAGGCAGGCTCCAACAGACGTCAGCACTTAATCCCCTTTCTGACACATTGCTCCCGAACCGAGGGTTACATAAGGGCCGGGGGAAGTGGAGGGCTAGCCTTTTGTATCATAATGCCTGGCGATTCTCATGTGTCCGTGCGGTATTGCATCTGCAGTCTAGTCCTATAGATCTACCACCAACCTCTGTGGCGGGTCTCCGGCCTCCGCGGACCGCTCCTGTCCGGCTCTCTCCTGGTCGTATGCATCCCTCGAACCTCTCCTACTCTCTGGGCAACTTCTCGAGAAAGCTCCTTTAAGCGACTCCTGGGATCGCCGATTTTCACTAACAAAAAAACAAACAAAAAAACAATGATAAGTCATGTATTGGACACATTTTCCCCTGTTGAAAGACAAGAATTATATACCTAGTTTGTGATTAATGCTGACCTTTTTAAAAGAAAAAAAACCTGCAGAATCTGCTGAAGCAGGGGGAGATTTCCACCACTGCAGACACCATTAAAGTATTTTTATCCCAGTGTACATATCGATATCTATTGTCACTACATCCTTTTTCTTGTCGCTGTTTTCTGCCTCTTAGTCCCCAGCACCCTCAAGGCACTGAGCAGCTGCTGCGCGAGGAGACAGAGGTGAACTTTACAGCGCATCAGTGTGCTGATGTATACGGGAGATTTTCTGCTACATGAGGGGAAAGGCAGCAGGGAGGAAACATGGCAGAGGCTCCTCTGCCCCGTCTTTGGCAGACATTCGCTTTGAAGCAAAATGATTAACAATGGCAGCAGGTAACATAATCATACTGCAGCTTTGTTAGCTGTCTGAGATTTCAGAAGAAAGCACTGTGAAGAGGAAATGACAGTTAGGAAAAAAAAGTACCAGGTGTTTTTGAGATTCTGTTTTTGGGATCCAGCTCGGTTTTTAAAAAAGCAGAATACGCAGCAGTTCACAACATGATGAATCACAGCCTAATAATTTGACTTCAAATTTGACTTTGCTGCTCGTGAAAGCTGTGGGCAACTGCTGACATTTCATTGTCTTGAAGCCTTCTCTCCCTACACCACAGCTTAAAGGAAACACTTTCAAGTGGAGAGAAACAATGGACAGCAGTTCAAGGACATTCATAACGCGATGATTAAGAATTGAAAAAAAAACACAATGTGCAATAATATCAAAGATGGGGCCATTTTCCTCATCTTAGCAACTCTTTTTCTAATTTTACACTCTTCTCTCTGCTTGCACTTAAGTACGTGCAGAATTGGCGACTCTTTGTGACCTCTCTTCTCCACGAGGGTCCCTAATCCCCTCTGTATTACTAACATGGGCAGATTTAGTTTTACAGCAAAGACATTTAATTATCTCTTCCTCTAGTTGCTATGCCGGATCTGTGCTTGTCTACACCCTCGGAGGACAAAAATATTTATAAAATAAGCAGTCTTTCGAAGCGATGAGTACAACCAGCGCACAATGTGACTCATCGGTCTTTGTGCATGTTTTCTTATTCACTAGAAAGTGCACACTGTGTGTTTAAACCTCGGTTTAACACTGCTAATGATAATTTTCTTCAATTTGCAGTGAAAACAAGTAAAGGTACTTTACACACTTGAAACTATCAGTCCAGGAATCAAAACTAGATGCTCTTTTGTCAATCCTTTTCGCATGTTTTCCCTTACCTGGTCCCCGTCCTCCGCTGGTCTGAGCACTACCCCTGCTGAAGGTCGAAGGGGTCTTCTGTTTGAAGGAATCGTGGCCCAACAGAGCATTCAGGTTCTCTCTGGTGAGGTCCAGCTTCTTGGGGGCTGAAACTGGAGACTCAAAGCCTGCAGAGGGAGGAAAAAAACATCAAGCTAAGGTCATTAATTTTGGATTTTCCTTTTCCAGGAAAAAGACAATAACCTCAAGGTGCAAAATAAAATGTGAATTTGGCATCGAAGAGCACGCCGAGTTCACCTGAAACTAAGAAAGTCAATTCAAATTGCAAAATCCACACAATGTTCCTCTTGGTTTTTGGAGGATCATCCAGTTTAGTCGGCCGCCCTGTCAGCTCTGATGGACAGTGAGCGGCTGCCACAGCTTGGACCTGGGGCACGGCCAGCATGGAGGGTTGGAGGAGGATCTTTAAAGGGGATAAAAACCTCCCTATCCACACAAATCCAGGGATATTTAATCCCAATAGCAGAGATGTTCAGCTGTTGTCATCAACAAATTTTCATTGCTGCCCGGCAGCAGAGGAAACAAATATGATTTTGGATTTTACACGTTAAAATAAAGAGCTTGCAAATGTTTCTCTCATTTGGAATTCCGGTTTTGTTTACAGTTCATTCAAAGTGCAGAGAGGGAGCAAAGGTGCTAATTTAAATAAACTAGCAGCACAGCAAGAATTCTGTGTGAAGTAAAAAAAGAGGTATTTTCGTATTTCTACACGAGATCATGTTTGTTCTTTGTCAAAAACTTAGCCAAACTCCATCTGAAAGTACAGAGGCAAGTGGGTCAAAAGAAGATAAATAAGTTACACTTCAGCTCACTGAACAAACAACCCAGCTCCAAGATCAGAAACTAAATTTGAATTTCAAGATGAATCACTCGGAGACAAACTTTTTGGCAAAACTAATGTTGCATTTAGAAAACCGTTTTCACAGTTTTTCCATTCACCACTCTAATATCAAGGCTAAAAATACAGACAGCTGCTCACCTCGGTTTCACATTACTGGGTGTTTTATGATTACAATTAAAAAGGTCATTTGGGATGTGATTGTAACCGGTGAATGCAAAGAAAAAGAACAACAGTGATGTCATTTCCACACACAATCAACGCTTAATCTAACCCGATAATCAGGATTTTAAATGCCAACATGAGCTGCTCTTTATTAGGATCCTCGTTGCCATAAAGGTTGGCACAATCAGAATTATGATTGTCAACAGAACTGATTTGCGTACCTTGCACTTCCCCGTTGACGGGGGTCTTGTAGTGGCTGCTGTTCTGTCTCGAGGCATCGTCCGTGGTGATAGCGCTCCCGTCAGGGTTGGAGTAAAAAAGGAGGAGAGGCTGGAAGTGACCTTTGATACATTTGCTGACCACATCTTTCCACCGGGAGCCAATCTGCAGCGAAAGACAAAGAAACGCTGGGTCAATGCGCATGTAGTAGCACATTAGAAAGAGGAATTCTGCAGTTAGGTGTGACAATGCAGAGAGGAACAACCCGCATTCTCCATCTACATGCTTTCTGAAGACATTAAAGGGTTTAAAATGGATTTTCCTGATGGGCTCTCGCGTGTTTTCAGCAAATCGAAGATGTTTAGTCCTAATCAAGTGACCACGGTCCAATTCAATTTAGAAAAGCCGACAGATTACGTGCACATAAAAGGAAAACTGTGACCCTATCTGTTTAATCTCACAGAAAGGTATCAAGATAATAACTGTGGTGGCATCAAAAGATCTTAATCCTAGAGGAAAGTATTCCGCGCTCCCAACTTCTAAACCAAACCTCGTCTTCATCGGGCACAGTTTAATTTTTGAGCGAATACAACGCGCCGAGGCCAAATCACACAATCACATTAGCTAAGCCATGTAAGGTGCGTGTCTCGCCACAAAGGCGCCACAAAGGCAGGCTGCAGGCTAACAGATGCTTGTGTGCTCCTTAATTAAGCAAATGACAGGGGAAGAGGGGAGGGAAGGAGAAAGGAGGCTGGGAAGAGGTAGAACAACCAGGGTGAAGAAGAAACAATGCTCAGCCAATGAAGAGAGACAAAAATATATATGTCACAAAGATTGTGTTTGAGGGAATAAACACAAATACAGGAGGTAGACAAGCATGTCCACTTGTGTGGGCTTGCTCCTGGTAAATAGAGACACAGTTTTGTCATTTTAGATCCATTTTTAACTTGTGAGGTGCAACATTTGTAGGACTTTTGGCCACATCTGCCTTTCCTCTACAGCTTCGTCCTGTTTTTCCCTCCTCATTGTGGATTTCCAGGTTTCTACAATTTTGCACAAATTCTAATGCTGATGTAATTGTTGGCAGCTTTAAACTAATGTCCAATCATTGACTACTGGTGCATTTATTTAGAATGAGAGGATATGATTCGTGTAATGTGATAGTTATGCTATCCACAACACAAACATGACGGACACTCACGAGCCTATCAGACCCTCCAGCAAGCTCCTATGTTTGTAATTTAGCAGAATCATATTTTACACACTGGAAAAGCAGTGATTAGTCCACATTGCAGTAGTCATTTAGTGGCTGGGACTTGGGGAGTCACACAAATGCTGGCAAGTTTCGATCCAGGTATGGACTTGGCAGGCGCTAAGTACTGTAGCTCCTCCATCTCAGTCGGGAGGGGTTGCACACACAGCACAAGCTGCTGATGGATTGACACGGAGCCAGCCAGCCACTGCACCACAGTCCCCGAGAACACTGTGGGGATGTGAGACAAATGGCACGCTCGCATGTGCACACCATGGAAATAAATCCAACATTAAGGGAGGAAAAGGAAATTATGGGTGGGAAGACTCTGAAGCTAGCACATGCACACCAACTCGGCTGCAAAACACAAACAAAAACACTGCCTCGCTCAGACATACACACACATACAACGCAACTCAGCATTTTCAGTGACCCTTAACTTTAACCAGTGAAGGGATCCATAAAAAGATCTTTACTGGTTAAGCTAAACTTCAATACTGCAGTACTTTGTGATTACAGAGTTGGGGATTTGCAGTACAGATAGGGGGTGGGGGTTGGGGGTTTGGCTGACTCTTCAGTGCCATAAAGGCTCATCAACCCAGAGGCACATGGAGTGCAATCGATGTGGCCCTTATTGGACGATAAAGAGACTTGGTGATGGAGATGATAGAGAGTCGACATCGCTACTCTTTGCAGCTGCTTGTAAAAACAGAGCGAGTTTAATCAACTTACAGCAGCACATTTTTGCGGAAAAAAAAAAAACCAAATTCTTAAATAACATTTAACAACTTGATGTCGAACATCTAAATATCCTCTGGGAGCCATAAATGTTTTCCTTTTTTGATACTCAAATCACACAAAGTCTGCTAGCTAACTCGGCTCTTTCGCAGTATAAAAATGTCAAAATAAAAGCTTTTTGTGTGAGTTGTACAAGCTCAGTGTTATTAAAAACGTTCTGCTGCGATGTATCCATTATCACTTATTTTGCAATTACCCTAAAGCACAAAATGATTTCTTAAAACTGCTTACACCATCTGACGCGCATTCCAAAATCCTACAATATCAATTAATTAAAGGAAATATTGAAAAGCAGCAAATCCCATCATTTAGGAAAGAATGCGTTTGGCGCGATTACTGACGTACACAATTAATTCAAAACAAAAACGGTTGCTGATTATTTTTCCGTCAATTAACTGGGTGATTAACGGACTAATGATTGTCCGCCCCAGTGCGCGCTTTCTCACCTCTTTCACTGTTGCATCATCAAAGAAGACCCATTTGGAGGATTTGGTGTGGAAGGCGAAGGCACAGTAGTGGCGGCTGGAGTAGCAAATCATTCCCACGAGCAGCAGCTCTCCCTTTTTGGCATGTTCATCTGTCACCCTGTAGAAGAGCTGTGTCCACAAAAAACACACACATATATATATATATAAATATAAATGCCAAATAATCATGCACATCATCGCTACACTAAGTAAGAAGGGAAGCGAGGGGATGCTGGAGCTACCGGGATCAGTTACTCCATCTGTTTGCAGATTAAAGTCGAAGGGAATGAAGCCGCATTGATTTGACAATCAGCACAAGTAATGGTGGGTTTGAATCAGCGCAGGCGAACTTGACATCTTAGCTACAGTAGTACACAGTGTTCTTGGCATTATTAATACGCAATGTCATTTTCTATTTTCCTTTATCGCAGAAAAACACAGGGAAAGTGTTGGAGAACAATCGCTCGCTTCTCCCTCCCATGTTTTCCCCTGCACAGCCTGTTCTCTGTCTGCCTCCAACTCTCTCAAACAATAGATTTCAAAGCAAACGATGGGGGTGGAGGGCTCCCTTTAACACCCAATAAAGTCACATGAAATGCTCTGTAATGAATAAAGGCCTTTGTGGCACAGGGTGGGCGGGTGGGTGGGTCCGACAAATTCTTCTGATTGCATGCTTTGGAAATGCGCAAGAGGGAGCTGTCAAATAAATGGTTTGAATACTTCAATAAAAAAAAAAAAAAAAAGAAAAAGTTATGTAATGTGTGGAGTGTATGAGCATGTCCTGTTCTGGGCTAAACTGATTGATTTTTGCTTGTGAAGCACATCCACCCAGCGGACCGATGAGAACAGGCTACTGAGGAATATTTGATAAATCAAGCACCATTGTACTCGGTATTGAATGTGAAAACGGCTCAGAGTTTATCCTTATTCATGGGCAGCAAAACAACATTTTATGAGAATAAGGCAAAAACACATCCCTGCATACTTGTTATCAAGAGCGTGTAAATATAAATAGTGCAACAAAAGCAGACCTTAAACACATTTTCCTCCCAGTCTCAGTGATGCCTGTTCAGCCCACATGTTCTCTTAGACAAGCACACACATGCTCAGGCTCACAAAGATGAGGGGAGGGGCTTTTTGACAAGCTGACCAAGGCCAGCAGGGGCTTTTTGATCAGCGGCGTGGGCCAACTGGGCATTGGGCGTTGACTGCTTACGCAACAGGCCCGACTTAGAGAGAAATAAATCCCCACTTTATTTCCCACATATGTTCGATTGCACCAAAATAAACTGACCCCAACACAGCAGAAGAGACAGCAGTTGTGTGACAGCAAGTTGTGTAAATGAAAAAAAAAAAAGATCCACTCGTACTCTGACAAATTCAGTCAGCTCTTTTGATACCCATTTTGTTTAGTCAGAAACTAGAAACATCTAGATAAACGACTGTGCCTACCGCAGAGAGACTGAGATGAGGCCCCAGTGAGCGGATAACATCCTCGGTCAGGTCTGACTGATCAGAGTCCCAGACAAAACCAATGGTAACTATTTCCGGGGAGTTCATGAGGACTCGTCTGATCTTGATCCTTTGGCCACAGTTGCTCTGAGGGAGGGAAAAAAAAAGGGGGGACAAAAACACAATGAAAGACTACAAATTTAACCAAAAGGAAACTTCGGCTAACTACAAAGTGGATTCTCTAACTGGCTAGTCGATAAAAATTCACTGGAGTCCAGGAGAAAATCAGCAAACACTGCCCTAAAATCTATTAAACGTAAGAACCATTTTACACAGAAAACCGATGCAGCTCGACTCTAGTAGGCGAGGTGGCTTCAGTATTAAAAGACACTTAGAAAAGAGCGCATACCGGACAGTTACGAAGATCCCCTATCGTACTCGCTGCTTGTAACAGTTCCCCAAAAGACTCGTCTCTGCGCTGAAGCATCTGTTGACTGAGTAAGAAGAGTCACAGTGTGAAAGACACATTGTCAGCAGAGAGCGCAGAAAACAACAAGCGAAGAAGACAACAGGAAACAGACAGAGACAAATAAAGATTAAGGTATGCTGGGAGGATATAACCCTCTGCGTGTGAAATGTTGGCAGACAAAGTCGAGCTATGACTTTGCGATACCGCCAAAGGAGGCATGAAAACAGAGCGGAGGGAGACGGAAGACAAAAGCGAGGCAATGAAAGTTTTGACTTACCAGAGTGCGGTGGTGGAGACATAATGCACCAGCTCTGTAAACGGCAGCGGGTCGGAGGATGCCCCACAGCTACGGCACACAGACTGCAGAGGAGGGGGAGAGTTAGTGACCAAGAGGGCGACGAACAAAGAAAAAAGTTACAGAAACACATAGACCAGCTTGTTTAACCCCTACCAAGGACTAATTATCACATCAGAAAAACAATCACAGGCAATAAAAATCTTTAATTCGTATAAAATATGGCAAGAAATTAAGACATGATCTTGCTGCTTTCCTTCTGTAGCATTCTTTAAAGTCCAGTGATGAACCTACCAGGAGTCAAATTAATATCTAAAGTTCTCAATCTGTCTCCAACCCAGCCTATTCTCATTTAACTTTGATGATAGTTACAGGATTCAGTGCCCCAAGCTTGAGGTGGATCAAAATCCACTGACTATGTCCCCCCCCAAGAGATTCAGTCCAAAGGCACGTTATCTGCTCGATTCAAAGACAGAGCTGGTTTGGGACACAGACAAGAGTCAGCGATGGCCATCAGAGCCACAGGGAAGGGCGGTGTGCAATGTTGTGCCGTGCTGGAATTTATGTCTACACCATCTGTGATTTATCTGGTACAGCTCCTGCTGCAGCTCGGTGGAACCCGACCAGAAACACCCTCCGTATTCCACTGGGGGCGACGCGGTATCAAAACATGACGGATTGGATTTCTATTGTCTCCGACAGTGATTCATGTACCTGTCTGAGGGAGTGTGTGCCGCTTAATCCTAACACTGGCCAGTGTGTGTGTACAGCTATCCACATGTCACTGTGTAAGCTGTGCAAATATTACATGAACTAAAAAAAAAAAAAAAACTCCAAACATAAACTTCACATAACTTCCTAAAAAGCACAATATTATTTTTCTAGTCGCCCACTTACCTGCTCATAAAGCGACATCGCAAACTTCTGATGTGTAATGCAAGACTTGGAAGTGCAGGCATCCGTCTCCTCAGGCACAATGTGCAGGTGAATCCTCTCCAGTATGTTCTCCTGTGAACACAAACAGAACGGGACAAAACATTTTCAAGCGCTATTGTTGTAAAAGTCACACGCACGTTTGTTTACTCCCGACACAGATATTTCCAACAGCACAGCCTCAGTGTAAGGGGATACACCTCTATACGCCCGGGGATCAATTTTAGGAGTCGTGTTGTAAACCTAACAGCAAGAGAAACACATTTAAAGAACAAGCCATGCTCCATTTTAGCTCCTTGCCGTTTTCTATGGAGTGCTTGTGAGTTTATAAAATATTAAGGCTGCAAGGTAGACCTAAAAAGGTTACAGGCTCAACTTCACAGCCTATTAATCTGACACTGGCTAACTCCTCACATAAATTCCCCACCAGCCCACTGCTGCCAATGCATTACATGGTGAATGCTCAAGGGCAAAGATCTGTGTGGGATTAAGAATTAAGGCTGTCCATAAAAGATAGAAACTTTTGCACGTAAGCTTCGGTTGCTGTTTTGTTTTTGCACATTTAAACAAAGTGGCTTCCTCGACTTTAATTTATTTGATATGCAAAGGAACAAAATATTCACACTTGTGTAACCGAGTTTTCACATCCAGTAAAATCATCTCCTTTTAAGTTCCAGATACATTCCCTCTTTTGTTTATCCATTACTGAGTAATTGGACTTCCTGAGTGGATAAACAGGATAGAAATTAGGATACATCTGTGCTGTTTGGGTTTACAGTTATTAAGCAGAAGCGATCAACATCGTGAGAAGAAAAATAAACTAATTAAACCTGACGGACAAAAGAAAAAATAGTTTACAAGTCGAGGAGTTAAAAAAAAAAAAAAAAAAATGCTGCAGGATCTGTTTCCTATTTGATGGCTGGTGTCAAGATAAAACTGCAACAAAAACACGCAATTACACTGCTGTGAGGGGAAAAACAAGCTGGTGCCAAAACAATGCTTTTTTTCGTGCCAAAAAGACGAATAAAAAACTGGAACCGATATGCAAAACTAATAAAAGATGCGTGAAATTCACTTTTTAAAAGCAGAGAAATTATGCAACACAATATGTCAGCACAAAACACGGAGATTCAAACACAACTCTGGCGCTTATATAACCTGTCATGATGATATTTAGCGCCAATGTGGCAGGGGTTGATGGGAGGGGAAGGGAGGGACAGAAGCTCTTTCAGTGACCTCGCCAAACAGTTTGTTGCAGTGTATTACCCAAACTGTGTGTCTGGATAGCACACAAGCGTACACAACATCCCTCTCTCCGTACGCTAGCCTGCCTCCCTTAGGACTGCCGGGTTGCCACAGGAACTTACAAAGCACTCTGCGGCATCATCCATGAAGCCCAGCTGGAAGCGCTGCTCGTCCTTAAAGGTCTCTGCCAAGGCGTGACGCAGGTTGTCAGAGGGCAAGGCACGCTCCCGACTGTGCTGGAACTGGGAGAAAATGCCCTGAAAGAAAGAGAGCGAGAACTTATTTGCACACGGACAATGCGATATTTGTGTTTACAGAAAAAGCACTCGTGTCACAGTCACTGCTGGATATGTGACCTGACAAGTCACACATCCATAATGCCAAACGGGAACAGCACGGTGACTTCTCAGTTTTACTAAATGCTAAATGCGCCTTACCTTTAATGCACAAAAAATGCACGACTCCCCCAGACAGAAGTGTCCAGGTAGCTGCCTCAAGCTGCGCCTGAAGATGTCCAGTTGCCATAGTACCTACAATAGGAGATAACTGTCATCAAGCTGCCCTTACACTAGAATATTTAGCTTTAATCCAAGCAAATGCAGAATAAACCCAGTAAGCACAGAATAAATAGAACAGCAAAAGAAGTAAGAATAATCCCTGACTCATTTACAAAATAATTGAGCCTCTAATTACGTAAGAAAACTTCCATTCTTGCAACACAAAGTCTACAAGGTCATGAGAATGAGGAGTGGGTGAAAGGGACAACTCCCTCCCAGAAACGAAGCCGAAGGTAACGATCGTCTTCAACCAGCTCATCGGCCGTCTCACACTCTGAGTCACCGTCTCCGAGACTGACCTCACTGTGGGGGCTGACTGCAAGAATGAAGCAAGTCACCAGCCGCTTCCTCGCCAGTCCAAAGCAACCTTCTTCAAGTACATTAATAAACTGCTGGGAAGCTCTGACAAATTTAGACAGTGACTAAGCTCTGAAATTTCTAAATAAATAATGGTCAGATTGTAAGAGGGTGGAACACGTTGTTCTGTTCCCGGAGGATGACAGCAACAAGTGAATAAATTAAGTCGTACAAACAGTAAAAGAAGTTCTGGGGAACCTGTTTTATGCAACAAATGCTACTTTTGCAGAGCTTTAAATATTTCATGTCAGTGGAGGAAATAGATTTTTGTTTAAGATTTCATTCACTGTTTTATGTGACAGTGATTAGCATATGTGGGGAAAGGAAGCCAGTTGGTCCTGGACATTTTAATTCAGCTCAAAAACGTGAAGCAGACCCTACCTGCACGGCGCTGTTGAGGAAGCAGCTGTTCTGGCCCGGCTCGTTCAGCAGTCCTTTGGTGGGGGCCAGAGACAGCATGCTCCCCGGCTGGTACGATTTCCCCAGATTGCCCCCCGGCTTCCTGAAGAACTTGACCCATGCCATTGGATAGTGGAGTCTGCCTTTAGATAGGTGGGAGCGTCAGGTGACAGGGCAGGGTGTTGGTGGGATCAGATCCCTGGGCCCCTGAAGGAGTGGCTCCCCAAAAGTCCGAGGCTAAGTTATTCCACAAGCTGCAGCAGCTGCCCCGCTACACATGGGCTTCTAGTCCATGTCTGCAGCTCACGGAGAAGGTCTTTTTGCTTTCTTTGTTTACTGAGAAGTCTTTAAGATTTAAAAAAAAAAAGGAAAACAGAAAAATCCCAAAAAATTACAATCCAAGTCTTCGTTTTGGCAAACCTTTGTTAATCAGCTGTCTGATAAGATGCATCTCAACCACAGGGGAACGTGTTTTAACCATCCTGTAGCTTCAGAAGGGATTGTGCACCCCCGTGAGCAAAGCTAGCCACATGGTCCTGATGCCCTGGAGGACGTTCAGCAGCAGATGATTGTCCCCCTCAAAGGTTCACCCATAGTAGAGTTGTATCCAGTCGAGACAGCAAACGCAGCTGGGCTGTTTGAAACAGAGAGAATGAGATTAACTGACATGTAAGAGGCCATTATGAGGCTCATTATCAGATAATGTTTTTTTTCCTAGCACGTAAGCCACAGTTGTTGCTGTTTTCCAGGACTTTTAACCCTATTATCCCATAAAATAATCCTATAATATCACAGAAAACAATTTGAAACCTTAGTCTTTACTTCCAAGCTTCCAGATTAATGTCAAACAGAACTTTTTAAGCATGTCAACAAAGCTTATACATTAACTTTCATAAACACCCTTTGCACCGGAGGCGTGTCGTACTACTGTTGGCCCTAACATAGGTTGCACATTAACACATTAGCACACTTTTTTTCCAAAACAACACTGACAATAACAACCAACAGACAGTTAAAATGGAAAAAATATCTGTTAAACTGTAGAAAATAGTACACCGAGCAATGCTAGTCAACCAGCAAAACACATAAAACTGATTCCTCCAACATTAGTAAAGGTCTGCTGTTACTCCTGATAATCTCTCAATATTGATGCAGCACATATAATTTCACCTGATTATCTTTATTACTGAATGTGATCAATACACATACAACTTATTTTGCCTGGACATGAGCTGAAGTTGAGGGACTCTTTCTGCTGATCAGCTCAGTTATAGATTTACTATGCAGTTATGTATCTCAAGTACAACAAAACTGCCTCCGTCTGTCAACAGACCAAGTGTGCAGCGGAAGTTGTTTAGTCTGCTATTTGTTGTCTGAGATTTTACAAAATCTCCTGTAAAATACTTCAGATTTCTTTTGTGTCCCATTTTGTGACTTTGTCTGGCACTGTCATTCTTTTATAAACTCAGCCAGAAAAAAAAAAAAGAGCCCAGCCTGACCTATTTTTTCTTCTTCTTCTTCTTTTTTTTTTGGAGTAGAGGACAGTGTAACAAACCACTGAAGATGCAGTTCAATTTATGAAACTTGCAGTCCGTGCAGCTTTGACAACACTGCGAGCAGCACCAACACAATCTGCAGCGAGTGTGCATTGTGCCACGCGAGAAAGCGGGGCCCAACACTCTGAGAGGTTTGATGGATGAATATGTTTGTGCTGAGCGAGGCAGTGTTAGCCGTGTCTCGGTTATTACATTAGTGAATGCCTTGAGAGGTCCGTGCAGTCGCAACTTATACGTTTTGATATGTTTATTGGGATTTTCGAAGGCTTTTCCTTTGTCCCTTGTCTGAACGGTAACAAAGCACGTCTTGTGACTTTATGGAAAACCGAAATCATGGCAAAGCAGATACAGCTCCGGCAGCACAGAAAGTACAAAGAAGCAACAATGCGCAAGAGTGATTCATCCTCTTTTTAGTCCCCAACACCTAAAAAAATAGCCTCAAAGAACAAACCTCAAACATTTTGTTATTCAGAGTGAGGACAAAAAAAATACTGCCCTACTTAGCACAAACAATGAAACATCCCTCTTGTGACAGTCTCCGCTGCCACACTAAGTTTCAGTCTAAACCTGTTGGACAGCGTTGGCGGCCCGGTATTTGAGGAATCCTCGGCGTACGATGATGTTGCGACAAGGCGAGTTTACAGCAGGTTAACCGTGCAACCTGGAGCCGAGTATTTACATTGCGGTGTTTACAGTCGTCTTCACATGATTCAACCAAACATGCTGGCGTCTTTCGCCTCTGCACTTTGCGAGTGGGCTCCATAGCAACAGCATTCCAAAGAGCAATCACTTAAGCTCAGAGTTGCTTAAGAGCTGCCGTTTTCGGATTAGTTTCAGGGCTGGGGAGCAGGAACGGGAAAACTGTACGATGCACCTATGCAGCCCACCTTTACGGACGGCATCGCGTGTCCCGACACGCTGGTTGGTATCTGTACGTCGCATCGTAAGCCGTCTCCGGGGAAACGATGATGAAATGGAAACATGACTCACATGCTGCATCTCAGCCTGAATACACTTCTGTAATCCATATTGTAATATCTACATGACTATTATCTTTGATTCCTGTAATTGTAGGGTGTCAACAATCACTCCAGCAGCCTCATCACTTCACTGATTCATTATACATTCAGCGATTCTTCCAATTAAGGAATTGTATATGTAAAAGCCAACATCATCTCGTTACCAGCGAGTGAAAACAATGCCACGCATCCTCGTGTCCACATTATTCAATGTCAAAGTGATGGCACGGAGAATGAAGCCAACGCATGTTTTGTATTGTGACTTTGCTGACAACAGCAAGAGTAAATACGGCTCTGCCTTTCTGCTCGTTGAAATTTTATTGCATTACACTCGTCCCTTTGAAAAACTGCCAGCCTCAGTTATGTTAAAGCCTCCTGTCCTATGAGGGAAACTGGCACTTGCTGAGCACAATCCGGTGATGTTGTGATTTTAAAAACATTATGCTCTGATGCTTGAGGGCAAAGAGCGTCGTTTTTTTTAACACCAGGCAAAAAAAAACAAAAAAAACGAAGGTTTAGGTTAACAACAATGAGCATTACTTTCATGACCTTTTCATTTTCTTTTGTGTATCTTGAGGACAACTTGAGGCGAACTCTGACCGTTTCTGCACGTTCTTTTCTCTCAAGTAAACAGAAACATTCTATCAGATTAGGCTTGACACGTTTCATCTGCCGACGTCATGTGAAAGAGACCACGTAGCGTCTGCACTGCACGACACGTGCACATTTGTAGACTGTCTGAGCTACAATCCAGAAAGGTTAAGATGGTACATAGTGCACCTAATCTATAAGCATGGATAAGATAGTTTCTGCACAGGTGGCTCTGCTGATTTTCATATGCTGCCATTGCACGACTATAAAATAAAAGCCCCAAAAATTCAAAACAGATCCCTCATAATCAATTTAAAGTGAATGCAAGCCTATGAAAGATGTTGTTTACAAAACTAGGTGGAGAAAATCACTCTGCTGGCTGGTGACAATATTGTCCAGAAGCCAGGTTTACATCATTCACGAATGTAAGACAAGCTCCTGTCATCCATCTTAAGTTTCAGCCGTGAGTGACACCACTTCCCTCAGAGGGATTTCCTTTCAATGGGTTGATCCCTACCATATTTTAGTTATTTTTCTTAATAAAATCCTCTTATTTCTGTTCATAAGTAACCATAATGACTTTGCACACAAGTTCCTGCAGGTCTGTCTTGTAAAGAAAGTTACTCAAACTCTCTCTGAGATTGGTTATCTGGTTCCTAATGACTCTAACATTGAAGCGTGGAAAACAAAGGGCTCAAATGACCCTGGCTTTTTTCAGCTCGGCTACAAGCTCACGCAGACATACAGCAGAATGAGGGGCAGTAAATGTTTGATATGAGATAAGAGGAAATTAGGTCACAACTGCAGCCAAATATAACAGTCAGTGAGGTAAAACGTACAAAAGGAGCCACTCAAACTAAAAAGGTTCACTGAAAATGTAGAAGTCATTTAAAATGCGATATGAAATGTGAAAATGTGCTTTAATTTGTCTCTGCCTTTTTACAAGCAAAAAAAACATTGAGTGGGAAGGTAACTGAACTAATTTGCAAAAATGCCACTGGGTGCTTTTATGTGATTGTTATTTTAACATTAAATACTGTATTTTTCAACCATAGAGTGTGAGTGATGCCAGCACTTTTCTCTCATGTATGACAATTTAAATGTTTTATATTTAATCGCCAAAAAGTGTCCACCAGACCAAAATGACTGGATTCATTTCCAATAATAACATCTCAAGCTATAAAGAACATCAAACTGGCACAACTAAATCCATAAATAAAAACTGCAATGCCCAGAAGATAGCTTGAAAAATACTAAAGAAAAACTACCTTTTAGTTTAATTACCAGCTAATGTAATAATGACAACTTAATTAGGACCTTGCAACCCTTAATGGCACTTGAAGCTTTTAAGGTAATTGTTGACGCCAGTGTCCTGGACGAACTGACAGAAATGTTGTCGCCTGTTCATGTAATTACTCACAGAACTACAGCAGCAGTCACTCTCGCTGCGTTACTAAAACCCTGCCAAAAATGTAGCATAGATCCGGGCCGAAGCTAAACAAAAGAAGTAATTTCACTTTTTCTCTCAAGAGCACCGCTGCAGGAAGTCCAGTCTTCCTTTGTAAACAAAGGCTTTGCTCAGAGTTGTGCAAGATCGACTCATTTCTTCCCTTGTCACAGGGAAACGCTAAAGCTAGCACCTAGAAGCAGCCGGTCGAGGAGCGTGTGGAGCGTCGGCGGCCGGGGGAATCTGTGAAATGTGGACAAATGTGCAGTGAAGGCTGACGCGATAATTCATCTATTAGTGATGCGTTGAGGGATTGCCTCATTATGAATGATTCAATTGATCTTTGTAATGCCAAAAGCTGCTGATGAGTCGATCGGTGGCAAATTGAGTCACGCTAATGAAGTGTCTTTAAGATGATTTATAAATAAATAAGAGGGCTTTGTTGGAAAAACTTCCCTTCAGATTCACATCCTCATACTGATAAATCTCTATATTGTACTTTTTTATCCAAAGCATTTGGTTGAGAAGCAAAACAGCTTTTAAAACAATCCTCAATCCATATTCACTGTGCGACAACATGACTCGCCACGAAGCACGGGACAGCTCTCAGCCCCTCTGCAACTTCTGAGCCTCCTTTTTCTCTGTGCCGATCAATACTTCTTTCCATCAAGCTGGTGCATTATACAACTACATGACAGCTGAATGTTCCCTCTTGTTACTCCTAAACCGTGACTCATTTCTACTCCTACTGAAGATTAAATTCTGTTTGTTATTGAAGAAGCAACTTGCACATAATAACTTTCAGAGCCTACTTTGCAATCTTATTACAGGTGTCAAATAGGGGGGAAAAAAAGGCTATTTCACACCTACACAGACACTTTAACCATTCATGGCCTTGAACTGCAGGCTGACAACATAATTAGATGCCATGTACATAAAAAAATAAAGTAGACTGTTGCTAGAGTAACGAAAAAAACTAACCTCTACTGGAAACTTTGCGAAACTCTTCCTTTAACAGATGGTTTGAGATCTATTAACTGCATCTGAAAAATATCTTGTGCTTTTGGGAAAAAAAGCAAAAAAAAAAAGTATGCTAATGAGTGGAGGAAAAACTGCTGAGCAAGGTTACAGATTGTGGTTATAAATTGCAGTTTCAAAGGCTGCACTATTTCTGCTGCCAGGTGTACCAGTCTGAAATTTACTCTGGTGTGGAGTTATCCGCTGCTGAATGTAAAAATCACCTAACGAGGACAATTAGTGACATTTCCCATGTCTCAGCTCAGCTTCAGGTAAGAAAAGGCTCTAAATTTCAAATGCAGGCTTGTAAAACGCTAAAATATCACACGTTTAACCACTCATTTCTGCTTTTACTGCTGACAGAATATTCTTGGATTTAAAATCCTTCAGTCAGCCTGTGTGTTTTAATTAAGAGTTGGGCAAACAAACAAAAGTTGGAAGATCTACAAAAGCATTTGCACAAGCAGCCCCCCACTGCATGCACAATAAGGAGCAATAAAGCATGACCCCGCATGCTAAAACCCTGAACCGACAGTGAAACTTGACTGTAAAATTCCCTCCAGACTGCAGACACGGTTTGAGCCTTCAGGCAACAATGCAGCGGTCATATCCTGTGTGGGCTTCCTGCTCAAAGGCTCGCCGCTTTCCAACGCACGGTCACCGTGTTCAAGCCCTGTGAAACTGAACAGGTCACCCACACCGAGCTGAGTCACCCATTATTTCTTACCGCGTCCAGCAGAGGAAGAGGCAGAACAAAAGCACGGATCCAGGATTCCACACTGAACACAATCAGACTGAAATACAACATCCTCTTCTCTGCTCTTACGATTGCTTCCTTAATGACAACGGCTTGCCAAGAAACATCAAGAGCGATGACGACCGGCGACCCTGCACCACATTTTTCAGCTCTTTTTTTGGTCTTAAAAAAAATATATAACGCAGCAGGCACATTAAGCAAACACGACCTAATAAAAGTGCACTTCTTGCTCAACACGCTCGAAAACAAAGAGCAGACAGAAGGCCTGGTGTCAGAACTGGTTCTTCAGCATGCCTCCATGTTTATTTCACCATCTTGCTCCTGAAGGAAATGTTCCAAAAGCATGAGCGGTGAGGGGTGAGTGTACACGATGTCTATAGGGGCTGGTGATCTCACTGCTTCATCATCACCAAGCTGAGGGGTCCTCACACTGGAATGAATTAAAGTAAGAGAGGAAAGGGGAGGAAAAAAGGCAGTTCATTGGGTGCAGAGAAGGAGGCTGAATGAGCTCCTGGAAACTTCTGAGGGGCTGTGATGAAATATAAAAAAATACGAGGCCACACCGGAAAGAGATTTTTGTACTTCATGTGCCGGTACATACTAAATAAGGTGTTAAATTAAACGCTGAATGTGAGAGGAGTGACTGTGCTTCATGTTAAAGCTGTGCAGCTGCTTTTATGTGGCTCAAACAGTCATTAAGTGAAACTTTATCAGGCCTGATATTCAAGATGATTACAGGCAACACTACAGCATTATCTCCCCTGTTCAGGCTGTGTCTAATTACAATGATTTACAGCCATGTTTTATATATAACATAAGGAAATTAGCTCTTTTGCAATCATCTAGTCGCTATGTAGGGGCTGGTCTCACTATTTGGCAAGCGTAAATTAGCATTATATGACCTGAGCAGGTCCCTTTAAACCATTTCAACAGGTAAAGCTAAATGGTTGTAATATAGGTCACAGAGCAGGTGAGATGAAACCAGTGATACCTGCTCAAACAGACTGCTATCACCTTTGTTTTGTTTTCTTTGGCAGATGACCACTTTATGGCAGGCTCCATTTTGTTATGCTAGCTACATATTTTAATATTTAATGACCAACCGACACATAGCGACACTCCTAGCAGGCTGTCAGCAACACCGCCACCACTTTAATACACACGAAACGACCTCAAGTTGGATTAAATAACACTTTAAAAGCGATAAAGCAGCTCTGGGGTTGTTTTAAAACTCGTTTCCTAACTTGACAAGTGAGCTAACCGAAGCTAACGCTAGGCCTACCTGGTTTCCGACTTACCTGAGCTCCAGGTACAAGTCCGCCCCGCACACGCACACACACACAAAAACAGCCTCAAGCTCGGAAAGTTTCAACACTTAAACTTAAATAAAGAAAGACACTCACATATGAGAGGATAAAGCGCCCCCTAAAATAAAAAGTAATATCCTCCGGTGAAGAGCGGTTGAGTTTCGGGGGAAGAAGAGCCGAAGGAGTCGCTGGTTATGTCAAGGAAGAAAAAAAAAACACACAGAGAAGTGCTCCCGGTGAAACTTCACTCCCTCTTGGTTTTTCCCTTTGTAGGCTTTCTTTCTTTCCTTTTGTCCACTTCGGAGTCCACCAGCGGCCACTTTTCCTCTTTGCTTTACTCCGGCTTCGGAGGCGTGCGTCCCCGCTGCGGCTCGCTGATGCGCGGCGGTGGTGAGCAATGGTCGCTCGCTCGACTTCGGCACCTGAAATACTGGATTAGAGATGTTTTCAGCGGCGAGATGTCAAACCCCGCCTCTTCAACACTGTATTTACTGCAGCAGTCTGCCATACTACTGTAACACCGCTGTGCCACGGCCACAGCGCGCAGGCTTGGACACACACACACACACACACACACACTCCAATATTTGCAGAGCGCCAACTCCGCTGGCAGCCTCGTTAATGCTGCTTTATGGTGCAGCCCACTACAATGCAGAGTGGACTTTACAACTCTGCTGCTGCTGCTGCAAAATAAAATAAAATCAGCATCACATGCACAGTGGAACATTTGTTTACCAGCACTTAAAATGCATTTGGATGCAGCGTAAAACTCCTGCATGCATGCATTTGCGTAAAGCTTTTTTTTCAGGGGGTGTTTACCTGCATGGTTACACCCCAACAATGTGCCTGGTGATTATGTGCAACTGGGAGTGGAGGGAAAAGCCATGCAATCCTGGTGTTACTCAAACACCATCTGCCTGATCCTGTTATGTAAAGAAAGCAAATGAAAGGAATGTACAATTAAAGCTGTTCTCCCACTTTTTTTTTTTTTGAAGCAAGAGTAGAATAGTCCTGCAATGTTTTTACATCTCACAGCTGACCACCAGTTTTATTTAGAATTATTATATTAATTAAAATAAGTAGTGTGGACTCCCTACAGAGCACCGAAAGGGCGTTTATTATATGTGATATATAAAAAAATATCCCGTGTTATAACTTTTAAAGCCTCTGAGTTACCCTGATCATAAATGAGAATATTCCGCTGTGTATTGTGGGAGTCCAGTTTTAGGTTAAACACAATTTAGCCAACATGAGGGATTACTATTATCAGAAGTACACTGCAAAAATAAAATAAAAATAAAAAATCTGACTGCAAGAGTGCCAGAAAAAATACTGTAATGTGAAAAAAATATTTTAAAAAATAAAATAAAATAAACAATAATAACAGCAAGTATATAAACCCCAAATAAAATAATGATATAGTGGATTTAAGTACTGTAAAATGGTGTCATTTTAAGATATCACATTGTAAAATAAAAATACAGACTTTTTATGTAAATGTTAAGTACAGTTTACAGTCACTTTATACTTTTTTTCTTGTAATTTTACGCAATATTGTTTGTAGTTTTACCAAACAGGGACTCTTTTAAAACACCATTTTCTTTTTAATCATTTTTCTATCATGAATACACATTTTTTTTCTTCTTCTAAGTAACAGAAAATATTTTTTAAAAAACATGTTAATATTTTTGCTGAATTTAAATATAATAAAAAATATGCATAATTTTGCAGACACATGTTGTAAACTAACAAATCACTATTAGTAAAAATACAGATTTTTAAAAATATTGATGTTACATACTGTTCTTATTGCAATCAACTGATACATCTTTGTTTTTCTGAGTTTAGGAGATATTGTGTATGATTTCACCAAACTGAATGAACTTTTAAAATAACAGTGAATTTTTTTAACCATTTTTCAAATATTAAAATGCACAAATGTCCCTTTTAAATAACATAAAATATCTGTAAAATAATATTTTGTAGCTTATTCAACCACAGAAAAAAAAAACATCATTGTACATTTTTGAGGGATTTTTTTAATATTAATTTTTTTTTAAAGTGATTTTACTGGATATTACTTACTGAAAAACAACAGTAGATTGTTCAAAAAAAACAAAGGTAACTGCAAGAAAAAATGAAAAATACAGTCCACTTTTTACAGTGTGTAAATAAGTGTGCCAAACATTTCAGCCGGGCCATATGTCCAGCAAGCTTTGTGCAAAAGACAAAAAAAACAAAAACAAAACAAAACTGTGCTTTCAAAAAACATCAGTCACTCATTAAAGCTGAGGAAACAGTGATGGAGAGCGAGCTGAGGTTTCTCCATGTATCAGCGCAGTCCAGCCTTTCCCCAGGAAGTACTTGAAAGAGCCCATAGAGGAGACAATGCCATTTCCCTCTGCACACATTTCCTCCAGGGACATATAATGCTTCCTCTCGAAATATATAAAAAGTTCAAGAGTGTGGCAATAATCCTATTGAGTGATGTGAGCTTTAACTTACCTCGTAGTCCCGTACTGCGCCGGAGTACATCCTAATATGCTTATTCTATGGGAAATAGAATATATATGCTTTTTAAACAGGACTGACAATGGGGTTTTGTTATCACTGTGCTGCTCGGTGCTTGAATAGAGAGGCTTCCCATAATAATGTTGGACATTCCCACCCTGGCTGTGAGCCTCCTCGCTTTGAAGTGCTGCCACTGAATATCTTGTACTCCTTATAAATTATGGATCAGACAGCTCAGAGAGATCAGGTCTTTAACAAGCTCCACAAACGTAAACTTTTCTTTGCTGACCTTGGTGGACAGCTTGCAATCCAGCTGCTGAATCTGACAATTTGTGCGCCGTCAGCGTTGTTGCCGCAACTTTGTGCCAAAAGTCTAAAAATGACTGTATCATTGCACTGACACATCACTGCCTGGCTGACTTGTGTGCACTTTGAATGACTTCTGCAGAATTGTGGTTTTGGGATTTTTTTTACTTGCTCTTATCAGTCAACTCTGGGTAAAAATTGCTGTGACATCAATTGGATGTTGATCTTTAATCTAACAGCCCAGCAAACCGCTAATCTCACACAGGTTTGATTCTGTTGTGAAGGGCATTTTAATTTAAGATTAATTATCATCACCGTGCCAGCTCTGCAAGGAGACAGTGCACACAGCAAACATCCCGCAGAGAGCCGGTGCCGCTGCCCTGACTTCTCACCTTGAGAAAGCCCCGATGAGCAGCGAGAGATTTGCTGAACGCGGTGGATAAACACAGCTCAGATGACAAAAACTATGTCCTCTCTTTGCTTGGGTTGCCACTTTTTTTTGCGATTTCACCCAACATGTCAGCTTTGTGGTATCTTTAAATAGAGCATCAGATGTAATTCAGTCAACAAGTTAGCTCATGTTTTGTATAGATTCATTGATGATGTGATTGATCGGCTCGCTGGGCAGTTAAATTCCAATTGTGCCATTTGAAGTGGGGTATTTTTAGCTCTGTCGCCCGGCTTTTAAATCCATATTCAGTGCGCACCAGAAGGAAAGTTGTGTCACGAGAACATGCAACTTTTTGAATAGTTTGTGCTTCAAGTGCCGCCTGGTTTCATGAAAAACAGGAACGTATTTTTGGCATTTGGTGTTTCAGTGCACGTCATGTAGCTGCAGCAAACCATCCCACATGTTATTTCAACACGGTAAAAGCTCTGATTTTACACCAAGATGGATGTAAAGTTAACATCAAAAGCTTCAATTAAACTCATAAACCACAAAGCAAGAATCAGCTCCTCAAGGTCCCACTCTAGATGTTGATTTAACCGTTAAAAACCCATCTCTGTGTATCAAAATAACATATTTATGCATTTTTCCCCCCTTGAAAATAATCAATTTTTGCCTAAAACTGCTTCAAAGATGAACAGGAAGCAGATGAATAACAACCTGCCCACAAACGGACTTGTTGTGCACATTCACAGTCTTATTTCACTCATGATCGATCGCCTAACATATAAAAAACATCATATGGACACATTACAAAGTTGGAAAAAACCACTTGATTTTCACTGGAGGGGGTCCTTAAGCATAATCTCACAGGACAGCGGGAATATAGTTTAAGTAAATTTGAATAAATAAAGCTCCAGCCTCTGATTCTCCCGCTGGTCTTATCTGCTGCAGTAATAGCAAACTGCAAAAAAAAATTTTAGCGTCTAATTAAAATGTGAACTTAATCTGCTCCTGCCTCGGCCTGGGTAATAATAAATGCCCTAGTTTGTGTGCATGTTTGTGTGTGCACACACACGCGCCCGCAAGTTCGTATGTGTGTGGTATCATGGGAAATGCAAATAATTCAAATGGAACAGCTCGTACTAATGAAAAGGATTGTGAGGACACAAGTTGTCCCGACCGACGAGCAAATAAACAAACAAATATGGGGCTATTTTATAAGAGTGTGAGTTGAAGCTGTTCGAGCTTTCGCCCCTTGAATGAGGGGATGTCACTTTCTGTTTGAAAAAAAAATTGCAGAGTTGAATGACTGAACAAAGCAAAGCTTGTAATGTTTTCTGTGAACACCATTTGCTGCGTTGCTATTGAGTTACTACTAATGAGGAACCACACAGAAGTGAATGCCCCGTTGTTACGTAAGAGATTAGACATGCTCGAACGCCACAATGGGGACCACGGGAGGGCGACGCCTCCGAAGCAACTTGTGCTATATTTAAACCAGGGATTAAAATCTCTTAATGATGAGTTTTTGGAATGGAATCAGGTTTCTCAAGAATAATGAAGTCAACAGTTCTTGGAGAGGACTTTTTGTTCCGCCACTTTTCAGTACACTTCTCGCTTGTGTGGAAATTCCCTTTGGTTTCAGTCAAATTTAAAAAAATAAAAAATAAAAAATAAAGCCTCGCAGAAAGCTCAGACAACTGAAATGGTATTTGTGTCCTGTCATGATGACTTAGCATTACCAACAGCGCAGCATGAGGTCCCAGCGTGGGTGCATTTCAGAATACGCCGTGAGAGCAGGTGAGAGATTTTGCTCGTCTTCTCTGCGCGTTTATTTCACTTCCCAGCATTTGTACAAACTTGCATTTTCCTCCCAAGCAGGACTTTGCTCTTTGTTCTACTGCAGAGAAGTGGATGACATGAGCATCATTTTTTGGCAATTGACCACGTTACATTAACTCTGGAGCGCGGCCAGCCGGGGTGACTGTGATGTATTTCTCTGCTGTGTTTGCCGTATCCACGGTAGCTGCAGCACACAGGAGAGGCATGCCAGCGCCTCGGTGCTGCATGTTAGGAAAGTAATAGCTTTCATTTGCTCAGATAAGCCGCATTAATTATTCCTTCACCGACAATGCCATCAGAATGAGCGATTTCCTCCAAATTAACGCTATTTTCTGCTCTTTCTCGGCTGTATTAGAAGATGAAAGAGCATTTGCTTGAAGATGCCACAGATTGCTCAGCGACTTGTTGTGGAGGTTAATAGTTCTCGACTGGCTAATAACAGGAGAGAGGAGGTTAACATATATTGACCAGTCAGGTATATAGACGAGCCCCCTGAGGCGGAAGACAGTGGCTGGATTACTCGGAGAGCTCTAATTGGTCTCAGGGGCTTTTGCAAGTAAACAGGAGCACAATTTTGAATGTGCATTTGTCCATACAGGCTAATTACTAGCTCTGTGCATCCTTCCATGATGTGGTTTTCTACAGAGGTGGATATTTGTGTACTTAACCTCTCAACAGTCTTTTTCTGTCCTTCAGTGAAGCATCAGGGCAGGAGGCTCATTTTGGGCACACTCCTGATAATGTGCAGACGAAGCTTGACGGATTGCAGTTTTCGTCCGAGCGAAACATAGTTCCACCCACTGCGTCATTTTCACATCATTTCAGGAGCGGAATGCGTGCCCCCCGTCACCCTTCACCTCACCTCATCGGCAACCCAACACCGCCGCGCTGACCCCCCCCTGGATGCTTTATGTTCGCTCATATTTTTAGATATCCCATCGGGCTTTGCACTTTCCTGTGAGAACGACCACCTGCCTCGCCCATTCATCAGCCTCGGCAAGTCCACCGTGTCATCAAACGAGAGAGACATAAACTATAAACGATGACACGCGAGATTAGCCGCGCTCGTCTGTAATTTTGTGGATTTTTGTGTCAGGAGGTCGCTCTGAAACAATATTACAAGGTTAATCCCAGATTTCCAACGTGTCGGCTGGAAAACGCCAGCGTAAATCCCGACCAAAACGTGACTCCTCAAAAGTGCGTCCATATGCTAGAAACCTTTCAGAGAGCCGTACGTCTTTCTCAAAAGGTTCAGCTCAGTGCCCTTGCGGCTATTTCACAGCACATTTGTTTTCTCGCCCGACCCAAGCATGTTTAAAGAAATCCTTCTGGGATATTGGCTGGTCAAGTGGCTCAACCTTTTAGCAGTAGTCTGTGTCAGCAGCACACTCAGTGTTCGCTGCTGTGTGTGCAGATGGAAACCCGGGGGAGTTCGGCTTAAAAAACATGACAGTGAATGCATCAGCAGCAGGATCCATTGTTAACTGCTGATAAAGATACAGAGAGCCAGCTGCTCGGGCCGAGCTGGGTCGCACAGGGGGGAAGAAAAAAAAAGAAAAAAATCACAACATGAGTTATGAAGTTTAGTGCAATTTGACATCTGTCTCGCTGCTGGTACCTGTCGAAAACAACTGCATGTTCCCGTCTTATCAGGGTTCCTGTTACGTAACCAGCGGTCACTCAGATGTTTATCAGTGCGCTCTTTCTCCCTCTTCAAATGCCGTTTGAGCTCGCTGAGGCACTGTTGATTTCTGATTCTTTCAAGCCAGGGCAATCTCTATCAACACTGGGCCACCCTATTGTCCCAGGCAAACTCTCGACCTAGCCTATAATCCAACGCCTGCTGTGCCATCTCATGCCAAAGCAAACACGCTCGAGGGGAAACCGGTTGCAGTTCGGCACTAATAATCGAATCGTCTGGCTCCCCCGACCCTCGGCCTACGCTGCAGTCCCTGCCAATAATATTTCCGTTGCTGCATTTTGATAATGGCTACATTCCCAGTTCAAAGAGAGTTCATGCCGGCTCGTGATAAACACTGCTCGATATTTACTGTGGTGCTTGGCAGAGCTGGCGGTGACCGAGTGCTGTACACACAGTTCTCCTGAAGAGGCTGGCAGCAGGAATTCAGTGGGACAGAAAGGGAGTGGCACCGGGAGCTGCACATTCCAACGGCTCTCCGACACAGGCAGGAATGCCGATGCCGGACTGTGAGACATCTGAAAGGCATTTCCCAACTTAATTTTTTTAGCATCGGAAGTCACAAACTTCATCAAACCCAGAAAGATAAAGAGATTTCGAGAAAAAAAGGAGGGAAATTTTCAAACATCTGTAGGCTCAGGTTGCGTATTTGGTGCTTGTTGTCAGTGTGTCTGTTGCTATAAACGAACTTTGAACTCATCCGAACTTCTGATTACTTTAATTAAGCGTGAAATGGAACAAACATACCAGCTGGTGTAAAACTAATAATGAAGGCAAAAGGAAAAGACAAAAAAATCACAAAAAAGAAAAGTATTTGTACAAAACTGCTAAAATGTTCCACCAAAAACTGCCTCTGACACCAAACACAACAAACTAATCAGCTGATTTGCAAACCGCACCCATAAATTACTCAGCTGACGTCAGAGCTCGGTCATATGTTGCAAATACAACATTATATAATACACTGCACCTTGTCATCGTGATTTGCAAGCTCTGACTACCTAGATAACCGAGACCTGCCCGGTGTAACTCCTAATCCTCCTGACTGTACGTCGTCGTAATAATTAGTCTTTCTTGCTCATCGCATTTTGGTAAATCGGACTTGAGCTTGGAACATGTGGACACATCACGAGGACTGAGCACCAAAGCTGCAGTTACTGGCACAAACTACTCCTGATGTCAAAGGTCAAACGTGTGGGAATCTTCTTTTAACCTTGTGGCGAGAGGTTTTCAGCCATTCAGAGCAATAGGTCAATGGGGATGAACCTCTGGAATAATTATTTCTCCGCTTAGCAACAGGCTTATTTCAAGCATCGTTAATTATGAAACACCAGGCTAAGAGTGTAAATGTGTTAAAAACAGCGAATAGACAAACTAGTTTTATATATTTCTGTTCTATTTTCCTCACTTATTATTCTAAGTCAAGCCACTGCTATTGATATAGCACATTTTAAACAGCAGCTGTTGAGCCAAAATGCTTTCCAGTACGAAAAGATTGACGTTACAAATTAACCCAACAAGTTAGAATGTTGAGGTCCAGTGTGTTCATTCAGGAATAAAACCCAACACAGACAACATAAAACACAACTTCACCAAGACCCTACGCCTGACATAAATATACACGAGAACACAACTAATCCAAGGATTCCCTCATAGCAATCTTTTTTTTCTTCCTCCCTCCTTTTCCTCTTTTATTTAATCTTTGTTTTTCCTATTTGTATTAGCGACAAGGCAATCATCTGCCTCCACTGGTCGGGGTGAAGGAAAAGATGGAAGAACAAACAGATAACAAACATATATTCTCCATATTAAATGGAATAAATATGCACATAAAAAGGACATTATGAAAAGCAAGTTTCACTAAATTAAAAGTTAGCATGTTAGCTCGATAACTTTATCCGGCACAAAAAGCTGTTTTTACTTTGTGTCTCACCAGATTATTTTCTATTTCTTCATTTCAAACTACAGTATAAATGGTCCACACTCATATAGCACCTTTAAACCTTCGCTACAAGGTGCTTCACATGTGTTTGTCATTCAGACACACTCCTCCCTCATACAAACTAATGGTTGCAGAGCTGCCATCAGGAGCAACTTGGGATTCAATGTCTTGCCCAAGGACACTTCAGCGCCTGGAGGAGGCCAAGGAGCCAACCTTGCAATTAGTGGACAACCTGCTCTCCCACCTCAGTCATGGATAAATATAACAGCATAACAAGCTTCCAAGACCAGGTTAAATAATGAACTTTTCTCAGAAAAACACCATAATCTATGCAGCTCTTGCACAGCCTGCAAGCTTAACTGGATCTGTTTGCATAAATCTGCTACATATTGAGAGAACTTAATAAACACTGTAGTGATAAACAGAAGATACAGACAGATAAGGAGCAGGCACAGCTCATCACGCTGCTCTCCCATCAATCCCACTCCTTCGACTGGGCATCGCCGAAAGGTGAGAGACACATCAGTCAAGTCGCTCATGTCAGAGAAGCAGATTTGATTTGTCAAGCAGTGTAACCTTGAGGCGTGTTACAGTGGCTCACATGTATCTTTGGCCTCTCACACGATATGATAAGTGATGGGTTTGCATTGGACTCCAGCGCACAGGCGCAGCATCACTCACTCAAGTGAGCCTTCAGTGCGGCTCATACCAACTCACTGTGAAATTACTGCCGGGGGGCATGTTGTGGAATATGTTTCAAATTTGCATCCGTGCCCAAAAACAGAAGCGTGTATTTATTTTATCAGCGATTTCAGATGCACAACACTGACCTAAAGTTTTAAAAAAATAAAATAAATCACAGAAGATTTTTTTGTTTGTTTTGTTTTGCATGCTACACCAGTTTATTGAGCAAAAACTTGTGTCTGCAAGATAAAATACTCTTATGCACATTAATATACAACAATGTTCATTTATTCCAGGAGTGTGTCGGCCCACCGAACAAAGTGATTTATATATTTTTCTCTGCAGTGCAATATTTCACATCACTAGAGAACTAGTGGATGAAGCGTACAAGCTAACCACCAACAGGATGCGTTCTTTCACCCCCCACTCTGCTCTGACAGGAACTTCAGCCCGCCCACAACAACCTCGGGAGAAGCAGCTAAGTAGACAGCATCTCTGTGTGACTTCATAACGGGTTCAAAGGTCTTCTGACTCAGGGATGAGCATGGGCTCCAGTGAGACAGTAGGCAGGGAGAGAGGACCACCCGCCGACACCCACCCCAGAGCAGATCTGTTGAAGGAGGGTCGATTCGGCGCGGCCTCCCCCTGGAGGAGCTCCGGCAGCTCCGGCAGGGTTTCCACCTGGATGGGCTTGACGGGAGCAGGTCTGGGCGCCTTGCTGAAGCCACCGAAAGGGGTCGCTACCCTGGAAGTGACAGAGCGACGTCAGCTGTCACATGAGAGAAACAGCGGTGACGTTTGAAGTGATGCAACTAATTAAAAGCAAGCAAAGGCTCTTCTATTCTAAGATGTAGTTGCTCAGAGGGAGAAGCGCTGTGTTATGGAGGGAGGTGAAGGACAATGCTTGTGTTGCTCACTCAGAACTGGCACATATGATGAATTAAAGCAGGACTGTGTAAATCCTGAAAGACAGTTTTTGAATGACTGTAATGTTAAATTTCTAAGCAGTAAAGTACATTCAGTTTTTGCTTTTTAAGCCTTAGAACCTGCATATTTTCTGCATATAATCAGCAGCACTAACACTACTCGTATTACAACTTGTGCTCATGCTAGATTTCTGACTGTCTGTCTCCTTGACTTGTGCTACTAATATATGATGTCCTGGCATTTACGATTAACCCTCAGTTTCCATTTGGGATCATGGCGACCGTACAGTCTCACTTTAGCCATCTGAACCATCCATCTGGCAGGTTCGAAAGGTTTTTTATCTTTTAAAAAAACAACCAATTATCAACCAAACAATGTAAAAGAAAGAAAGAAGTGTCAGATTTGACATTTTCCACTGGCTTTTTGAGCTAATCACATGTGAAAGGCAGTCCACTGTATCAAATCTAAGATTAAAATTGTGATATTTCTGCAAAAATCCCTTCATTCAACACGTTTCAAAACATATATATATATATATAAAAAGAAGCCAAAAATAAACCATTTGAATTAACACAATTCTGTAGAAATCAAAAAATTCTGTGTTCTTTGGCGCAATATTAAAGCTATTAGTGACTCAGCTGTGAGCAACAGTCTTGTGGCAAAAATTCAGAGACTTTCAGCTGAACTAGGCTGAACTGCAGGCAGTGCTTACACAGAACAGATAAGAGACTGGTACGGAAACAAATGAAAAATCCAAGCAGTATAAAATATTTAACATGAAGAGTCCTTATTGTTCTTTCCAGAATAATTTATAATTGTGGGTGCTTGGGGAAAATGTCGTTCATGTTGATTGCAGTTTTATTTCTTGTTTAATTCTAATTTTGCAAGCGATAAATCAAAGGAATTAAACTTTTATTTTTGTATTTTTTATGATCTATGACTATGTAAGTGCATCACATTGCACAGGAGACCTTTTTAAATGATCTCTACCTTTAGTCGTGGTTGTGCTGCTTCCATAGAGATGCAAGACTTTACATAGCAATGAAAGATGAGCAAATATGACAGGAGCAAAAAAAGCGTGGTTCATAATTCAGCATACATGTATTCAATCATTAGTTGTATTGACTGATGGCTGGCCGTCCACCTGTGCGGCTGTTACCTGTTGAAACTCTTGTACCCTGGTCGGTCCACTTGGGGCTCCAGCTCAGGCATGCGGGGGATGAGAGTGTCAGCCAAGGCCGGGTCATTGATAATGGCCTGCTCCCAGGGTGAGTGGTAGGATTTTGGCACAGCTGTACTGTTGAACCTCTCTGGGGGGATGTCTTTCAAAGGACCTCCATATCCTGGGTAAATTATACAACAGAGACGGTGCATGAATAGAAGGATTTTATCTGTCAAATAAAGAACTGCCAGTCTCCATAATATATATATATGTGTGAGATTTTTCTACATTTTTTACTGGATGTTTTTTCACACACGGTGAGTAATTGGGTAAAAATTTAAGACCCAAATTACAACTCGAACAGCAACAAGCAAACACGCAGTCCAAAGAAAACTGATCCTCCTCTTTGATCACGGGCCTGTCAGCCTGTCGTGAGCGAGCTTGACTGTCTCATCATATGACTTCAGAGCGCTGAAGTTAGAAAAGCTCACCTCTCGCTGGCATTTCCAGCTGTCAGAATTCAAAGTTGCTTTGCTAAGTTTGTAGCACTTAGTGATGGATGAAATCTAAAAAATCTGGCACGCATAACATTGTTGGGGAGATCATTTTTGTTTCCTAAGTACACTGAACTAAATCGTAAATCTATTAAATTTGACTTTGTATGAGAGTGAATAAAAGAGAGAAGGAAAGAGAAGTGAAGTAATTCAGCATTTCTAATGATTCCCACCACTTAAATAAATGCATGGTTGCAAAGTCAGAATTCTAGTTTACTGATTTGGATAAACCTTTTACAAACCTGGATAAACCTTTGCAAATACTATTTCAGTGGGTTGGGGTGACTTAATGATGTTGGAAATGGTCTCAACTTAATATTGTGTGTTGTTTAAACTCAAATTTCTGGATTAGTTGATTTAAAACTAAATTCAAGTTGAAGTAAATTAATAAAATGTCATTATTTCATGTCCTCTTACCTTCATATTTAACACTAAAGCAACCTGTTCTTTCTGAAAATTGCAAACTTACAATCATGTATTCATATGTATGCTAATTAGCTATATAACACTTACAAATCTTTTTAAATCACAGGGTAATACTAGTTGGAATAACTTTTTTTTTTTATATGAATAATCAACCTTAAAACATGTTTATACTACCAGTTTGAAGTAAGTGGCAATTAATAGCTTTGATTGTGGAGGAAATAAACTCAATTAAGTTTAGTTTTATGCACTACCAGTTTTCATAACTCAAAAAAACCTGATGCAAACTGTTGTGTTATTCTGCATTTGAGCCCAAATATGATTTTTTTTAAGAAAGAAAGTGAGTGTGGGATATTGCAACCCTCCACTGTTTTTTTTTTTCTTCTTCTTCAGCTCTTTTTTTTTTTCTTGTTAAAGTTCACAGCAAAACAAATCAGCGGACAGCTTCCCTGTGTTTGGGCCGGTGTGTATGTGCATGCCTGCATGTACGTCTCCCCGCGTAGTCCGTGTGTGTTGATGGGAGAGGCCCATCCAAAGCACTATCCTTCAAGCCCGGCGCTTCACTCAGGGGGGCTTGCGAGCTCAGGCATTACATAACGCGGGGCGTCGTGTCACGTCCTAACCTCTCACAATGAACAATCCCCCTTCCTGAGTTTATGTTTTGCCCCGAGGAGGAAGCAGGAGAGACCAAACAGACCTGTGGGGAAGTTTACAGATTTTTTGGGGGGGAATCTATTACAAAACATCGTGTAAAAGATTTTCTGAGTCCACGGAATGTTGTTCTTGCGGTCGGACGCTCGGCCGGGTTGATGTTTTCGCGGGAAAGGACGGCTACACGCCCAGAGATGAAAGAAAGATCACTGACGGGATGAAGAAACACACAGCATACAGGTTTTTTGTGCATAGTTCTTGTATTCAAATGTGCTTTTAGACACATTTGATTTCTCTACGCTTCGTTGAAAATAGCACAAAATTCATGAAAGTAAAGTTTTTGGCAGCAGTAACCGTATTAGCACACATTGCAGGGTCACATTAACCTCTACTAGATGATAAAATGTGTTAATAGGCTGCAATAAATAATTATAAAAACACAGCCAAATGCCAACAGAAGTGGATAGTTTATTCAAAATACGGTTTTTAAAATAACTGGTGCTTTTTTTTTTGAAGCGAAAAAAGTTAACTGACAGTGTGAATTAACCAGTTTTGGAAGCACACTTCAGACTATAAACAAGAATATTATTAACACATTTACACCGACTATCTGATTTTTGTTTTCTTTTTTACGTTAAGTTTAATTAAGATATATTTATTAGACTACAATTTGTCATACATGGTGCTTTTGACAATTTCCCGCTCAGGATCGTGGCACAAATATAATTCCAAATGACAAAACCGAGTGACAGACAGCGTGATCGTGCGTGTATGTTGATAGTTGTAAACAAAGCAGTAATAGTTTTTAGCGCAGAATAGATTTTTGTTTGCTTACGATAAGTTTTTATTTGCTCGAGATTTTTTTTCTGCGCTCAAGGATTGTGGCACAAATATAATTCCATACATTCCAAATCCTTAAAAACTTGTCTTTGCCTTTGTTGTTGAGTTGGATGATCTCATTTCTGGGTCATAAATATAGAATACACATTGATATTTATATTATATGTCCCGAATTAAGTGTATTGTTTGTGTAGTTTTAAAGAAAAATGTTGTAAATTACAGATAACTACAGTTAATGTTGAATCCAGTAGAAAAACTATATAAATCCAGTGTATCATTGGAAAGTCTAGTAACACTATGACGCAAAAATCCTTATATTCTACTGTAGTTTCCTGTAATCTATTGCAAATTACAGTTTCAACACTGTAAAATGAGATAAAACACGACTTTTACTGTAATTTCAGAGGAAAATATGTTACAGCCATCCAGTACAGGACCACTGAACATGCACCCCTGGGTGGACGAGTGCACTATTTTAAGAGTTCTTACCATCTGATACCTTTTGCACTTTGGCCTAATTTCTGCTACAGCTGGAGTGACTTCATTCAGACACTGCAGGGTGGTGTCTGGTCCAGAAATAACACCCCCACCCCAGCGTGGACACACTCATCCTTAAACCCGTATTGGTTTTGTGTCAACTGGGCAAAAAAATTTAAGACATGAGGGCGGATGCGAGCGCAGAGCCGATGGTATCAGTGGCACGAGATGCAAACAGGAAACACTTCCCGTGGGTGAAACTCAACAACGATGGGAAGAGCTGATTGCAATAAGGTGGGTTAAGAAACACAGAGAGAGAGAGAGAGAGAGGGAATGTGGAGGAGTAGACATAAGACAAAGGAGTGGGATGAGGACAGAAAGAAAGAGAAAGAAGGACAGGCGGAGAAAGAGAGAATTAAAAAAAAACAAGTGTAATCACATTCTGCCTGAGGCCGGCAGATTCCAGGCAAGAAGAGAATGTTTTTTCCTACATGATCAAAGCCTGCGTGACTACAAACAATGAGAAACAGTCGAATCCTTATCAAAACACGGCACATCCAGTGCTTTGTGCAGCGCAGGCTCTCCACCGGGAGCTACACCACTTCTCATACATTCAACACATGTGCAAAACTAACTGCACAACAAAGAAGCAAGCTAAACGAGAAAGCAAAGTGTGTTGGGCTTGAACAAAAGCGAACTCCAGCTCCAGTGTGCTTGAAATGTGTTGCACTGTTCCACCTACCCGGGGCAATGCTGCCCGGATTTGGCTCCGTCCTCGCTGCGTCACATGTTGCATTAGGTTGCTGGTTGTCACCCAAGTTGTTGTCGTTGCTGTGGCAGTCTGCCGCGCTGCCGTTCTCCGTATGGAAAACCACTGTGTTCTAAGAGAGAGATCAAAGAGGTCAGTTGACTGGAAAAGAAAAGCTTGACGCAGTTTCTTATCGGTCGGGATCTCGGCGAAGTTAATGCTTGACGTCAGACGGTCCAGCAGCTCCGAGTTATTCTGGAGATGTTCGGTTTTAAACTTAAATCCTTTGTTTGGTTACTTGGGAACATGAAGAAGAAGAAGAAGAAAAAAAAGGGCTGCACTGAGTCAAGAACAATGGAGCTGGCTGAATAAAACAACCAACGCTAATGACCTCCATGAATAATACGTAGGACTCTTACTATTTTATCCACCTTTAGTCAAGCTATATTGTCATTTTTTAAGTTTATCAAGCAAATTTTTGTTGCACATCTGTAAAATACAGAGCGACATTCTCATTCTTTAAGATCAAAAGACGACATTTACTCTCCTTTTAGCTCCATTTTGGTCTCCACCAGCAAGTCAAAAGCAATATTTTACAAGTTAGCGCTAAATCTTCCACTTTATTCACTCAAATTGTCTGTCTGCCATGTGATATAATATAGATATAATTTAGTAGGGACTCTGGGAAACAACTTTAATGAAAGTAGTGAGGCAACAAAATCTGAAAGATGCTAAAATGTTCAGCAAAGCTTTTGAGAGAAGAGTAATAATCCTGAAGCCATTCTTGCTTTAAAATATAGTTCACAGCAACTTTAAATCAATATTTTATCACAGAATTGTGAAGCTAAAGTGGTTGCTAAAGGTTATCACAAGAACCTGCAGCTCCTCCTGCTTTATGCGGGAAGTGCCTGAGTTTTGGTTTTAGGTTATTTTCTGTCCAGCCTACAGCTTTAATGGTTAACTCTCACGGCTCTAATAATATTGTTTTAAGTCACAGAGGGCAGCTGGTTTCACTGAAAGACACAAATCCTCCCCTCAGACTAAACAGTAACTAAAAAAGTGGGTGTGCGTTGGAGGACAGACATGGATGGACAGATGCGACCAACTGGCCACCAAGTCCACCAAATTGACTCAAATTGGAAAACATGTCAAGAACCTTGTCCTCATTCTTAATTTTGCTGCCTCAAAAATCCCTTTTTGCAGGTTTACGGATAATTCACCGGCGTTAGAAATGACAGATGTGGGCAAACGCCACTGACAGCTCTCAACAACAAGGAGAGAATCTCTTCAGAAAAGCGGAGGATTGAACATCTGCCATCGCATGACAACTCAGTAAATTTCATCTCCCGAGGAAGATGACTGCAAGCTGCTCCTCTGTTCCTCGCAGCATATTGGGTTATTTTCTGACAGATGGCAATGCTTCTGACATATTTGTGCGAAACATAATAAAAATATTATTTGCATACGTTTGCTGATTTTTTTTAATTTTTATTGAGACCAAATCTTCCACTTTTCGACTCCTGAATTTCGCGAGAAGCCTGTCCGTTTGCTCTCAGCATTAGAAGCACTGTTCTCTGGACGTGGATAAAATATACCGCAGCCAGCTTTCATCCCTCTGAACGATATTCATGGTGATTTACTCGAGGACTTCCTCAGGAAATGTTGACAACTTGAAACAAAATCCTTCCATTGCCCCGAGCAATAAACAAACCGAGATATGTGAGTGTTTCTCACTTCAAAGATGAGGGAGAGGGAAAAAAAAAAAACTTCCCTGGAGCATAATAATTATTTTATCTATGGACTTCAAGAGGGCATTGAAAAGTACACAAGGCCACCGCGCAACTAAATGAAAGGGGGATATAACTAGTGCTCCTAATTAATGAGATATAACAAAGAGAAACTTAGTTAGTTTATCTTGATTCAATTCTACTGAGAGCTCCGGGACATAAATTGCGTTATGTGTGACCAGGTCAGGCGTAGATAAGTACTGCTGGGAAAAGAAAACGCTGACTTGGCTCGCTGCCCGTCCATACACAAAAGGGACATTAATAAAGCTACTTATGACCAGCTGGAAAACTTTTTGACTACTCTGCGCAGCCCCATGTCTGTAGCACGAGTCAAACAAACACCTCAAGTGCTTAATCTCTCCCGCGTATACGTCGTCAGGATGTGAGGTATTGTGCGAGTGTTTTTCATGCGATGGAGGGGAAAGATGTGGAGGGAAATGGATGGCCGTGCGTTGGAGAAAGCGCACTCGGGCAGCGTGAAATTCTTACAATAACCTCTTAATCAAAGTCGCTTTACATCTGTGTGTGTTTAAAGGAGCAGTTCTGCACTTTAGGAGCCTAAAAAAAGGATCAATACGGCTAATGATTGCTAATTATGATGCCAGGGCAGGGTTAGCATAAAGACTTCCTGTGTCCCGCTGTAACAACAACAGGCTGTTTGCTGAAAATCCATGAAAAAGTAAGTGTAATAATTTGTCTTGCAATGTTTGTGTAGATTATACAAGGACATATTAAAGGTTTTGTTTTGGAGCACAGACTGTAATTGAGTTGTTTCATATAAATATTATCTGGTGGAGGCTAATTACTTATGTGGTATGGGAATGTGAAGTGTTCTGTGTAATTATAACCTTTATTTTAGATGTAATGCAAACACAAGACAGAAAAAAAAACACAAAATATGTCTTAACATAATTTGAGGTTACAATTAAAAGACATGATGGGAGCTTTTAGTCTCATGAGAATTTATTTTGGGAACAATTGCAGGTGTATTATGAACTAGAAGAATTGTTATTGGTTAAAAATCATCCTGTCAGATATAACTTTATATTATTCGCTGTGCATCCTTGTTTGTTGTGTTTATGTGCTATGGGATTTATGTATGTGTCTATATAAATTTGTACACTAAAAAAAAATAAAAAATGTCACCTTTAGACTTTATAGATTCTTCCTGATGATGAAATGACCAAAACATAATGTGAAATAAAATGTTGAAAGTCAAACAATATTTTTTTTTAAAAGTAATTGTGAATAACCATAATAATTATTTTTTGGTTTGTTTTTTATTTTTCATTTTGATATCATTGTAATTTTACAAAAACATCTTTTCTATTTAATAGACAAAACTGTTAAATTTAAGTTTAATACTGTAACTACATCTGTCCAAAAACTGTTTTTATAATGATATGTATTTTATTATATCTGTCTATTTCATTATACATACATATTATAGGGAATTTCTTTGTTTTTAACATTTAAAAAACCTTCACAAAACATTAAAAAGCAAAAAAAAAAAGTGTATGTTTATTATGGGAAACTGCATTATTTCCATGAGATGGCTGGTCTCCATTATTCCACAGCTATTATATTATATTTCATTATTTTTTATCAATTATATGTATGTATTTATTTTGTCCTTCCTTCTGTTTTAAAAAATAAAAAATAAATATTTGTATGTATTTGTGAGGACCCCAGGAAGAATATTAAAGGCTGAGACTGATGCTATGGGGGTTATAATAAAATATAAGAAAGAAATAATGTTTTGAAAAAGAAGTGCAATTTTATGGGAGTATTTTTACACCTTAGTTTCTTAGGATTGAAAGAAACAAGGTGTAACATATAAATTACTTGGCTTGAGAAGACATAGTATGTGTTTTTTTTAACCTTTTGACATATTCGTGCTAAACTAATATAAACTACTGCTTCCTGTAGTGTCACTGCTCATGCACAAACATGACAGTGGAATCGATCTTCTCATTGAGTTCTTGTCAAAAAGCAAATATGATTATTAAGATAAAAATGTAGACAAAGGCATCCTGATGAGACTGTGCAGTGCATGCGTGCTTTCTGTATGACATCATCCACATGTGATCACTGCACCACACTTTCTCTTACACTGAGCTGCGTGTTGTTTTCATTCTGGATGCTCTCAAAAGTGTATTTTTCGGAGCGTCTCTGGCGCATTTTGAAGAGCCGGGAGCCCCGGTTGGAGGCGAGAGACAGCTCCTCCAGCATGATGTCCTTAGGCACGCTCATTTTCTTCCCCAGATCCATCTCTGCATCTGGACGGAGGGAGACAAAAGACTTAAGATCCTGTGTGTGTGTGTGTGTGTTCAGTACAGTTATCAGACTTGTGACAAGATAAATGTATTTTCCTAATTTGTATACTCCCACCTATCGAACCTTGTTGAATACAAATTATATTCACACAGAGGGAGAGAGAGAGAGAGAGAGAGAAAAGGCAACGCTGCTGCTGCAGAAAAAAGCCCTCCACGTGGATTGCTGACTTGGTACTCCTGCCAATATGATGAACGAGGAATTATCCTCCCTCGTAATCAACTCATGTTCGGTGCTTGTTTTGTGGTTTGCTCCACGTGCTCGCTACTGCATGCTGATCATGGAGATGTCACAGGCCTATATCCAAGTGCGAGACGCATAATTTGCCAGAATATCTTACAGCTGTCAGTAGCCTTCAGACCCTCCCTTTCCTCCCCCCACGAGCCACGCAGTTGTCCTCACCCTGAAATAGCGTGTTCAAAAGGACAACGACAAAGGGATTAGTTTCTTTGGCCCATAAAAGTATTCATTTGCTTATTTATAGTCGGGGGTCTGGGAGGGGAGGGTTGGCAAAGGCTGAAAATGGTGGGCTCATGTTTGCTATAAGGTGGCAGAGTCCAGCGCGTGGAGCTGGCGTTTACAATAAAGTTAATATGCCCCGAGCATAAATGTGTCCTCTAAGTTATGGCGTTACATCCATTTGCAATAAAAAAAGATGGGCGAAAGGAGCGGAACACGAGAAGGTGGCGTTGGAAACGGAAGCCAAGGGAGGATGCAAGGAGAGAAAGTGAGAGGTCAGGGGGATTAGAAAAACAAGGAAGTGAAGAGGAAACGATACGGCTACCTTCCTGGGCTTGCACCTCTCTGCAGATTGCCGCCGCCTGCATTTTCCTCTCCTGGGTCGTCATGGTGGAGAACTGTGACATGGCTGCCCCTGGGGAGTTGGGATGAGGCATGAAGAAGTCACAGGAGGCGCACATCAGTACAACCTGTTCCAACGCATAACAGGAAGGCGAGGCGGCATGTCGGCCATCGATTGGGCAACATCAAGCATCCGCACCACGCACAAAGAACCGGCACATAGAATTTATTGGGGCAGGGAAAAGGGCAAAGTTAGCACATCCCTTTAAATAACCTTAGGCTGTTAAACGCCAAGCACATGCTCCTCAGACATGGCAGCCGGCTGTGTCAGGGGGTCCGGCAATCGATAGATTTGAAATTGCCCGAGCGGCCTGAGAGGACGCAGGTGGAGAACGCGGTGCTGTCACAGCAGGCATGGGTGAAATAGAACAGTGGAAACTTTACACCAAGGTGTCGGAGGGCACAGTGCAGGCGGTTCATTCCGGTCCGAAACACTTCTCAGAAAGTTTGCGGTTAGACACAGGATATTCTCCCCACAAGAGTGTCAAACTGTAACATTTCTCAGCAACATATTTATTAAAAAATGTTCAAGGGAGCTCAAATAGAAGGCAAGCAATGCATCCAACACAATGCACTGGGGGTGACAGCGAGACTCATGCTTGATTCAAAGTGCAAAATGCCACATCAGACCTGGACACCTGCGGAGAGGCCCGAGTGATGTCTTACCTGTCCTGAAGGACCCTCAGGGGTGGGGGGTCTGAGTGGTCTCAAGTTGTGCCCGTCTCCTCGGGGGTAGGAAGTCAGAAAGGTGAGAGGCTGAGAGGGTCAGACTGGGTAGTGCGACCTGCGTGGGTGCTCCCGCTCCCCGGTACTGGGGCTTTGTGGCGGGGCGGGTGGGCCAGAGGGGGCTGCAGAAGCACTGAGCCGACTGAATGAGTGGGTGGGTGGGTGGGTGGGTGTCGGTTTGTCTGTTGTCATTGGTATTTAGTTCACAAGCGGAGGGGCGACTAAATTTAGAGCACTGCCACTATACCGCTCGCTCTGCCCTCCATCTATCAGCGGTGGAGCTCCGGATGGTGGGCATTGATTTCAAAACTGGAGTATTTGTACCCTTGGGGGTGTTTTTGCAGTTATTAGCAGATAAGTGGGCAAAATGTGAAAAGCTGAGCTAACATTAAAGAAATAAGAACTGAATTTACAATTAATTTAATAGCATATATCTACATATGAAGTCAGGTGTAGTTAAGATTTCAAAAAGTGAGCAAAAAGTGTGTTGAGATTGCTAGCTAATCCCTGAAACTAAAGATAAAAACCCATTTTTTCTTGGTTAAAGTCACAGTTTAATCAGATAGCTTAAATTTTAAGGAGCTAAGTACACGATAAAAGGTGGAAATAGCATTTAGCTACAAGTAAAGGAGAAATCAATCATCAATAATCAGATCAATTTCTGTATTTTTGTGTATTTTCTTTCATTTATGTGTAATTTTTCTGCACAGAATCATTGTAACATGTTGCACAACCACCAAACTGTATAACGCACTGCAGTCCTTTTTATTATTTTGTTATATTTTTAAGCTGCTAGATCCTAAAATTACCCTCAGGATCAATAAAGTATCCATCTGTGACTGGCACATGTACAAACTTAACATAACTTCACTTGTACAAAACACTTTTAACATTTACTAATAAGCTCACTTATATTAATGAGCAAATAATATTGAATTTATGATTAAATATGAACACATTTGGGGCATTCTTTACACCAATGAGGGGTTAACGACGCACTGAATGCACTTCATCTGTGCAAACGTACATGTTTCTCTAACTTTAATGCTGACTTCCTCACCTCCAAAGGGCGATAACATGTTGCCCATCTGCAGCTCCGCTAATATACGCGAATTCAATAGCACCTTAAGAACGAAAACCCCTCCAAGGAAACCACTGAGCAAGCTTTAACATCGAAAATAAAGCTGTTTCAGCTGCAATCGTCCTCATCAGCGCCGGAGAATTTGCCGCGCGCAGCCAACAATAAATATATTCAGTGACACCCAACATGGGAACAGGGCCCCCTTAAGGCCTGCAGACCAATCAGATGCTATTTGTTTTAAATGCCAGCATGTGATATAGGAGGGATGGAAGTCTAGTAGGGGTCACTCACCTTTTACAAGGTTTTAATTGACCTTTCTGAATTTAATTTATCTATATTGTCCATTTCTACTGTTAATAGGGGGGAAATAAAGGAATCTCAGCACACAGCATTGCATGACAGGTTGAAGCATGGTGTTTAATGGAATAATGCCTGGTAGAGAGAAAACTATGCACAGAATTAACTATTTCAAAGCTGAACGCACGGCTCATATTCACGCTTCCCTTTGAGTCTTTTTCAAATCTAAATTGGTAGGAAAATAAATTTCTGTTTATCGTCTCCCTCTGTGCCCTCGTCTCCCATCCTCTAATGTTCGGCTACAGTAGGTACCCACTGTTATTACGTAACCGGGGGGTCGCCATGGGAACGGGCCTCACCCGCCTCCTCCTCCTCCTCCTCCTCCCAGCCTGCTGTATATTCCAGACAACACATCACGCAAACAGCTCCATGGGATGCTACAGCAAGCAACAAATGGCCCACAGCAAAGTATTTCAAACTTGGAAAGAGCACAAACACGCAGAGCGAAACGGTGCTATTCGGTTGGATTTATTTAGCAAAATGCCGAATGTGAGTCTATGTCTGAATTAGTCCGCAGCTGAAATGGATTACCGGTGTTGCGTTGTGAACCATAATTTGTGTTGTTCGAACGGAAAGCGGTACAGTGAAATCATCACGCTAAGTGAGTCGGCTGAGGCACAACACAATGCCGTGTGATAAATCTTATTTACGTTTATGAGATTGCTTGGTGAGAATCACATTAGGACATTATGTACACTCTGTGGAAACACCAGCCTAGCTTTAATTTTTTTATTTTTTTTTGGAGATGATTACAAGCCTATAGCAAAAGCCCAAAACCAAATATAAACCCATTACATCCTGCAGCTCTCCCAAACCTTTTTATCGACTAAAACAATCACTTTTGTTGTCATAATTAGGATTCGTTCACATTTAACAATCCGACTTTCACTCCCAACTGAAACTCCATTACCCCCGAAGCTTGTTTTTTACACATACAGCGCGACGATTCACTTGTGTTTCCAAGTACACAAAGAAAAGTGTTGAGTAGCCACATGCTAATGCACTAATTAAAATGCACCTGGTACATAAGTGAATTAATCCCACTGATTAGAGATTACATAACGACACGTCCGCCCACAGCGTGCAGAGTTATAGCGGTAACCTTTCCCCAAGTTTTAAGCCTCGGTTCTAATGCACCACTAATTGCATTCTGACACTGAAGCGATTTCGAGTTTCGTGGACTGAAAATCAAACAAAACCAGCAAGAAAACAAAAGTGCACACTTCCTCCTGCACGCTAAATGCATACATCCACAGCAGAAAAATGACACCAGGGTGAACTGCAAAGCTCTTAAACAACTACAGAAACAATCTTGCGACTTACTACGTGAAGGGTGGATCGCTGTTTCTTTCTCTCTCGTTATCCGTAACTCTTCTCTCAAGATACCATAGTTACCTGTTGTTCTATAGTTCAGTTGTGTCTATATATAGCTACTGCTAACATACAGCCACTCTTACTTTGTACTCATTGTGTCCATTCTAAACTACATACGCATCTCCATCTCATCAACAGGCCCACTTCAGTGTATTTACCAAACTAGAAAGCTGTCAGTTCAATGTCGCTGAGTCTACAAACTAAACATCTCTTTTGATTACGTCATGCAAAGTAAATGATTTCACCTAACACCTTTTGTATGGAAGCTACAACAGCAAAAACAGTAGAATGCATCTTTTAAAAAAATGAAAGTATTGTATTAAAACCAGGAGAAAACTAGCCATCTCTTCCCATTTTAGTTATTTTCTTACTAACACACTATTGTTTGTTTAGTTATTCTAACAGAAGATGCTCTAACTGCTCGTAAATGTATAAAGGAATCAGTGAGTGATGTGATTTTACTCATCCAAGACAACACAGGCGGAGCTGCATCCTACCGCCTCCAACTCCAAGTGTTGCTGGTGTACACAGACTTGTAATTTTGCCTTCCCAGAGGCCTCTGACACTCAGACGAAGACACTGAGGGCCTCAGGTTTGAATGCATAACAGGCTTCTGAGGCTGCCACTGTCTGGGCAGGGACCTGTAACCAGCATGGCTGACCGGGGTGGACACGGGGCTCCTTGTTGGGGACATGAAAGATGGAAGCAGCGCTCGAGTCTGACTGCGACTTTGGCTCTGGCTCCAGGTCTGGCTGCCTGTTTTCTGAGGGCCTCGGTAAGGAACTGCGGCCTTCCACTCCGCCGGCGGCTCGGGAAGCATTTTGCGCTGGGCTGCCAAGCGGACATTTGAAGCGAGGGTTTGCTGGAGGTTCTGGAAAGAAAAGGCCTCGTCCACCAGGCCCAGGGGATGCCGGGAGGCGGCCTCCCAGGGCGTTGGGGGTTTGTGGCCTTTTTCCAGCCAGGATGTCTGCCTCGCTGGGGGAGTGGCGGAGGCCCGGGCTGGAGGCCTCGGGGAGGAAGAAGCCGAAGCCGATTTCTGGCCGGTGAACGGTACTCTGGCTGGTGGGGAAAGGGAGTAGCTCCTGCCAATTGCCTGTAAAAAAAGGATCCAGACATGTTTATTTTAGTAAGGGTTCATTTGTGCTGGGCTGACTGGCCTTGGGGCCAAGTCAAATCAGCTTGGAAAACAGAGTATCTCTCTGTCAAAATACTTCTGTAACACTCTTGTGTTTAAAACTGTTCTGTGTTTTATTCTTTGTCAATAAATATATAAATAGTTGCCGAGATCTGGAAGAGCTAGCAAAAATAAATTAGCTGCAAAAGCAGTTTAAAGCTCTGTGAAACTTGTTATTATTAAACTTATTGAGGACTTATTCGTCCATTCCACAGTAAGCCTCTTCAACCCAGCGCTTTAGCATTTGTCCAAACAGAGTGGGCTGCCGTTTTATTTCTCAGAACAACCAGCTTACGGGAGCGCAGGAGCTTCCCAAAGTAAACCACGTTCAGCTTGTTTTCACTGGAACTGCTTTTCTTCGAAGGAACAATCAGATGGGTGACTGCTAAATGCTTCATGCTAAAGTCTCCCCTCATGTGAAGTGAGCAAAACACCTCTGTGCTCTTCACTGTCTCCTACAATAGGTTCTGCTGAACACAGGGGACATGCAGAAAAGGCAGTGCTGCCATCGCCTGGTGAAAAATGTGTACTATCAGCAAACAGTAAGAGATGGCGTAAAATAAGAGAGTGCAGTCATAAAGAAGACAAACGTTAAGCGAGTCAAGTGGGGATGAATTCTCTGCTGACTCAGGTATCTGGTAGCTTGAAAATGCCTGCAGCGGTGCTGGCCTGGATTAGGGGAGGCACATGAATGTATGAGCAGATTAGTAGAAAATCTAAGGTCATATTTTCATTCCGCTGAAGGAGATTGCCAGGACGGCTGTGTGTTTGCACATTGTTTATGTCTGCCTATTTGCCAAGTCTGCAGAATTTAACATACTGTATCTCAGGAATGGGCAGAGCATAACGGTGTGCACACACGGAGTTCCATTTTCAGACAGATGTTCAAAATAGTCTACACATGCAGGCAGCCCTAATTATGCAGATTTATGTATGGCCCAGGCGCACAAGAAAATACATCGGAGAGTATCTATATGTAGAACATCTGTCTTATTTTGATTAAAATATAGATAATATACAGCATGCAGTACCAAAGTTTAGTAGCATCCGCATACATTTAACAGTATGTGGCTTCTAAACCTGGAGTAAAGTTGTGGTTGTCGTCTACATTTTTCTTTTGCTGCATAAATACATATTTGAATTAATTTATATCTGAATAATGCAAACATTAAAATGCAAAACTGTCTTCAGAGGGAACTTTAAAACAACTATGGCTCAGATATAGATGCATGTGTAATCAGTCAATGAAGCAGTGGAGGGGAAAAAAAAAAAAGATTCCTCCGGATATAGCTGCAGAAATTTGCCAACCTAAGATCATCTGATATTAAAACTTCCACTTAACAAATAAGAGCCCTTTCACAAAATGCATGACACAACACGGGTGTGCATTTCAGCTGTCGCCCACTCGGTTGACCTCCAGATTTATCCAATGAGGTGACAGTGAAGTCATCGATCTAATAATATCCTTAAAAAAAATGCATCATCAGGTCGTCATTCTGCGGGAATGTGCTTCTCCAGCACCTCATCTCAACTCTTGGAAAAGTAGGTTACTTGGATAATGAGGCGTATCTGGCTGACAACTGACAAGCTGCATTTCATTTTATTGCTGAAAACCGATTTTGTTTGAACTCGGGGATGCGATTCTGACTGATTTGTAACTGACATTTTTTTTGGCAGGGCAAATATACAGTTACTGTTAGTATTTATAGTACAGGTGGGAGAAGCGGTGAAATTCAGCGAGATGAAAAGAGACTAGAAATAGAAGAAACCCTAAAAGCATGCTGAAAGGACAAAAGAAAGGAAACCAAACAAGGATAAAAGACAGTTTAATGGCACTGCAGTGAATCATACAGAAAGTGCACTATGAAGAGAAACACACAAAGAAAAAGGAGAGGAAAAAAAAAGAAAAGAACATGAAGAACAAAAGCAGCCCTGTACCAAAAATATATTTGTGAGCATCACCAGGCTTCTCAACAATTCTTCTTTTTTTTAATATCATTCATTATCTGTTCATTATATACTGCATATATAACAACACCAGGAGAAGAGTGAACCTCGAAGAGAGTGTGTGCTTATATATATATATTTGTCTGCTATCAGGAAAAAAAACTACTATGAAGGTCTGAAATTAAATAGCTTTCATTGGCTTCAGTTGAAATTGAAGCCTACTCTCTGGACCTCACAACTCCCTCTCATGAGGCAGTTTAAATATAGTACCTAACATGATGCAACAGCTGGTAAAAAGCCTAAAATAAAACTAACCCACTTCAGAAGGAGCTATGGAAACACTGGGGAAAGGCACTGAAGAAGAAAAAACTGTTTACTAATCAAACATTTTTAAGCAAGCCAGTGCTTGTTGTCACAAGAAATAACGTATTCTACGGCCTAGAAACGACCTGATGCTCCAGAGTTGTTACATAATCTCTGTACTTGACATCCCTGACATTGCAAATTTAGCCCTTCTGCTTGGTATCATGACACCCCACAGACCCCACCCGTCTCACTTACCCCTTTATTTTTAGTTTGGCTTTATTTACTTTTAATGTTTCCTTTATTCAACTTCATTGTATAGAGCTAGTATTCTTTCATTTGTTTATTAAATAATTTTATCACCATTTAGCCTGTTCCGCTTTTCAGAAATCGACTTTCTTGTCTCGCAGTCTATGACCATTTACTTCTAATTTCTTCTTTCTCTCACCCCTTTCTTTTCTTTTCACACTGAGCTTCATGCTCCCCTACATTCTCATATTGCCACCACTTTATAATCTTTGACATAAAATTGTATTCATTTATAGTGGTTTTTGCATAATTTTCTATAAAAATTTAATTTTCTCTGCTTTGTGTCTGATAAGATATACTTACATCCCATTCTTATTCATATGGTCTTAATTGGTTCGTGATGCCTTAGCTCTCAAAACTCATAAACCACCAAGCTCTGTTCTATGGCAATAACAAGAGCAGGTGGAGCTGAAGATAGTCATTGCAAAAGCAATTTACGTGCTCAAAACATTCCACATGGCAGTGGACTGCAGGAGCACCAAAGCTTTGTTTCAAGCAGGCACTCGGCATGTCATGATTCTATGAGAATCACTCTTTATCAACTGCTGTAGGCTTCCACACCTGAGCCGAGCTCTTTTTTGCTGTAAACTTAGGCTTGGGAGCAGCTCCAGGGTTGCCACCAGATGTGGATTCAGGCCTAGCAGCCACAGGGAAACTAGGGGCAATATAGCTACTGGGAGGCTGTGGCTGGTAAGGTGCAGAGGGTGCTGCCAGATAGGGAGGGCTATTGGCTGGCTGGTAAGCAGCCGGCAGCGCCTGCTGGTAGGGAGAGTTTGGGGACTGAGGGGCTTGGGGATGATAAGCAGGTGGGGCAGGTTGTTGATATTGTTGGTTATACGCTTGCTGGTATGGACCACCAGGAGGTTGCTGATAAGGATTAGGGGGAGGATAAACATTAGCTTGGGGTTGCTGATAGTGGCCATCATGCATCACAGGCTGCATGGGCATCCCATAGGGTTGCTGGGGGTATGGGGCACCAAAAGGTCCAGCTGGTTGAACCGGGCCCATTTGCTCATATTGAATTGGCTGGTTAGCAACAGGTGGATTAGGAGGTGAACAGCTGGGCTTAGGTGAAGCGGGCTTGGCAGCCTCTGCTCCAGGGCCGAAGATAAAGAGTGAGGAATTTAGCTGATAGGGTTGATGCTTCATGACATCTATAACATTGAGAGGTTTAGGGGCAGGCTTTGGTTTCTCTTTGTCTTTTTTCTTTGCTTTGGTTGATGGGCTACTGGAAGGGGGCTGCTTTGTTGCTGCAGGGGGATAAGATGGGGACTGAATAGGATTGTATGCCCGTGGGGGTGGAGCACGTACATTGGGAGTATATTTCCACTCATTCGGTAAGGAAGCAGCTGGTGATGATGACCGGACTGCCTTGTTTGCTTCCACAGTCTGAGAGTCAACAACAAACTTCTCCATACGAGACTGCCTCTTGGCGAACATGTCAGCTCCTTTCCCTCTGACTGCCGGCATCTCAAAAGCTGAACCTTGGGACGATGGGTTTAAGACGGTGGCCATTGGGTTGATGGGTGACGAAGCTCTTTGACCAATATTAAAAGAGTGCATGCGCTGTGGAGGAGAAGGAGGGGTCCGGCTTTGTGGGGCATTTTGTGGCGGAAGCCAAGGCTTTGGTGAGGGTCGCGTGTTCACTGTTGACATCGAAACATTCACAGGTGCTTGCTGTGACTGTGGTGTCCAGGTGTTCACAGGTGTCTGAGGCTGTGTCTGAGCTGGAGGCCATGTATTCATTGGTGGTTCTGGTGGAGGCTTTGAAGTGGGCTGTTGCCAGTTTGGCTGTGGTGAGGGCTGGGGTGGAGCTGGTTGAGTCCAAGGTGGCTGATGTTGGGCCTGATGTTGCTCCTGGGGCCAAGCATTCATCTGGTGCTGACCGTGTTCTGGAGGTTGTTGAGCCCATGAAGGCTGGGACTGGGCCTGGGAAGGTGCTGGTGCCCATGGATTCAAATTGGCTTGAGGCTGAGCTTGAGGTTGTGGTTGACCTACTTGCATCCAAGGGGGCTGAGCTTGGGCTTGAGTTTGTGATGGTGGCCATGCATTCATTGAGGGTTGCTGAGGCTGTTGAGGCTGAGCTGAGGCCCAAGGCGGTTGAGGCTGACCTGGTGCTTGGGCCTGTGGCCATGTTTGTTGCGGAGCCTGATGTTGTGGCTGCTGAGCCCATGGCGGTTGTGTTTGGGATTCTGGTTGAACCTGTTGAGCCCAAGGAGGTTGTGCTTGGGATTGTTTCTGGGGTTGTTGCACCCATGGTGGTTGATGTTGAGACTCTGGTTGGGAAGGCTGAGTCCATGGGCTCTGGGGCTGGGGCTGGGGCTGTGGCTGGGGCTGCGGCTGCGGCTGCATTGGTTCTTGAGCTTGACCCCAGGGTGGCTGTATTTGCTGTAGGTGGGCCTGCTCATTCGGGTTTGTCCAAGGGGCCTGAACCTGTGGCTGAGATTGCGGTTGCTCTTGAGGCTGAGCCCAGGTTGGTTGAATTTGAGAGCTCCAGGTATTTGTGGGGGGTTGAAGCGGTGCTTGGTTCTGAGGAGGTTGGCGTGTCATCCAAGGTGGCTGTGGTGGAGACTGACTTGGAGGTGGTGCCTGGGGTTGCACTTGAGCTGGATGCCAAGAATTTGAAGATGGCTGTTGTTGTTGTTGTTCTTGTGTTTGTGCTGCACCCCAGGAGGTCAAAGGAGAAGACTCAGGCTGCAGGGTAGGAGCCATATGACCATTCCCCTCCTGCGCTGCCACTTGTATAGGCTGCTGTTGAGATTCAGGCTCCGGAAGAGTCCAAATACGCTGTTCTGCTGTGGCGGTGCTGGCAGGAGTCTCCTGTTGAGCAGGAGGGGGAGAGGGCTCAGGGGCAGGTGCAGGGGTTGGCTCTAGTTCTGGAGCAGGAGTGGCCTCTGTGGTGGGGGCTACAGCAGGTGTGGAAAGACTATTTTCAGCACACTGAGGCATGTCCTGGTTGGTTGCTTCTATCTGCGGTGACCAAGGAGGAGAGTTGGGATTGATCACAGGCTTTGGGGCAACTGGTGGAGGAGTCTTGTGTTTAAGTCGCTGAGATTGGAGGAAATTACAAGCCTCAGCCCCAAGGCTGAGGTAGTCTTCCTCAGGTCCTGACTCAAAACCCAACTTCTTATCGCTCCTGTTGAGGAGGTTCAGCAATGCTGGGTTAGGAGAAACTTTTGGGGCTTCCTTAAATGTGAACATTGGCTTGCCAGCATTCTTTCTCCTTGTATCTAACAAAATGCCCGTCCTGGATGCAGGGGTAGAAATGCGCTCATCACGGGATGCTATCTGCTCTCCTTGACCCACAGACTCCTGATTGGTCCCACTCATTGCATGAGCATAAGGGGTAGCCACCATGCTTTCTGCTGTGAATGGCTTTGCAGTGCGATTGCTGAAAGAACTCTGCATCTCATTGGTTTGATGTTGCACTGTGCCATTGATGTTTGTAGAATAGTGTTGGATTTGCTGTTGCTCTTGATGGTATTCTTGCTGTTGCTGATATATTTGCTGTTGCTGATAATGGCTTTGCTCATACTGCTGCTGCTGCTGCTGCTGCTGATATTGCTGTTGGTATTGTTGCTGCTGCTGGTATTGCTGCTGCTGCTGCTGGTAGTTCTGTTGTTGCTGTTGGTAGTTCTGTTGTTGCTCATAGTACTGCTGTTCTTGATATTGCTGGTACTGTTGCTGGCTTTGCTGGTGTATATTTACATCCATGTAAGCATGGCCCTCTGTTGTGGACTGCATGTAGGAGTGCTCCATGGCCTTCTTTTCGATCTCCTGCACTCCTTCCACGGGCATCCCTTGGCGCCTCAGCTCGTCATGTTCAGCAGAGATCTCATCCATCCTCATACGCCGTTGGGCAAACATGAGGGCACCCTTTCCTTTGGTTTCAGGCAAACACTCCATCTGTGTTTGGTTGTTCATGTTCCTTTCAATTTCAAGGAGACCCTTGTCCCAGTTTAAAGTTAGCACTCCTTTGCTACTGTGGGCATTAGTGAGAAAATGCTTGTCTATTTCAGAATCAGCTGGAGCCACAAGGGTAAATTCGACAGTTGATGTTTCTTGTTTGTGGTCTTCGTTTTCCTCGTCCTCTTCGTCGCTGTACTCTGGCTTGTCTTCTCCCGTGCCGTAGCTCACAAGTGTGTATTTCTTGGCCCTCTGACGATGCTTCTTGAACATCAATACCCCCTTGTTGTTGGGGTTGGGTGGAGCGGCCGTAAGAAGGAGAGCAATACGTTTACATTTGGACTTGGCCTCCTTCACCTGTTTCTCAGACAGACTCTCGCTACGCCTGAGCCCTGTGCAGAGAAGGAAAAGAGAAAGTTCTGTGTTTAGAGTGGGTTTGAAAAAAAAAAAGAGTCCTAGATAGCGAATTTTTAAAAAAGTGAGTCTCTTGGATAAATTCCCTCTGAAACTAAAAAGGTATGAATAACTTACAATAGAGATAAAACATCAAAACATTTAAATCTGCATGTTTAGGTTGGAAAAAAAAACGTTCATTTCTTGAAACAGTGGTCCCTAGGCCTCAATTAATACAGATTTTGTTTGAACTTTTCAGCTCTTTGATCGCTTACTTAAGGACAAGCTCAAGGCAGTCCTTGCACACCGCTCATTTAATTAACTAAATTACCCAAAATTATGAATGTAAAAAGCTGTTTTTGTAACATGTCCACTCTGAATATGAGCTGAAAAATAAATGCATTTTGTTACCATATAAACTTTATCTTGATTTAGCATTCATCTGAAGAATTTGCACAAGTAACTTGGTGACAGATGATAAAATTACATTTCAAAACAAAGGCGAGAAGCAAAGCAATTAATTTCAGTTTGCAACATCACAATGATATCAACTTTTTGTGAAACTTATGTCTTTAAATTATATCAAATGCTCACAGGACAAGCACAAACAGACAAACTATTAATGCTACATGCACTACATTTGAACTAATCCTGCATCAAATAGACTGTAAACTAAGCTCTTAACTATTTACTTCAAGTAAGAAATGACACATGATGCATATTCTTAGTCTGCACATAGTATACATCCACCTATTGTTGACATTTGTAATTCTATTACTCCAACTGTGGTCGTTCAGCTGAACATAAAACATCAGCCCATAAAGCACCGCTGAAGTCCTCTGACCCGTGTCTAATATTCTCATTTGTTCACAGACAATGCAGAACATTAAATCAGTTGTTCAGGAATAGAGACTGAGCAAGATTAAAGATAGCCTGCATGCAATAAATTCACCAGGACCGGAGCGTCTTTACCAGTCCTTATCTGTAAGTTGACAAGCTGCCCACTTTAAAAAAAACAAAACAACAACTGTGCTCTTTTTAAATCTATCACATTTGCTGACACTTGGGCCAATCAGATAACCGGCGTTACACGACAAAACCCCTCTAAAACCATCCAATAATGTCAGGCTATAATATAAATAACAAGCAGGCTTAGTTTTTCATATTCTTGCAAGACTAACCTGAAGGTGCAGGAGACAGCGGGAGTGAGCAGCAGACTCACTTTTTTAGCTCAGTTAAAGCACCCAGTTTGAAAGGATCAGGTATCGGTCTAAGGGAGCACATGCTGGTGTCTGTCAAAGGGCCACTTCTGCAGGCATCATCAGCGTGCTGGTGTTATATTTATGTCTTCCACACAGCTCAGAGGAACGCCTCGGTATCCATATTCACCATCACGCCTCTTAGAAAGGGTAGTTTCTAAGAAGGTGCAGCAGTTTCTCACACATGACCAATTTAGTGTCTTTTTTTTAAACCCCTTTTCCTTTTGATTCTTGATATTGTGTCACGTATCCCCCCCCCTACTATCACTCTGGTTCTGTCACACTTCAGGTCAGACCCGGATGTATCTACTTCCATCCAAAGGAATGAGCACCCTCCTCCAACTGCAGCGGCAGACGCTATTTTAAGGCGTACACACACTTTGAAATCGGGCTTCGGAATGCACACATGTTGACAAATGTAATTTAGTGTTGTAGACTACCACTTAAAGAATTGATCTTTATTACTCACACACTCAGGAGCACACAGGGAGACAAAATGCACACCAGGATGAAACAAATGGACTTACTGGCGTGTCTCGCCCGATGCTTGTTGGGTTTGTCCGGATCCCCCTCAGAATCCGAGTCCTGCTCTTCTGCTGCTGTCGCGTCTTCTGGGGGAATTTCAAACGAGACACTGAAAGACCCAGCGACACCCTCGTAGTGCCCTCCTCCTTCTTCTCCTTCACTTTGGGATCCAGCACTTTCACTGACCCTGGGGCCACCCACACTCAGGATGCCCCTCCCTGCTCCTGATGCTGCCGCCGCCTGCTGCTGCTGCAAAGTGACCTCCGCCTGGCCCAGCATCGAGGCCGAGCTGACCACCACTCCATGCTGGCTGAGCGGCTCTCTGACAGAAGACGGCACATAGTGTGACGTGGTGATGGTGGCGGTGTGGATGGTCTGAACAGCTTCTGGGTCTGAGACTTCCCCCTCAAACCCGCGAGCGCTCCCAAGGGAGGTGCAGCCCACGTCGTCCAGGGTTTGCTCAGACATGGACACCTGCAGCTCCACCAGGTCCCCTGGGGAGAAGCATCGCTGCACTTTGTCATCATTTTTCTTATAAACAGGCTCCTGGCCTCTTTGAGCATCAGACCAGGAAGTGTGTAGCTCAGTGCAAAGCAGCTGGGGTCCCTTGGGAACCTCTGTGTCACTGTCCAGCTCCGCACAGTAGGCCTCGTCTTGGGTCTCGGATATGTAGAGTTCTCTTGGGATTCCGGACCTGTGCTTTGGGGAGATGATGTGGAGGGTGGTGCTCTCTACAGCCTCGCCAGCAGAGGCCCTCTCATCACTGTATGTCCCTTCGGATTCATACTCTTCAGAGGAGATGGAGTTGTATCTTTCAGAGAGGAAAGAGAGTGGTAGGACAGATTTTATTAGTTCATCAATTAACTTATTAGGCGATAATGCCACAGCTTGTTTGGACCTGTGCATTTAAAGATAAAGTGTTTGATTAGTAAATTACTAGCAACTCACTAACTTAACACCAATTTTATATCAGCAGAAGTATTTTTTTTTTTTAAACATTTGCTTCTCTATGAGAGGCAGAGGTATGTCCATGCAAATCTGTTTGGATCAGTATCGTACAACACTGTTTAAATAAGAACTCGTTGGCCGTGATAAATACAACCACCGGATTCGAGCCTCTCTTGTGCTGCTGAAGTTGTCAAAGCAATCAAGTAGATTTAATCCTCATTCAGCGAGTTAATCAAAAAGGTCAGGGCACTGAAGTGGAAACTAATCACACATAAACATCACTTTGCCTAATTTCCACTTTCAAGGTCAGCCTGGAACAGCGTGGCAGAATGTCATTATCTGTAACTGCAGTTATTGAATTTAAGTCAATTAGACCTTAAAGACTACCCCCTTTTCTCCAAATGGGAAAGATTGATGCATCTTCATATATTCTGATAACTGCAAGCTGAGGTCCTCTGCCCTCCAAGTCTACGAGCAAAATTCTATATGCAGTAAAGGAAACAGGATGAACAATAAACTGTGCTGTATATGAGGCAATCTGTAAATGCTGAAATACCTCCATCTAAGAACTAGATTCTGCTTTAATCTGTCTTCAAAATGACATGCATGCAGCTCAAATACAGGCCCATTAAGGAACATGCAGCCCTATCTGAGAACATGTCAGCCTGATAAACAGGCGGGCAGTGCCAGCTGAGTAATGGCTGAGCAGCTGCATGCCAATCAGACACACAAATCTGTAACACCTTGGCTAAGCCATTTGGAAGGTCAGCATGGCTGACACACATTATCTCACGAAGAGACACACAGACATGGATGCACAAAGACAGTCAGAAGTTCACTGAACGATGCAAAAGGACACAGGTCGTAAAACAACATGCTATCTAAATGCTAATAGAATGGTGCAATAATCAGTTTGCTGCTGTTCTGAACACCAAGGACTTGTGCTTCTGCATGGCTCAGCTGTCATAATACACAGAGTGTACAGTGGCACAAAAACCTCACAAGAGGAACAAAAAAAAGAAAACAACAGGCAGCAATCATCTTAGTAAAAAAAACGACTAAAAAAAACATGCTCAACAAACAACAAAAAAAGAAACCGAAAAACATGAAAACACAGAAAAACAGAGCAGAAAACCTGAAATCCAGAACAAGAAAAAAAAAAAAATCAAGCCAACGTCACAAAGTGACCAAAGCACGAAAACAGGAAAAAAACATCTAACAAAATTTAGAATAAAATTACACACAATATTAAGTTACAAACATTATTATGTCACCACAACACATCAAAACAAAGTCTGAAACTTAAAAGGTTTATCGACACTGTCCAAAAAAATGTGTATTTGAGCTGCAGTTGAAGTGAAGCACTGTTCTGAATAAATCTCATTCAGTCTATCCTTCGTTCCTTTAAACTGGTGTTTTAACTTCAGTGAACGTGCAAAACGTTAATTTATTCTTTCAGAGTTGTACATCTAATGTTTAAATTGTGCAACTCAGCCGCCCTTTCCTTTGAGTAGGATTGCAGAGTTTCGCATTTTACGTTGGGGTAAAGCAAATACCTAAAATGGAAAAACCTGAAACCTCAAGTTGACTTTCCTTCGGATTAAGTAGCAGCAGTAGTGTTCATTTGAGGGGAATCAAATGAACTTCAACCAGTGGCATTTACATAAATCTTTAACTTAATTTAGCTGTGTGCCACCAATTGAAGCAATTCATTTAAGTTGGTCCAACATCTTTTTTTTTTTAGTGTAAATCAGCAAATTAGACTTTCCTTTCTTGCAACCGTGCATTTAACTCAGTGGTATTGATGGACTGCACAGAAAATACAAATACAGCTTGATATTTTGCTTTTGTTTTCTTAAGTTCATAGTTTTGCTGTTGATGCACGACCCTCACATCATCTCAGCTGATAACTGACATGCAGCTCTACCTTTTGAGAAGCAGCTGCAGACAGTCGATCGACGTGTCAATGAGAGCGAACGCTTGCAGGAGCGTGAGATCGGCACACGGCTCCCCGTTGACTGAGACCACCTCGTCAGCTTCCTGTACTCCAGCCAGGAAGGCACGCCCACCGTCTTCTACCTGCGGAAGACAAAATTTAAACCAGATATCAGTTCTTCACACAAAAGAGCAGCAACAGCAGGCAGCTCAAAAAGAAAAAAGTGCAAACTCAGATAAATAACTTGAACAGCTGTACAGCGGGGATGCTCCAAGTGTGAGAACTGCCCTCTAACCTTCACGCAGCCCAGCTATGACAGAGCAGCTATTTACAGGAAGCCAAAATAAATCATGTTTGAAATGCTGTCAGTTGCGACTAAGGTCAGAAAACAGCCACGTATCCCCCAGGTCAGTGGCACAAATCCATTTTTATCTGGGAAAGCTCAAGGACAATTGCATTTTGTGCAGGATTTCAGGCTCCAAAACAAACAAATCTATGTATTCTCATTTTCATAAATACAAGAAAATGACAATCAGGGTGCAAATGATAATGATGCGAGGCAAAATAGAGCATTAGTGTGAATAAAGAGCGGTTTGCGTTTAGCACGAAGCAAAGCACATTTGTTGAGGGACTCCCTGTGTTGATTTTTTAATTGGACGTCTCCTTTGATGTGCACTGAGTTCACGTCAGGCCAGGAAGACAATGTGTGCACAGGGATTCAGGACGGATCATTAATACGTCAGAGAAATTTTAAAAAAAGCATAAATTTATTGAAGTCAAGTCGAGCAACAGTTTGCACAATTCACACACGCGAGATGGTTTAATAATAAAAATGGCAATTCCACCTTGAATCTTAACTGTGCCGCTGCGTATTGTAGCTGTAGGCCAGCTCCGTGCAGATCCATTTAAAGGGCACCTCTTTACACAGTTAAACTAATGACTGATGGTTTCATTTTCTTGTAATTGGTTCCTGAAGCCTATAAAATGGTTCATTAATAAGAGGATTTAATAAGGAGAAATACCCCATAAATTCTGCACAAAAGGCCACTTATGCAGCCAGGAGGATAAATTATGACTTTAGCGGCGTGCAATTAGAGGATGTGCTCTCAGGAAATAGGTTAAGAGATTTTGCAAATATTACAAATACGCCCGCTTTAGGAGGAACACGAGACGAGTTGTCATTTTAAAATGCTAATTCCAGCTATGCTTCAATTCTAAAAATAAAGACAACATGCCAGGAAAATAATCTTAAACCTCATCATATAGGAGTCATGGATCGTAATCGATTACCCTGAAGGAAGTTTGAATTAGATCAGAATCAATACAGATTAGTTTTTGACATGAGTGATTGTTCCATCGATGCATTTGAGTCTCTCTGCACGTTTATTATAATAAAAGGTATTCAAAATGACATAAATCTGAAATAAAACACCCTTGCTTATCTATTTCCCTGCTTATTTTAGCAATACAACGTGCAATAATATGAATGGAAATTATGTTCTGTGATGACTTTGTGCATTTGCTGCAGTCGTATAAGAAGAGATAAAGTAGCTATGGTAAAATAATGCACCAAACTGTTCTGTCGTCTTGTGCACAAATGGAAATAAATGAACTAAATAGCATCACGGTGTTGAAAGCCAGATAAATCACACTACAACAGAGATGTTGTATTGGATGCAGCTTCAAGTACTTGCAGTAAAACAACTTTGTCACTAGATGGTGACACATGCACACATTTCACTACTGAAGGAGGCGGAATCTCTGAATGACCACAACACTTAAAAAAAAGGAAGTATAATTCCAAAAACACTACATATTTTTGCTCTATTTTGTTCCAGCAGAGCATAGATCCTTAAATTTGCTCTGCCTATTAATCCAGTCAGTACTTCTGTTGCTTCACCTGTATTTCAAATTCATAATCACACTTATTTGTATTCAACAAAAGCACTCATTTAAGCACAAAGACACAAGTCTGACTCTAACAAAAGCAACACCCAGGCTAATAAAATGTACATATATACACAATATTTTATGGGAACTTTCAGATAAACCCTCCCCACCTTGACTCCACGCTCTTTCCAGTTTTTAGGATTGTGCAAACAGTCCCTATAAGGCAGTCGGTGTATCTGTCCACTGGGACTCACACCTCACTACGGGGAGGATGGTTTTGTCTGGAATGCCACAGCAACCGCTCCGTGCTCCCAAAAAAGGAGGGGAAACATTTGTCGTTGTCTCGCAACTCAAACATACACAGTCAGACAATGTTGAAAGGAGGCAAATGCAACCTGGTGTTTGCAGTAGTGCTGCTTGTAAAGAGCAGCCCATATGCAGTAACTGTCCAGGAGAGGATAACAGACAAAAGTCGGTGTCAGAAGATGAGAACTTAAACAGCGTTGGCCAGTTTTTCTTTTTCCAATAAAGTGCTTTCCAAAAACGCAGTCCTCATTATCACATTTACTGCTGACATGATGGGGGGCCCGTAATCAAACCGCACCGTAAGCCCCATTTTCAAATTATCCATTTAACAGGTTTAAATACAACAGAAAATCACAGGAAGTACAGGACTGCATAATGTGTCGGCACAGCTCGGGGCAGTTCCTTCCCTTCGCAGCTTTGAGCAATTATTGTTTTTTTTTTTTTTAACATTTCAGGCAAATATTTTCCAGCTGCCGTGCAGGTAAAACTCACACCATGTGGGAGGATTTACACGTAATGTCTTCATTCACTCGTGTGTTCTTTAGAGCAGAAAATGCTTCACGCTGGAGGAGGGCCAGAAGGTGCATTCGCTGGGAAAAATAGAGTGATTTTTCTGACAGATATTGTGATTTAATTTGTGTTGTTGCTGCTGATTCTTCAGTTTATATAATGAAAAATTCTAGTTTTGTTGTGAATTTTGTCAAAATTATTATTTATTTTAACTTTATGTATGTTGTTCAATATATGTCAATATGAAAACGTTTTTTAACAAAGGAGAATAGAGAAAAAAGTGTTTGGAGTAATTTAGGTACTGTAATTATTTTAGTTTGTCCAGATGAACAGTTCTGACTCCATTTTTTCTGATATTGTCAACACGACTGTCTGCAGCACATGTAGCAGAGAACATAGCAGACCTGAGCAGACACTGGTGCAAAGTCACCTTAGTCAACTAGTTTATGCCATACAGCGCTGCAAAGTTGATCAACAATAACCCCATGATTTTCACTTGCCAATATCACTCAAACATCCTCATTTCACCCTCGTCTGATCTGAATTTCAGTTTTTTTTTTATTCTATTTGTTCTTTTTCTGCTCTTTTCCTGCGCATCTGTATTTTTTTTCTTTCTTTAGTGATGCATTTTGGTGCTTTTATTATTTTATTTGTATCAACTGGTGTTTGTTCTACTTATTTAGTCATATTAAAATTCTGTATTTTGCATTTTGTATCTTTTAATGTTATGGTATTTCTCCACTTATTGTGACTCTGGTTTGGCCTGACAGGCTTTCTGTTGATTTACCGTCTTCCTGAGGATCCTCTTTTAGTGGCTTGTCCCTCAAAGCACTTTGTAAACTAGGTTTTTAAAAGGTGCTACTTAAATAAAATGATCTTATAACTGTATGTGTATGAATAAACAAAACACAAGCCGACTGAATATCAGGTCTGAAAAATCAACTACCAGTCAGGCTCTAGTTTCAATGACACACTATGGACAGTTGCTACCCGTAACATGTCAACAAAAAAAGTGATGAAGAAGATTATTTAAATAGCTTTAAAAATTGGTTACACAAACCAATGAAGGGGATGCACCTTGTTTTACCTCAAGGCTTCATTAAAGCTGTTTTGGTAGGAAAACTAATTGTATCTTGGTTTTTGAAAACTCCACAACTTTCTGAAATGTCCCATTCATTTGAAGATACACAAAAATGCTGTTTTTAATCATATTTCAAATAACCTGGCTTGTTTATCGATTGAATACAAGGCGTCTCCTACATCAGTGCTTAAAGTTTCCATATTTCAATGCCACATTGAAGCAGGTTTCACTATCTACTTGTGATGCTACTTGCAGTCAGAAGCCTGAACCTGAGAGTTCAGGTGAGCGCAGAAAAAAACTCTCCACTTTCTGGAAACCTTCTCAAACTCTGAATGCACATAATTCTGCACAGTGAAAGTCAAACATCCAAGATAAGGAAGACGTTTGAATGGTGGGGAGCTTAAGATGAGATATACTCTCTGTATACCTTTGCCAAACTCAACTAAAGGAATAAAACACATGGAGATAGTGTTCTGTTATTTTAACATACAGCATATTAGCATGTTTCATACATTGGTTCCAAATGAGATGATCAGTCAAAAATACCAAACGCACTACCAAGCATGACTTTAATATAGCTGTAACATAAATTGTGTGCTTTCAGGTGAGGGGGAGAAACATGTATTTGACATAAAAGTCAAATTCTAAATGTTAAGTATGCACCTATTAACGGCAAGATTTATTTAGGTAGAGCACTTGAAAAAGAGAATATATTCAACTGAGAAACAGTTTATATATCTCCAGCAATTCAAGGTGATCCTTTATTTCACCACCATCTGATTAGTCACATCAACTGCACCTCGCTTTGAGTTGCACTGACACAGAAGAAGTCACAGCAACACATTATCATAATCATCAAAAATAGAAATCTGCTTCTGCTTTCATGTGTTTGAAAGACAGAAAAGGAGAAAACAAGCAGAGTCATCATCTGAGGTCACTGCTGTCTCCCAGGCCCAGAACAGAGAGACGGTGTTGCTGCTGCAAAACACAACGCCAAAACTCCAGCAACGGAGGCAGCACTTTGTTTATTCCAGGAAAACAGCAGTGAATGACTGAGGCAGTGGCATTTTGCTGATTGCTTGGCAGCTTAATAAGGTTCCTATGGTGCGCCATTAAGGGCTGAAGCATCAGCAACAATGGTGGTCTTTGCTCTGCGGAAGGCGAGATAATCCTGGCGACGTTTTTCAATTCAAGCTGTGAATGTAATTTCACGGTGAATATAGTGTATAATCACGGAAAGTGTTTAAACCTGTTGCAGACTCGCTTTAAGGTTACAGCTGCTTCGTCATCCGGTGCTCCACAACTGATCTGATGCGTGCTGACGTCCCGCATACCAACATGACATACCTCAGTAATTAGGCTAAAAATGTCTCCTGCTCAGGTTGGTTGGATTTCTTATTATTTTCTGGATATCCGTTTAGGTTTAATGCACATTTCACTGGGAAATCTTTGCACATTTGCTCCCATTTGCCACCAGTCAAACTTTCTATTGTGCAGCTTCTGTAGCTTTAAAAATAAAGTGACCTCATCAACTTTGTACTCGGGCCAGGACTCCAAATAAGAAGAAAAATACAACCTCCCTTATATGGAGAGAACCTTTTAAGAGTGGATACCCCATGCCCTGACGCTGCACCGCTGCTTGTCAGTGCGCCGAACAATCACTTTCTCTCAGGAAACAAAACACAGTTTCCACTACATTCAACAGAGGCCTTCCAAAAACATTTTATCAGACGCAGCAGAGCCTCCAGCTTAAGAGCATTTGCCATGTTTGTGTTTTTTGACTTTTAACTAACAGACTTGGCTCGCTGTCCTTCCCACAAGAAGAGTTTGGAGGTATGCTCAGAGTTATGCCTTCCAGATGAGGTAGACTAAACCCCCCAGATGTCCCAGACTGAGGCCTATGCATCATGTGCAGCTACTCCACTTTAATAGGCCCGCACTGAGACGCAGCGTATTCACAAGACTCTTACGTAACACTTTTGGAGGTGAGAATACTTTAAAACGCCACATTAATGTCTTAAATTAGACAGTAAAGTTTCACAAGATAATTAAAACTTACACAGGCATTAGATGTGGGGGGCATTCCCCCCCATATAGGGAGAGAGGATTGAGAGTTTCACATTTGTTTGGCTTGCTAAACCTGAGGGTAGCTCCTATTTTTAGCACGCTCGTTTTTAAGGGTTACGTGAGCCGTAATTTTTCAATACCAGACTTTATAGGGTGCTTGTTTAAATGAAAACTAACAGGATTTTAAGGATGAGGTTCTGCCTGGATCTTCAGCTTGTGTGCTCTTTTATTGAGATATTCCAATGCAACTTACAGAAACCACATCAAGAGGCAATTAAATAATCAGTTTTAATTGCATGCTTTAATTACTTTTTGAGATTTCTTTCAGAATAAAGGTTTGTGAGATTATTGCTTCAACAGCATCACTATCCACTGTGATAATACTATAATGACATCACAGCCAAAGTCACAACTGAACTTCACTGTTGTGGCTGAGCAGCTGGGACCAGGTGTAGCGTCTGTCTCCGGATTGATCTATCGCTGCTTTCAAGCGTTCCTCTGGTGGAGCTTTTGATGTCGCAGGAATGACACTTAAGAAAAACATTTACATGTCCACTACTTAGACGCCAAGTCGACGAGGGATCTGTACAGTACTGAGCACCATATATAGAGCCTGAGCAGCTCTTTAAAGTAAAGGCTTTACCTCTGTCAGTGCACATGCTGCAGACATCACAGCAAAATATCTGTTGAATCAGCTCCCTCTGCATTACTGACATTTTCATTTACGTACTTTACTTCTGCATGCTTTTAAAGAAGGCCGAGCTAATGTGATCCAACCTGCAAGTATCCATATTTGCATAGATTCTGTTATACGTGGACTGTCATTTATCATTTTTACTGTTTATTTCATTCAGCTTTAGTGCAGTAAACTGTGTCCACTGCCATGTTCGGTGCTTATACTGAAAAGTTTTGTGTCCAGACATTAACCTGCTGTGCAATTAATGAACACATGCACTTCAAAAAGCTGTTCACCAGTTAAAAAGTAGATTTTTTGTCTCATAATCAGAGAATAGTTGCACGTTATTGCCTAAAAGATGTAACCATGTGTCATAGATCAATTAAAATATGAACAATTAGCATGTAAATAGGCAACAACACAATGCCCTGGAGAATAATATCCATGTAGCCTGATGTTTAGTGTCATTACAGTCTGTAAAAGATGCTGTGCTTCATAAGTAAGGTGACATCATCAGGTGTTACCTGGAAGCAGATAAAACCCAACACTTCTGGTTTATTACTCCAGTATCAGGCTAAACAAATATCATGCTGCTGAAATATTCACATACCACCCCTGAAATTTGCCTGCCCTCCTCCTTATCACTTATTTGAATGCCTTTAAAAGTGACAAATGCATGATCACAGAGGTTTTAACTGAACCTCTATGACTCTCTGTGCTGGATTCCAGTAACATTACTTCTCACAGTTCAGGTTGGTCACTGCTCTAAAATGATGCTTTGTTTTCTTGCTCAAGTCTTTGTGGCTGATAGCAGATCTCACTGGCCTGAGCTTCACACTCTGTCTTGGCCTTGACCATATAAGGGTGCCGAGGAATCTCTCACCAAAACACGGCCAACGCACACAAAAATGCAGCCAATAAGTGCTCTCCCACCAGAGCAGTCAGCGTTTTCAAAACATGGATTTGTTTGTCGCAGAATTTCCCAACAAAATCTGATAATACTTGACTCCACAGGGAATTTTAAAGTGGAGGAGCTCCATAATAATGTCTGTAAAACTTCCACTGGGCTGATTGTATCATCTCCAGATGACTCATCAATAGCCTGAGAGCAGACTGGCACAATCCTAGATTCATAAATATGTATTAAGAAATAAATTATCATATTACTAGATACACAAATATATAAATACATGAATAAATACATACCTGGGAAACGAGAAAAGGTCTGTATGTGTCCCCCTCTCCCTCTCGCAGGGTGAATCCCCAGGGCGCGCCACCACGCAGCGTTACGCAGATGTAATCCCCGGTGCCCATGCTGCGCACAGCTCCTCAGCCAAACTTCCACAGCGCGCTCATGGAGCTGTCAGCCAGACCAGCAGCACTTTACAGAAACCACCTCCACAGCACCGCTGTATAATCCCCATCATCTGAGTTCTCCCCGAGTCCAGCCCGCTTCAGGAGACGTCACTGCGCACAGACCCGCCTTCAGGCGCTGCGAGCAACCGGTGGTTTGTCTCAGAGTTCTTCTGGTGTGAAGCTGTTTTACAACATCATGCCCGAAAGCATCCTGATAAACTTGGGAGAAAAAAAAAAAACATGTAATTATTTCACACATAGGCTGCCTCTTTGTATCCATAAAAGCCAAAAAAGCAGAAACAACAACAACAAAAGGTGATATTCCAGCAGCTGGGATCCAAAAATGCGGTAAAATAACAGGAAATGACCATGTCATAAAAATACGGTAATTTTTCCACAATTAAAGTACATGCGAGTCTTTTTACATGCGCAAAAACAATTACATTACCATAGATAGATAAATCATAGACTGACAATATAGTATATACAATATATTACATAAAGTATATAACATATAATAAGTAATATATAAATATATTAAACTTATGTATTAAATAAAAGGAAAATACTTGATATTACATTAAATCTGCTTTTGTATTTTACATGTTTTTATGCATTTTTTAAATTTCAATTTTAATTTGACAAAAAATTTAATATTGTGGTTATTCAGAGTTGCAGGTTTTTAATGTTATTTTTACATTAAATGTGTAATGTCACAGTCTATTGTTATATTGTTTCTGTTTATTTCAAAAAATTGAGAAAAAAATATGTAAACTTACATAATAATAATAATAATAATAATAACAACAACAACAACAACAACAACAACGAGTGTAGCCTGTCATAATAAAGAAAAAATTAGTGATTCTTGTGGAAATCAATTTGTCCTCCGATTGTGTCAGACCACCAAATCTTCAGCATGCTTAAAACAACCTGAGTTGACCAAAGTGCTTTCCAGGTTATCAGGCATAACAGCATAAAATTTATAAAAATCAGTGTGTAAAGCAAAATAAAATAGTATAAAATACTAAAACAAGGCGAAACAGGATTGCAGCTTGTATATCAATTTATAAACTAAAATAAATTTAAAAAATACTCAAATATTGATACAATTAAGCGCAGCCAGAATTACATAAAAGGATGTATGTCTTGTGATTTTATTTGTAAATCTAAGAGAAGAGGAATATTTGATTAAGAAAAGGAAAGCTGTTCTAAAGCTTTGGAGCTGTTGCTGCAAAGACATGACCTCCTTCATTTACTCGCCTTGATCAGGGAACAGTGTGAGGCAGTTGGTGTGACGATCCCGGAGGCCTTGAGATAAAGTAAAGACAGATAAATTCAATAATGTACTCAAATGCAAAGTAATGCATTGCTTTATCAACAAATAGAGAACCTTAACATCAGTATTAAACAGGTATCCAGTGCAGGGACAATAATACAGGTGTCATTTTTCTATTTTCTTTAGATACAAGTCTTGCAGCAGCATTCTGCAGGAGTAATCTAGCCTTGAGGAAATTAATGCAGTTATCACAGTCTTCATGGCATTAAGAAAGAAGATAGATTTCAATTCAGCAATGCCCCATATTTGAAAGTAGCATCTCTTTATTTATTTTGGTACTTTAACTATAACTTGCTTCCATAAATTTTTAGTGGAATCTGTTATTTTTCTATGTTTTCTTCTGTTATAATATCAATGTCCAATTTCCAGCTGGTTAGGATGTATATTTATCACAAAACACATAGAAAAGTGTCATATGTTCAGTGCTCAGGTGATGATGAAACTCAGATGAACCACTCAGGTCCACAACCCCTGTGCTGACGTGTATGGGCTCCCTCTCGTCCGCGCATGCGTGGAGCGTAAACCCGCACTCAGCGCTGTTAAGCTGGCAAAAATCACACAGCGCAAAACGGAAGTCCAACAGTGACGCTTCAACATAAAGCACACGTTAACGCTTTAAAACAAGCACTTGGGTGTAAAAATCGTTATATAGAAGTGTGAAATTGCACTATTTAGAAACTATAATCGCTTTGACGTCGTTTAAAGCATGTTTGGATGTTTATTCGACGCTACCGGTTTTATTTCGCAGTTCACCACCGGAAGCGGCGAGCGTGTCCACAAGTGCGGAAGACAGTGAATTGATTTTCGTCGTGTTACCAACACAGCAGCAGCGACCGGCGCCTCGGTAGAGTTTGACGTGGCACTCTGCTTTCACGGAGACGGTGAAGAAGGACTCTGCCCAGTGTTCAGGTAAATACGGCCGCGACACTATTTACACACGTAGCCGGTACGAACGGGCAGCTGGGGTCCGCGACGGCGTTGCGGGTTCAACGCTTGAAATGAACGCGGTTCTGGTTGCGAAAGGAAAAGTTTGTAGTAATTTCCGCGTAGCTAGCAAGATGTTTTCCATCAGTGTGGGGTCGTTTAGTGGACGGGCTGCTGTGCTGTCATGTTGCTGAGCCCTTTTAATGAACCATTAAGCCACGCATTATTGCTAAAATGTTGTATTAGCTACCAAAAATAAAGGAGGCTAACGTGTGGAGGTAAATTAAAGGGAGGCTCAGCTTTTAATCAACATAACGGTCTTTGACGTGGCAATCCTCGGAAGTGACACATTCAGTTTAACTATTGAACCGCACAGCTAACGTTTTAGCAAAAGCTTTTCCTTTGAGTGAAATGTGTGCTAAAATAAAGGTTTTATGTGTCGAAATAAAACGATTTCATAGAGCTGTTGATGAACTTTGCAGGCCCATTGTCTTTAAAACTGATTATATAGTTGGTTCCAGATGGAAGATGAGCTCACAGCTCAGTGTCATCCTATAGGAGAGCATTTAAGTACAAAAAAAACTTTAAATAACCTAAATCACAAGTCTGTTTATTGAATGCACACACTAGGAGAAATAGTGTATTAATGTGTCATAAAGTTGTAATTGTGATAGCAAAAGAGAAAAAGGCCAACCCATGCATTTCCTTGAAGATAGCATTATCAAAGCTTTATCTGTCAATAGGCTCTGCCAAAGGTCCACGTTTCACAGTGTTGATGACTGCATGAGGTCAAGTATCAGTTGTTGTTGGCGTGGCTTGTAAACACGTGAGGGGATTTGTCTTCCTGGTGCAAAAACAAATCCAAGAGTTTTAACAGGATCTTATCTGCTTTTAAAAAAAAAAGCATTTTAAATATAAAAACTATGCATTTACATTTTTTGTCATTTCAGCTCCACAGGTTGTCGAAACTCTTTCATCTTGGCATGAGAAGACAGTGACAGCCATCCCCATTAAAACAAACGAAATGAGTCAACAGGGTTATGTTGCTGCACCCCCGTACTCCCAGGCCCAGCCAGGGATGGGGGGCTACCAGGGTGGATTCGGACCTGGTCCTGCACAACCCCTTTACGGGCACTATGGAGGGCCACCTCAGGCGTTCAACGCTCCACCAGCAGGTAAAATACTCTTATATTTAGGTTGTTACTCAAGTGACATGTTGTTAGGTTTTCAGTTAAAATCTTTACATCTAAAAGTGTATGTTTCAGCTTATTCATTTGAGAATGTTTTTTTAAGTTAATATAACACACCTGTCGTGCATAATCTTTTAAAACATGCGCCGTGACTCATAACGTGCAGAATTTCTTTCGTATCATTTCATTGATTCTGTTTTATGTGTCGTGCGGTGAGTTTAATGTCTGGCCTTTAAATATTTTTTATGCTATACCAATGTAATAGCGCGAATGTTACGTACCACACGGTTAATTTATTGGCTTTATTTCGAATTTCACTGCACTCTGAGACACTTTTGAGTATCCAGAAAGAAGGGCAAGACAGCTGGAACGGTGCTTCTTTTTGGATGAATCACTGTCACAATTTAAGTCATAACATCTTTGGATAACTTTGTGTAAATGTACTGATACAATAAGGGCCACACAAATGCACCTCATGTCCGTTACTCACTGCAGGTATGATGAAATCGCCTGTTTCCTCAGCTGCTGCCATGCCTCCGCCTCCAGTGTCCAGTCAGTACAGTCCGAACGCCCAGCAGAACGGCGCTCATCCGCAAAGGTAACAATTTTCATCACAGAAAGGGCAGCTGCTTGGAACGGCGAATTATCACTGAAATCTACACAAACGAGTCATGAACTTGTGTTGTGATTACTGGGGATGAAAGTTCACTTTGTCTGCCTGTATAAAGGTACTGACTGTTAAAATCGCCCTAATAGATTGTTGTAAAACAGTTGCTAACTTTTGCTATCTTAGCTTTAAGTATAGGGCACACTGAACCTGCTGTATATTACCAAGTATTGCTTTCATCCTTAGGTATCCTGCTCCACCAGCTGCTCCTTATGGACAGCCTCCACCGTCTGCATACACCACCATGGCCTCACCTGTCGCTCCTCCAACACAGCAGCTCACCAATCAGATGGGTGCTATGAACTTGGGCAACTATGGTACGTTTTCTACTTGTTATAGATCGTACAATCTTTTGATTATAGCGATTTAGCAGCCGGGATAAGGTGGAGATCAGAGAAATTACAGCCTCCACTCACTAGATTGCCATTTCTTGATTGTGCAGGCCCAGGTCCCATGCAGGGCGCCGCCCCTCCGACAAGCCCGGTGGCTCAGCAGCCTTTCCAGACGCCACCTCCTCCAGCCATGGGGCAGATGCCTCCAGGCCCGCAGTCACCCCTACCGACCATGCCAATGGGGGGCCAGTCGATGGCAGGTCCACCCATGGCAGGCATGGGTAGACCCTTCCCCGGGCCTCCTCCGACAGGCCCTGGAGGGTTCCAGCAGCCTGGTCCTGGACTTGCTGGTCCTGGACTTGCTGGTCCACCAGGATTCCCACAGCAAGCAGGTACCTGTAAATGGAAAGAAGTCAAGTTGGAAGAAGTTTTTTTTTAATTTTTTCTGACATAATCTGATGTGACTCATTCGTTGTACCAGTTTTATTTATTAAGTCCAGTGTTGCAAATCATAAGTTAGCCTCAAGGGGCTTCGCAATCTGTGCTGCACACATCCCCATCTGTCCGAAGACGCTCAGTCCAGATCAGGAAAATTCAAGGACAGCAGCAGCATCAAGGATTCTACAATCAGAGGAAATAAACAGAAACGAGACGGCAGCACTCAAACATCTCAACAGGATGCTAAGAACTTTAAACAATGACAACAGAATCTAAAATCATCTTATGTGTAGTGAGGCTTGATTTTTAGAAATCTTACACACTAAAAGATCGTGAAGCTAAAATTGAGCTGTGTGCACATTATATAAGAAATACCCACTAATGAAATTGTTCTAACGTACAGGTCAGTTTGGGGGACCCATGGCCGGGCCCCAGCCAGGCATGCCGGGAGCCTTCCCCACAGCACCAGGTGGAATGGCTGGCCCTCCTCAGAAGAAACTGGACCCCGACTCTATCCCAAGCATCGTGAGTAGACGAATAATCCTCCTGGGACTGCATACCTCCACATACCGGCATACCACATTAGTCATTCCACATTTTCTGCCCTTAATTAGCAGCTTATTAATTCCTCAGAAGCTGTCATGCAGAGGCATGCACTGCTGCTCCTTTGTTACAGCGTTTTTTGTTTTTTTTTTTCTTTCAATGATTTTATTAATTAAATGTTGTGTAATGGAGAAATAATTAAGCAAAACATCTAGGATTACACAAAAAAAAAATGCCTGGGATATTAAGTTATCTCCCAATGTGGGCACATAGACAAGCAAAAACAAAGTTAATGAGCATGATGCGAGTTGCATATTTATTTTTCATGTCGTGAGGTTGTTTGTTATAATGATGTGTCCGTTTTTAAAACGTGGTAAGTCTTAAGGATTGTCCATAATATGTAATTTGTCTGCTTTAGACTCAAGTTATTGAAGACAACCAGGCAAGACAAGGGGGGCAGGTCTACAGCACAAACCTGAGAGGACAGGTTCCACCTCTGGTCACCACTGACTTCACCGTACAGGATCAAGGTGAGTCTAAGGAACACCTGAACTTCTGCCAGAGCACAACACACCAGTAGTTGTTATTTTATAGTGAACAATCTAGTTATTTATCCATTAAAACTTATTTAAGAGCCAATTTTATGCACATTTACAGGTTTGCATTTTAGTTTTGGGGGTTTTCTAGAATATGTTTGCATGCTTTTACATTTAAAAAACACATTCTTCTTCTCCTATTGTACATTTGTGCAGCAGCTTCTGTCTGAAACAATCTATTTTAGCTCCTGTCTATTTAAGGCACCGCTCCTTAAAAGCCCAGACTGCTCTGATTAGTCGGCTGACCTGATGAAAGCGAGGCCGTAGTCTCACATCTCTCAACATAAAGGATGCATTTCTACCAGAAGCAGCTTTAGCAAGGACATAATCAATGCTAGCTTCTAGCCTGCGTTTATGCAAATGTGTCACACGTTGACGCAAATAAGTTACGGGAGGAAAGCCTGGATCTTAAATGTAGCATTTCAGGGCGGTAAGGAGCAGCGTTTTCTATGGAAGAGGACAACTATCTTTTACAGTTTGCAAACCAAAAGCACTTTGAAGGAAAGGGAACTACACTTCCTACACATGTATACAGCCTGTATACTTGTTTACCACATATAATTCAGTCATTTCTGTCATTTGTGGTGCTGCATGAACTATAATTTACAGACCTAAAAAAGAATTTTAATTATCGTCTATTTCTGGTGATGGTAAATTAACACTGAAAACTGTTTCCGGTGGTGGTATTTTTTTCACGATATCAAGGTTACTGACGCTTCTTTCTTTTCGTCTACTCCAGGCAATGCCAGTCCCAGGTTCATGCGCTGCACCACCTACTCACTACCCTGCACTGCTGATCTGGCTAAACAGTGCCAAGTACCCCTGGCCTCCATCATTAAACCCTTTGCCAGTTTGCCAAAGAATGAGGTAAGTTACAGTTTTACCTAAAACGTAATGCCCGTCATGTCCAGTTATAATAATCACCTGCTGAGATAAAGCAAAACAGGACAGAAAGACTACTGCCTGGTTGTGAAACAGGAAAAAAAAAGCCCATTTTCCTGGTGTAAAGACTGCTAAATGCTAATTTGTGAGAATGTCAGAGTAGGAATTTATTCATGTTGGTTTGGCGTTCTTCCCACACCGAAGCATTTGACTGTTGTATGCTGTCATCTGAATAATGAGATTAGAGTTTCACATTTTAGAAAGTTGGTGTTAAATCTCGTCAGTTATGATTTCTTGTACCTGTCGGATGGATCTTGTGCTTCAAAAAGAGCAGCGAAATACTAAAGTGTGGCGCTTGCATTTTGTACTTTAGTCAGTTCTCCGTTGATAGATGTACTACGAAACTTAATTTGTCCTACGACTGACCTTCTTTTGGATTATGTGTGGTCCAAGAATCCTGCCTTGGATATTTTCCCCCCCTCCTCTCGCCTTGTTCCAGGCACCAGTTGGCCTTTTTAGGCAATGTTAGCTTTCTCTCATCTGGCTTTAGGCTAATTAGCTAATGTCAGATCTGCTGGGACTGCTGAAGAAGAAAGGAGGTTTACACAAAAGGAATCAAACGTCAAGAGTTTTTGCACTTTCAGGCTCGATTGCATCCAGTCCAACAGGGAGCATATTCGCGCTAGAATTATAAGTAGCCTCGACTTAATCAGCGCCGGGAGTTTGTGCATAACTCAAAACCTATAATTGAATTTTGTTTTATGATTTTAGCGTCCAACAGGTCTTTTTTTTTTTCTTTTTTTCACTGCACTTGGCAAACAGCCCCAAGATACATCAAGATAAACACTTCTCCTCTCCTCCTTGAACTCTCCGGTCTAATAATAAACCTACTTGCTGCATGTGTGTTACGGTAGTCGAGTTAATTTTAAGCAAACATTGTCAGTTTACGCCAAACTCTGCAGAGAGCCTTAAATAAACAGTGTAAAGACAGTTTGACATTTACAGGCCTGCATACGGTGCTTAGTAACAGCGCTGTGGTGTTCGATAAACAAATTCTCTGTATATGAACGTACACTGTGTATAGTTTGGATAATTCAGACAGAGCAGATTATTTTATGTTAACATTTTGGCCGACGTGTCCTCTCTCTAGACTCCTCTGTACGTCGTGAAGCACGGCGAGACCGGCCCGGTGCGCTGCAACCGATGCAAGGCCTACATGTGTCCCTACATGCAGTTTCTGGACGGCGGCCGTCGCTTCCAGTGCGTTTTCTGCAACTGCGTCAATGAAGGTGCAGCAGAACGCTAAAAATGTCCCTGAAATCAGGACACATCCTGTTATCAACCAAAAATAAGTCATTTATTATTATTTTCAGAACAGCAATTGCATCGTTTTGTTTCTTCTTCTCATCCTAGTGCCAGTTTTCTACTTCCAACACCTTGACCACATGGGACGAAGGGTGGATTTCTATGAGAGGCCTGAACTGTCTCTGGGGTCCTATGAGTTTGAAGCCACCATGGACTACTGCAAGGTACACGATGATGACTAAGATCTGTTGACAGTATTCAACGAGACAAAATTCAGCCATCGTTTGCTCATTCGAGTTCATGTGCTGATGGTTTAACACAGAAACAGTCATAAAAGATGAGTCACTTCTTGAAGAGAAGTCTGTATAATATGGTACAAGAGATTTGCATCTACAGGATTGCATTACTGATTTTTCTGAGGGAAGCTTTTGGCAAGCGCCCTACATTATTCAGCAGATCGCCGATTATATCAAAGCAGGACAGAAAAGCGTTCGGCTCAGTGCTTTTGAAAAGGCACAAAAAAGGACAGTGATGCCAATCAACTGTATGTCCCCATGGACACTGCGGTTGTTGAGATCAACATAAGAGAGTTAAAGTAAGATGACAAAGCTGAGTCACTCCAGTGGCCTACTTTTGCTCTGTTTATGAGGCTTTATAAACAAGCTCTCCAGGCTAGCTGCTAAACAAAAGCCTGCAAGGTGAGTGTCTTGTCATGGGTTGTAACTGTGGAAACATAACAATATATTACTGAAAAATCCCTCACATGCTTCGCTGCTGTCGTGAATTCATACCTGCCAACTCGCAGGAGTTATGAGCTAACGTAAATGGAAACCTGTGTCCAAGTAACAGAAACTTAAAGTGGAAGGCAAAACAGTCGACCCCCATGTTTGGATTCAGCGGATACTCTCTAAGACCTTAAATAGGAGGATGCAGGACTGAAAGGACGAATAATGTTCTGTTCAATGGCTGTTTTCCACACTAAAAAACACGTTTTCTCATCGTGAAATTAGGTATTTTATGTCTGTCTCTGCCTAGAAAGGTTTCAAAATCACAACTTGCTCGTTACACATGCCGCCTTTTCCCCACAGAACAACAAGCCTCCCAATCCTCCTGCCTACATCTTCATGATCGATGTCTCCTACAACAACATCAAGAGTGGCCTGGTCAGACTGATATGCGATGAGCTCAAGACTCTGCTGGATAAGCTGCCCAGGTACACAAAATAAATGACAAAAAAAAAAACTCACACACTTGAGCAGTACAGGTAGGAATATAGTGCCTATCATCTGCAGCGCTCGGCTTGTCTGTCTTTACATGAACATCCTGCATATTCAAAATAAATTCGAACTAGAATCTGTTTAAGTTTATACACGACAGAAAGTGCTGTATGTCTTCTCTAAAAAGTTAGAGATCATGTTTGTTTACATCAGATGGTGGGCATTTGTGAGGGAGCTGCCGAAAACGGAAAATATTACAATTACTTGACAAGCATCCACAACCTCCCCCCCAAAAAAAGAAAAAGAGCTTTGTTGGTTTTGTGGTTACTCTGGAAGTGACTTTCTGATTTATCACGGGGAGCGGATGATGCACTTCACCTGGTTACTCCTAAAATAACTTGGAAAACTCTCTCCTCTCTTCTCGCTGCTTTGCCGGAGCCAGCAACAACAATACATCCATATTTGCCTGCTGCCATGACATCATCCTTTAAGCGCTTAGCACAAGTGTGCTCGAGATAAGCTCTTCTTCAGCTGCGTTTGAATCTTTACTTTTGTTTTCACAGGCGCTAAATTAAAGTGTGTGTATTTTTTTTCATGCAATTTTGCAGCATTTGCCAAAATGCATGTTTTATTTGACGAAGATGAAGCTCGAACCCAGTTTAAATAAATACAGGTGTAGAATAAGTCTTTTAATTCTATATTTTTTTTATCAATAACATCATAAATACACTCCTCCTAATCTGATATTTCCAGCAGCAATAGTGCAAATCACAACACACGGTTGTCGGCGCGTGATTTAAGAAGCGAGAGCTACAAACTGCAGTTGGAAGCGTCAGTCAAGAATGCTTTTAAATTACTCCTGTAGTGACGGGATTTGATTTACGATCTGGGTCAGTGTAGCTACCAGTTCCTCACCCGAATCCACAGTGTTCTGGTAAATGTCGGGAGGTTTTCGCGGCTTTAATTCTTAAAGTAACGCTTAAAGAGCCAAGTAAAACCAAAAGACGTATTGCGTAACCGGAGGAACGGTGTAGATAAGCTGCAGAAAGTTGACAGACGAATAGTGAGAGAGAAAGACGAAAAACACAGCAGGCAGGACTCACAACTAAACTTGTACCTGCAGCAGATACTTCTCTTTTAGAATCCCTACTTAAGACTTAGGATATGAAGTCGAGCATTATCAAACAAGTTAGGTGTTACTTCATTCCTGGAAGAAGGTTTCTACTATTTGACCTGGATGGCAAATGATCCTTTAAATAAGTGAAATTGTGCTTGATAGTGATGTTTTAACCCAAAGATGAACCAGATTCATGTCTTGTGTTTTGTTTTGCACGAGAACATTTCCAGGTTTATCCCCTGAAGGATTTTAAAAATCTGCCAGAGCAGCTGCAGAATCGATCTAAAATCCACGCAGCCACTTTATATAAAATCTAAACGATGCATTCAAAGCATCCAGGAATTCACGGACTGCTTGTCATTTCTCCGTAGGGAGGAAGGCATGGAGAGCTCTGCCATCAAGGTCGGCTTTGTTACCTACAACAAGATCCTCCACTTCTACAACGTGAAGAGCGCCTTGGCCCAGCCGCAGATGATGGTGGTGTCGGACACGGCCGAGATGTTCGTCCCCCTGCTCGATGGCTTCCTCGTGAACTACCAGGACTCCAGAGCTGTTATCTACAAGTAAGATGCATCTTGTCATTACAATGTGGAACAACTGTTTACGTTGGATTCCCGGTGGAGGAGAGAATTGAGACGTGATGTCCTTCAGAATTCTCTGGAGTCTAAAAAAAAAAAACTGTTTATTTTTGTAACACTGGATGGGAAACAGATTAATTTGATGTAAAAGGTTAACATGGAGACTTTCAAGAATAGCCACTGTGAAGGCAAAATCCAGTAGATGACAGTCGGTCAGCAGCTTGTGAGGCAAACCAAACCATAATCCTCTGCTTTCCCCCCCCCTCAGCCTCCTGGACCAGATCCCCGACATGTTTGCAGACACCAACGAGAGTGAAACGGTCTTTGCCCCTGTCATCCAGGCTGGAGTGGAAGCATTTAAGGTTAGCCAGAGGGTGACATCTGTCAACATGTGGGGGACATAGTGCACCCGGCTTGAATCTTCTGTGGGTTGGACTAATGTTTGTGTCTGTCAAGATAGAATATAATTGGCTCAATTGGAAGCTTTCTGTTTGACAAGCCGCGTATTGTTGGAAGCAGCATTTCTGATTCTCTGTCTCCTTTTTTTTTTAGAATAATACTCAAATTTAGTGCAGCCAAAACACATAATCGCGTGTTTTTCTAAACGCTCCGACCACCCCCCTCAACAAGATTGTTTCAATTTGTCAAAATATTCCAGATAAATCGCTCTCGCCAGCGTCGGCACCGACAGTCCGAACTCGTTCAACCTGTCGACTGAGTGACGCAACTGTGTCCTTTTTTTTTTTTTTTATTCGCTTCCCGATATGTTTGTGTTTACTTAAAGTCCAGCAAACTTTCCCAGTGAAATGAGGTCAGTGTTTTGGCGCACGGCAAAAAGAAAAAGTTGGCTCTTAATTGGAAGCAGTTGTGGTGCTGCGGTGACTTATTTGACCGTTCGTGGTCATTTTAATTTTGGTGTTTATTTCTTCTTTAACGGTTTATTTTGTGAGAAAGTAAAACTCTACATGAACTGTAGTGTTAGGATATGTGCTGTGATCAGATTTTGCACCTCCCAAGCTTCAGATAACAGGAAGGAACGCGCCACACACCTCAGTGAGATCTTCATGTTCTCTTTTGTCTTTTTTTTTTCCCCCTCTCAGGCAGCAGAATGTAGCGGAAAGCTCTTCATCTTCCACTCGTCCATGCCCACCGCCGAGGCTCCCGGCAAGCTGAAGAACAGAGACGACAAAAAGCTGGTCAACACCGACAAGGAGAAAGTGAGTAGCTTCAGCTTGCATTGTGAACTCTAATTGCAAAGTTCTGGGCTCAGGTGTAGGAATTAAGACTTTTTTACCAACCTAATGCAAAGACGGAGTGTATGAAATCACTATTTTTTAAAATAAATGCCATCTGTTGCAAGCAAGTCCAGTTGCTACGATTAATCTACCAGAATAACCATGACCTGGATGACTGAGAATCTTCACAGACGTATCTATTGCAGTAACATTTCATCCCAAACACTAAAACAAGGTGGTAAGTTCCAATGGATTCTACTTACCCAAGTGGATTTTCTCTTTGTTTCCACAGATGCTGTTCCAGCCTCAGAAAGGAGTGTATGAGCAGCTGTCTAAAGACTGTGTGGCACAGGGCTGCTGCGTGGACCTCTTCCTCTTTCCCAGCCAGTACGTGGACTTGACCACCATGGCCGACGTGCCTTCACACACCGGAGGCTCCGTCTACAAGTACAACAACTTCCAGGTACGACGTTCAGTTTACGTTGCGCATAAGTATCCACACAAAGATGCTGCACGGGGCCTGAGCAGTGAGGCGAATCAGTTTTTTTTCTTCTGGTAATTAGACCAAGAAGTCATAATGTAACACATAAACGGAGGCATTCGCAGCCTAATAAAAGCAAGTTGTATCCACATAATGAGTTTGGCACAGAACCCACAGTCTAATATAGAAGTGTCCCACAGGAGCGGAGCAACAAGCATGGGAAGCTGCTCCACACATACCACATGCTCAGGCAGCACAGCCGAACCCTACAGTGGAATAGTTTTTATGTCACAACACAATGAAGACATAAAACACAGCACATTATCTGCCACTGGGAGCGTTTGATCGCTCCGCATCTTCTCATTTTGTGTTTTTATTTTTTTGACTGTTGCCCAAAGTGACATTTCAGCAAACTGCCTCACTCGGTATTTAGACAAAATTACTCGTGTTAAGGTACATTTACGAGCCTCAAGTCTGCTTGGAGCTGGCACGAGTCCAAATCTTCACAACACTGCCATCTGCTGGTTCTTTTTTGCTTAATCATTTCTGCTTTGTGACGACAGATGGAGACGGACGGGGAGCATTTCCTGAGAGACCTGAGGAAAGACATACAGAAGAGCATCGGGTTTGATGCCGTCATGCGTGTTCGCACTAGCACAGGTAAGAAACGCTGCAAAATAGGTTCCATTTGATTCGTTCTAACTGACCAGGTGGCGCTAAATCACAGCATTGTGTTCGTCTTCCTTCAGGCTTCAGAGCCACAGACTTCTTTGGTGCCGTTTACATGAACAACACCACAGACATCGAGATGGCAGCTGTGGACTGTGACAAGGCGGTGACGGTGGAGTTCAAGCACGACGACACGCTCAACGAGGAGACTGGAGCTTTCATACAGGTGTGTGTCTTTAAAAACAGCCTATTTTGTCAGCAGATAAATCCCCACGGTTTGCTTACGTTTGCACTACGTTTCCCAGTGTGCCTTGCTGTACACCACCATCGGCGGGCAGCGGCGTCTCCGCATCCACAACCTCAGTCTGAACTGCAGCTCGCAGTTGTCGGAGCTGTACAAGAGCTGCGAGACGGACTCACTCATCAACTTCTTCGCCAAATCAGGTTTGTGCGCTTTAGCTGGATGACATTAAACATTTTCAGACAGTTTCCCAGACGGACTCAGGGCTGGTTGTAGACTGAAAGAAAAACTCCATTAAAAAGCTTTAAGATTACGTACGTCTCCTTAATCTTCAAACCCTGCATGCAGAAAACATTTAACAGTCTATTATTTGAGGATGCAGAAGGTTGTAATTCAGTGCAGGGATTCGGTCTGCTCATATATTCAAGTATGATGTGACATTTGTTGAGTTTACCCCGTGTATCACTTGATAATCTACTAATGCTCAGTGACTTATGAGTTGAAGAAGAATTACCTGAGAAAACAAGGACCACATGTTTCACATGGTCCTCCTGTAATCTGCACACAGCAGACCTTAAGTACGGCTGAATTACTGACCTTCAGTTGCCTTCTTTCATTCTTCCTGTCTGATTTAAAAAAAAAAAAAAAAAGATTTTCCCTTCTTCCATCTATCTTGTCTGCTTATCGTAAGCTGCCTCTCGGGGCCCTGTGGTCCTCTCCTCCCCCGCCGCTGCCGTCTTTTCCACTAACCTCCTCTCTTGCCCACTCAGCTTACCGCGCCATATTGAACCAGCCTCTGAAGAATGTGCGGGAGATCCTGGTCAACCAGACGGCCCACATGCTGGCCTGCTACAGGAAGAACTGTGCCAGCCCCTCCGCAGCCAGCCAGGTCAGTGCAGGACAGCGCCTGGAATGAAATGTTGTTGAATTTGTCTTTGATTTTAAGCTACAAAAAAAAAAAAAACTCCTTCATGTACATGTGCGGCAATAAATGTTGGATTATGTACCGACATCTCGGGATATTTTGTGCCAGCTCTCATAAATATTTGTGTTCATATGTAGCTGATCCTGCCTGATGCCATGAAAGTGTTCCCGGTCTACATGAACAGCCTGATGAAAACGGCTCCCTTGGTGGGCAGCACGGAGCTCTCCACCGACGACAGAGCCCACCAAAGGCTGTCGGTCCTGGCCATGGGGGTGGAGGACTCTCAGCTGCTGTTCTACCCACGCCTCATCCCACTGGTCCTCCCACATTCTCTCTTTTCATACATACTTCTGTTAAAGTGCACCGATAACACCCTACTTACCTTATCTCTGATTTAACTCCTTTAGTAAAGCCACAAACATGCATCTTGTAGTTGCAGAATTACTTTCTTTTTTTCCAAATCAGGGCTAGCTAACTAACATACCACTGTTTTTGTTTTTTTTTTTGCAGCACAACCTAGACGTCAGCAGTGAGGCGCTGCCAGCTCCGGTTCGCTGTTCAGAGGAGCGTCTGTCAGACTCTGGCGTGTTCCTGCTGGAGAACGGCCACTCCATGTTTCTGTGGCTGGGCCAGGCGACCTCACCGGACCTCGTCCAGAGCATCTTCAACCTGCCCTCGCTCGCCCACCTGCAAGGAAGCATGGTGAGAATTCATCTAACAGCGCTCTGACCTCCGGAGGATTTGCTTTTACAGATACCAGATGAGACACTTTACCTCTTCGCTGCCTGGAGGCATTACTGGATGGCCTGAGAATGTCTGGGTGCTTCCAATAAGTCCGGTTTTGAGAAATGAAGTCAGCACATCATAACTCAGCAAATGTTCAATTTAAAAAGAAAAAGAAGAAAAAAAGTCTGCCCACATTTTATCCAGCATGAATCATTTGGAAATCCAAACATTTAACCTGTAAAATGAAGTAAATCTCACACAGAGTTCAAAGGTGTAACATTTATTTTCAAGGCAGAGCTCAAACAACACTTGTACACAAGGGAAGGAGGCAGACTGTCTGTAGTGTTGGACTTTCAAGACAACTTCAAGGATACAAACGTTATAAATCAAGGCAATCATTTGCTTTCCATCATTGAACCAGTGTTCTTGAGTTGAGCCACTCCACGCGACCCTTATTTTAAACTGTGAACTCTGTTTTTTCAGTGCGCGCTGCCGGAGCTGGACAACCCGATGTCGAAGAAGGTCCGATCCATCATCAGTGGCATTCTCGAGAAGAGGCCGAGCTCTATGAAGGTGAGTAATCCAGAGCAGCAGCGTACCCCCAGAAAACCCCACGATTAACCACAAAAGTCTTTGTTTCTCTTCAGTTTTTAAACTTTAAATAAAGAAATAACAGAAAACATTCTGGTTGAGGTGATGCAGAGTAGAAAAACACAGTGCCAGGATGTGTTTAGTGATCTCTGCTTCCCTCTAGTGGCGCGAGGAAGTAAATGCATGCCGCTAAAACCTCAATTAATGTTTTTTTTTTTTTGTTGCCATGTTGCGAAAATGCAAACATGTTGCTGTATAAATAACCTCATGCACTGCAGGCCCAGTGCACTGAGCACTTCATATTTACTAAACAGAACATAGTTTGAAATCCGTGCAATCTGAAGCCATTGACAAACAGAAGTAAAAGTAAAAACTGAGGCTTTCATGGATGTGAAACTGATCCCACTTTGCTTTCCTCGTCTCTGCCCCGCTCAGCTCCAAATCGTGAGGCAGCGAGACAAACCGGAGATGCTGTTCCGTCAGTTCTTGGTGGAGGACAAAGGTTTGCACGGCAGCACTTCCTACATGGACTTCCTTTGCTACGTTCACCGAGAGATCAGGCAGCTCCTCACTTAACCCCGATCCGCCGCGCTCGGCCTCGGCGTCCCGCCCCCCCCCGCCCGACTGACCTGCGAGCAGCAGAGCATCTAACGGACCAAAACCTCACAGGGTCAGTCTGAGCAGGTTCCATTTAAATCTCGATCCACCAAAAGACAGAGGGAGGAACCAGGGAGAGCCCCGAAGCTGCCTTTCCAACTCGCCGGTGTCGTCGTTTCGTATATACGCACAGTATGATCTCCAAATAACCGCTTGTCCCTCGAGGAGCTTTCGAGTAAATCTGGACGAATGAAATGGACTCACATCCAACGTTTCCCGCTCGGATACTTTGCGTGATGGACTGACTGGAATGACATCAGTGCCTGAGGCTGAATGCGTTTTGGCATCAGGCCCGCTGGCATAAAGCAATACAACTTTCACTGTGTATTCGATTGCTTCAAGCATCTTTTTTCCCCATTTCATTTTGTAGATTTATAAGACGAGGGGTTATTTGTGGGCCATACTGTAGATATCCAGCAGTCTTTGTTAACCCCCAGAGAACACACAAGCATATAAGGAGTCTCAGTCATCTTTTTTTTAAAACAGTAAATGCTCAAATAATATTTAAACAATTTCTTCATTTCATTTTGTTGTCTGACTGGAACTGCATTAGATTAGATGTTTAAACAGTACCTGCTGATGCATAATTCAACTAAAACAACCATCTTGTTATGACACCACGAGTGATTCAAGGCATTCGATTCACACATGCCCCCACCAAAAATCCAATTCTTTGACCATTTACGGCTGAGACTTTATCTTCGCAAGCAGGCAAGAAACACGATGAAATGAACACAGCTGCTGCGCCACAGGACCGACTCACGTGTCCTGATGAAAATGACTTCTGTAAAAATTCCTCTAAACAGTAAAAGACTCAGAGTTGGTTCTAAAAAAGGGAACATATTTAATGAGAAGGATTGTAGAGGGTTTGAAATGGAAAAAATGGGCCAAATGTGAAGATTTTTCCTCAAATTCACCACAATCCAACAAGATTTTGATTTGTTATCGTTTGTGTGTGCGCCATATTTTTTTAATGAGAAACGACTTTGACAGTTCACTGCACTTCTGTCAGCTTAAATCAGACTCTGCCAAAGTGGAAAAGTGGTAAAACTATCAGGTAATACTGGATCGTCTTCGTATCAGCGGACCTCCAGAGTAAAAGAGTCTTTGCCGTTTAACCCAAACTCATCAAGTCTACCTACGATGGTATTTTACATTTCAGCCTCCAATTCCAGAACAGTTACAGCATCGTACTGTATCCCATCGCTCGTTTTTATCGAATGCTTCTGTGTAATATCCATTTGATAAATATCGTCTGATCTTGTGTACGTACGGCCGACAAAAAAAAGAGTTTTTTGGTACATTGAAAAGTGCAACTTGTGTTTTCGAAAATACTACCACCTGCCTTACGTTGATGAAATAGTTGTTGAACATATATTAAAATATACATGTTGTAGAGGTATATATATATATATACACGACTTCAGATCTCAGTCTGTCCGGTTTGTATGCAAACTTATCTCAGGTAATTTCACGACGTTTCCTATTCTGAGTTGAAAGCGGCGATTTGAATCTAACTGGAAAGACGGATGGATGTGTTTGGAGTCGACTTCGGTTCGGTGTGCCATGTATGTTTCATTCCTAAAAAAAAACAAAACAAAACAACCTTTTTGTCGAATTAAAAGTCCGGACCTTAACTGTCGTTGCTCAGCTTTGTTAACCACATTTTGTTTACAAGTGAAATTCATTGCCTTCTGACATATAATAAAGTGAAAACTTAAAATCCGTCATTTCACTGAGAGTTTCTTTGTGAGTAATATGTGCAGCACAACCTCTTATTGGTGAGAAATCTACTGCACAGTATCCAAGACTGCATTTTTCCCTCCCTAAATTTCTCACTACACATGCTGCAAATATTCATTTTCTTGTCAAACTATGCAAATGAATCCAACACAAATAGAGAATTTTCCTGTGCAGTACCCTCGTTCCACCATAAGGGGGCGTGACATGTCTGTATTTCAGTCAGCTCACTTCAGAACAGAATACTTTTTGATCCGTGGTAGGATTAGCTTTTGATGGATATCGTTTTGCTTTTACTTTGCGTCTGCAGCGAGGAACGCAAACTCATCACGACGACAAAGACATTTAGAAAATCTATGTCTGAGCAGCATCACTGCCTTCGAAGCTTTGGATGTTATTTACAGAAAGCATTAGAAAGGCTTCATTAGCTCCAGAAAGTGTGTCTTTTGTGAATGTTAGAATTTGTTTTCACCATCAGCTGCAATTTTGTGATCCAACCCATCAACCAAACCCAAATGTGCCGTTTTACAAATGGTAAGACTCACAAAGATGGCAGGTTTGATGCTCTTCTTGATGGAAACACACATTATCTTCAGTGATACGAAAAAACAAAAAGAACACAGCAGAGAAAAATGTGTCATTTTCTTTACTGAAGTAATGGAGGATCAACATGCCTCGCTGTACTGATCTGTTTGTGACTGCAGCTCCCAGCGATACACTGCTTTGAATGACAAAAGCTGCAAAAAAATCTTCACCAAAAAAACCCTCAAACTCTCACATTTCTGGCTACTCTGATGGAAACTTCCTCCATCTAATATCCGAGTCACTGTGAAAACGGAAGAAAAACACTCAGTAACTTACTTACATAACGTCCAGACGCTTCTCTCAGTAACCGAGCGGCTTCCAGCGAAGCAAAGAGGAAGCCGGCGAGTGAGACTTCTTACCCAGCATGCCTTGTGTTTGCAAACAATTGGGGCCAATCAATGCTTTAATCAGAGGCAGCAGGAACAAATCAAGCTGGATAGCTGTGGGCAGCCGGGACGAGCAGGAGGGAGCAGGAAGCGTGTTAGCCGACAACCCCGAAAATAATGAGGATAATAAAAAGTCACCCCGCCGCCCGTTCTTCATAAAAACAGTGAATTATACGAACAAATCTAAAGACCTGAAATTCCCCCGATTTTTTTTTTTTTTTCATTTAATACTGTACAGCTGACAATCTTTTGTACAATGACCCATAATACCATATAAATAACCTCAAACACTGTTCCCGTAGCGTAAACCCGCTAAACAGTGCTCCGAAAAAGAAACCCATAGATGGTTTACTTTACAGGAAATATACAGACATAAAGGTTAAATGAAATACACTGAAAGCAGCATTTATCTTATGACAAAGATATCTAACATCATACTCATGGTAAATATAGCTACCTGTGTGCTTCTGTAGACAAACCATTGATATTATGGTCCGGTTTTTGACATCAATACAATCCTTGTGTTGTCTCGTTCTAGTTGGCAAGTAAACATGAACAAAGTTGAAAAGTTTCCTCATAGAGTTTCTTATCTAATGCTTTATCTATAGTATGTACAATTTTAAAATGGTACAATGTGTGTTTTTGTTTTCTTCCTTCAAAGAGCAAAAAAATAATAAAGACAGACCACAATGGTTCAACTACGTCGGGTCGGAACACTCTGGAATGGAGAGCCGGTTTGGAATGTAGAAAACGGAGATGTGACGTTATCTCAGGTTGTTTTTTTTTGTTCAGGATTTCTTTTTTGATGCGTTTAAAAGTCACAGTGATTTCACTCGGCAGTGAATAAAACAAGAGATACAAGGAAACCCTTTCATTAGAAGTCTGTTTTTTTCTTTCTCTCTCTCTCCCACAAGTGTTGATAAAGTTTGGAGAGCTCCACGAACATAAAGACGCTCCGGAGACAAATGGTGGAAATCAACCTTGAAGTGAATGTTTTTTCCTTTGCTTTCAAATTCCTCCAACTCGGCGCGTTGAATAAATCGTTTTTAAAAAGGGCCGCCGATTCCAGAGTGTTCGCGCCGCACCGCATCGCCTACTCCTAATTGTGGCCCACAGTAATGAACAATATGTTATCTACGGTCGAGAGTCTGCATAGCACACTGTACACAGTAGGAGTCCAAGTCAGTAATTGGGCCAAGCTAAAGATGATGCTCACTTCCAAAGCCGCCGCAGCCAGCCAAAAGTTAAAGAACGTTCTCAAAGAGGTGCATTGATCTCATGATGTTTTCATCCTGCGAGGGAGAAAAAAAAAAAAGAGAAGAAACAATGTGATGAATAAGTGATTGATGCCAACAGCAGTCAGAGCAGATGTGTGGAGGGGATCCAGCTTACATTTTGGCAACAATCGATGAACTCATCTATGGTTACCACTCCGTCTTTATTCTTATCCATCTTCTGTTGGAGAAAAGAGGAGATGAAAAGCTGATTCTAAAGCCTCACATACAGGACGGTCGGCGCTGGCGGCTGTTACACTTGCCTGAAAGAAAACTTCTACGTGCTGGCGAGGCGTCTCCTCCTTGAGGACGGGGTACGTGCATTTTCCCATCATGTCGTAGATGGCCTTCATTATGTCCAGCATTTCCTGTGGCGCAGAGAAAACGGTCTGTTGGTTTGGAAGTTTACAGCTTGTGTTCAAAGCGCATTCAAAGCACGTAGCAGCCGGAGTGGAGACCAGACAGAAATCAGCCGGAGTTAAAGACCCCCTCCTGTGATAATCAGCTTGTTTTACCTTGTTATCACGTCTATATGCCGTTTTTTATATAAGAGAAGTCACATCAGGAGCAAAAGTTCCACCTTGAAGATGCAGCGTAAAGTCTCAAAACACATTTTGAGTTTCATATATAACAAACCTAAACGACTGTCAGCTGCAGAGCGAATCTGTAGAATTAGTTTCCGGTTTGAACATGTACGACTGAATTACACCAATAACAAAACGTGCAATGGTGTCGTAGCTTCACAGTGTTCGAGCAGAGCTGAGTGTGAGCTGGTGTGCTGAGCTGCAGCGACAAGCAAGCATATTTATAAATCTGCACAATGTAGAGCTACATCCAACCGAAGGCCTTAAAATGAAAGCTGACAGAATGAGTGATGGTGATTTCAGTAACAGACTTGAGAATTCAAAGGCGTCTCCCCTTTGTTTTTTCACTAGACAGCTGTGAATTACCGTAATTTCCAGACTATTGAGCGCACCTGAATATAAGCCACACCCACTGACTTTAAAAAGAAAACAATATGTGTACATCTACAGGCCGCACTCGTCTATAAGCCGCAGGTGTCCACGTTGTAACATGAGACATTTAAAAACTTTTAATTAAATACGTATCGTAAATGCTTTATTCTGAACAGTGCCTGTAACACGGCCGGATAAATAAATAGAAACTACAGCAGCCTACAAGGAAAAGTCATTGATCACTATCTTCATCTTCCTCCTGTGCACTAAAACCACTAAAGTTCTTCAGTGTCGAACAGCCTCAGAATTACTTCGTCACTTCCTCAGTCTCTCTTTCGTTGTTGCTCTCAACGTCACTTATGTCTCGAGGCAAATTCATAAAACTCGTAAAAATCTATAAATTAGCCGCATCATTGTTAGTGTTCAGAGTGTGTGAAAAAAGTAGCAGCTTATAGTCTGGAATTTACGGTAAAGTAAAAAAACAAGCCAGTCATGTTACAAACTCCACCAGAGCCAACACCAGTCAGAGTCCAGTGTTGTTTCCCCAATTTAATTTAGTCAATTATGTATTGGAAAACTTGCAATTGTCAACTGTGTTACTGACAGTGTTACTTACCTCTTTAGTGATATATCCATCTTTATTGATATCATACAGGTTGAAAGCCCAGTTGAGTTTCTCCTGGATGGTCCCTCGCAGCAGGATGGAGAGGCCCATCACAAAATCCTGCAACAACATTTGCTGACAGTTACACACACAAAAAAATAGTTTCTCTACAAAACAAGACCCATTAAAACAGACGTTAGGAATTTGACACGTCAACATTCCTGCCTGCGTGCTCCGCCGTGTCAGCCGTTAATTAGAGGCAAATGATGAAACAGCTCGAGCGCGGACGCTATAAATCAAAAATCCCTCATTATTCAAATTATTAGCCGACTCATATTTCGTGCGGGCCCTCGGGGAATCCCCGTGCTTAACTTAAAACAGGATGGACCGCACATGACGACGGGCCTTTCTGTCCTAATAAGCAAATATGTGCTCTTCATGAATATTAATCGGATGCGTCTCAAGTAAACTCGGCGGGGCTAAATTAAAACGATCAGGGCTGCAGGTTATATAACGCTCTGACAGTGTGCAGCATCAGTGTTTTATATCATATGAGTGGTTACTTCATTTGAAATCTGAAGTTTGTGAACACAAGCTTACCTCAAAACTCACAGAGCCGTTGTGGTCTGTGTCGAACGCATTGAACAGGAAGTGTGCATATGTCGAAGCATCTATGAAGAGGAGGAGGAAAAAAAAACAAGTGATGATTACAGCTCAGATACTGCAAACAAGAAAAGGGATTAAAGCACAGCTTTCGCTCCACTTCAAAGAAAACAGCCTGACAATGAGACAACAATACGCTCAGAGCTCAGGGTTTTATCATTGTTTCTGGTGCGGGGTGCCATTATATTTACTGGCCTGCCTTTCTCCTCTCTCAACAGATATATCAAAGCCTCCTAATGTTTTCTCTCTTCTTCCTCGGGTAGAATCTTTGCATAATGATGAGGGCCGACAGTGAGGAACTCAAGGCTGCATAAATACAAACTACTTTTCTCCCTCTGCTCCTCACCGTCGCTGCTTTTTCTCAGATGGAAGGTTAATATGAAGTGGTCTGGATTTCTTTTCTTTTTTTTTTATATAAACACAAGACATTTCCTGTCAGTCCAGCACACAGACGAGATAAGAAACAGAAGCTGGGGAGACAGAGCAGCGGGCACAGACCTCCTTGCGGGAAGAACTGTGAGTAGATGTCTTTAAAAGTTTCCTCGTTGACGACTCCGCTGGGGCATTCCTGCAAGACAAAATGTAATTGCGTCGGTTATTCATCGTCTGTGTTTAAAGGCTCCACTCCAACAATAAAGACGTTTAAGTCGTGCCAGTCGAGTGCGGCGGAAACTTGAAACTGCCGGTAAACAAACAAAGTTCAGTGGAAAGCTGCGTTTAGAACGGAAACGGATTAATTTCTTTCATGGAATTGGACGCGTCCACTGGGATGAATGATACATGATGATGGATGAATTAACCCTCCTATGGCCGTGCAAACATCGGCTGCATCTGATTGGACAACGCTCCACCTGGAAGCTCCCTCAGAAACCTTCTCACAAAAAACACATACGAGGCAAGAAACCCGTCTTCATTTTTTGATTAACAACGGTTACTTTTTGCAAAAGTTTCGTAAGGCGTCGGATCACGTGTGATGCTTCTCGTTTGGGTAAAAACCTCGACTTCATGCAAACAAGGAGCAGGTAACACGATGTGTTGTCTCTTAAAATGCAACACAATGCTAACAAAATGCATCGCATGACGTCTCACATGGGAGACTGATCCTGTGGACACGTTGTAGAAGCCAATAATTTAATAACAGCCGATAACGTAATAAATTTGCACTCTTTAAAATGTGATAGGCCAAAAATGTAATAAAAGTTCTGAACAATAACTTAATAACGTAAAAAGCTACTACGTTATTGGCCAAAAGTTATTATGTTATCGTTTCAGGACTTTTATTACGTTGCTGGCCAAAAGTTTTTACATTATTGGTTCAGAACTTTTGTGACGTTATTGGCCAAACGTTATTATGTCATCGTTTCAGGGCTTTAATTACCTTATTGGCCAAAAGTTCTTATATTATCGTTTCAGAACTTTTATTACCTTATTGGCAAAAAGTTATCATGTTATTGTTTCAGGACTTTTCTTACGCTATTGGCTTGTTACATTTTAAAAAGGGCAAATTTATTACATTATCAGCCGTTATTACGTTATTGGCTTCTACACATGTACCATCCTACAGTAGCCACAACCTAAACTGAACCCTGCTTTAGTCTGTTTTACTCTAAACGTGACCATAATTTACAAAACGAGCATCATGTTGTGTTGAAGAAAGACTTAAAACTAGTGAATGGGACCATAAACCTGTTCGAATAATGTTTAATGAGTTAATGTCTCATTGACTTCTACACAGTCAGAAGTATCCAGTGGAGTCGCCCCCTGCTGGCCATTTGAGGCAATTTCTTATCGGCTTCACTTTCCAAACCTGGAGGTAAATAAACAAACTCGAGTGAAAAGTCAATTTTCAGTAGAAACACGTATTTAGAGAGANAAAAAAAAAAAAAAAAAAAAAAAAAAAATTCTTACAAATGTAATAACCAGCCAATAATGTAAAAAGCTTTTACGTATAAGTTTTACGTAAAAGTAAAAAGTTTTTACGTTATTGGCCAAAAGTTATTATGTTATCGTTTCAGGACTTTTATTACGTCACTGGCCAAAAGTTTTTACGTTATTGGTTCAGGACTTTTATGACGTTATTGGCCAAACGTTATTACGTCATCGTTCCAGGGTTTTTAGTACCTTATTGGCAAAAAGTTATCATGTTATTGTTTCAGAACTTTTCTTACGCTACTGGCTAATTTATTACATTATCAGCCGTTATTACATTATCGGCTTCTCCACACGTACCATCCTACAGTAGCCACAACCTAAACTGAAGCCTGCTTTAGTCTGTTTTACTCTAAACATGACCATAATTTACAAAATCAGCATCATGTTGTGTTTCAGAAAGACTTAAAACTAGCGAATGGGACCATAAACCTGTTTGAATAATGTTTATTGAGGTAATGTCTCATTGACTTCTATACAGTCAGAAGCATCCAATGGAGTCGCCCCCTGCTGGCCATTTGATGCAATTTCTTATCGGCTTCACTTTCCAAACCTGGAGGTAAATAAACAAACTCGAGTGAAAAGTCAATTTTCAGTAGAAACACGTATTTAGAGAGAGAACATTCTCTTCTGTCAAGGATTCATTTTAGTAACCGTCGCCCTCGTGTATCAGCCAAAAACTCAGTTTGGCGGCATGGAAGCCGTCTAACCATCTGAGCCTAAATCGGTATCTTGTCCACAGCTATTCAAGGTCACCCACCTGTGGTTGTCTGGTAGCATTCAGTGGGAAAGACTGAACGCTCTTACATAACACCTCCGACAAAGACCCTTTTGTCTCCTTTCAAAGAAGCAAAGACGTGGTGGATGACCTTCCTCGGAGCCGCGTGGTGATAAATGCGAGCGGTTTCGCAGGTTCACTTTCACTCTCTCGCTGCGAGGCTTCACACTCTGGCAGGATATTGAATTTAGAAACCGAGCAAATGCTCCACCTGCACGGGCGATTTCCAGAGCAGGAGCCGCACGTTTCCTTTGGTTTGCTATATAAGAAAACTGCCACCGTGGAGGAAATAAAAGATAGCGGGTACAATGATACGAACACGTCTGATAGGAAAACAGGAGGAAATATTGAAGATGAGATATCAACGTATTCCGCAGCGGCACGTAAAAATTAAAAGTTTAAAGCGAACTTGTCGAAGAAACGCAAAGTGTGGAGATTTTTGCTGCTGCCAGACTTTTGCTTCTCCGGGATAATGGGGCGTCAGAGAGACAAAGTGTTCTCTCAGTGTGAGGAACTTCACAGGGCACGCCGGCTCTCCTGCTTCCCGTGACCACGTCTGATCAGTCACTGAGGGAAACGGAGCAGTGGGAGCGAGAAAATAAAGATGAAACCTTGTTGTCTTGCTTCAAACGGGGCTGCTTGTGTTTCAAACTGAAAGGATGCTGCAAGGTTGTCTGCACAGGTCCCCTGACGCTCTCCCTCTTTGTCTCACAGACCCAGTTGCATATCTTGTAAAGGGAGGTGAGACAGACTTTTGGTGGGAGTTGAGGGGATAGAACGAGCACAAGTGTGTCTCTGGTATTGTTGTTTGTCAGCCTGTGACCTGATTAATGAAGCCTGAGAGCCACTGATTGGTCCGGCGTACTGAATAGACGGTTTTGGTCAGAGATGGTGGAAACTGTTCAAGCTTTTGATCTCAAGTTTTGTGGAAAAATTGCAGGTGCAAACTAATTCCATTTATTCACTGTCATGTCAGCAGTTAGATGAGAAGTTTGTCACTCCTCTCGCGTCCAGACGGCAAACACAAAGCATCGTGATGCCAGGAAACAGTTAGCCTAGCCTAGCTGTAAGACTGGAGGCAGAAGAAAGCAGGCAGTCTGGCTCTTCAGTGCACATCAAGACTAATTTCGGCCCAATGTAGCTTTGAACTGAATGATAAAACTGTCAGAATTGTAAAATGATTCGGGATTTTCTCTTCTAAATTTATGACGTGAGGATGCTAACATTTGTCGATGAGCGGTGACAATCGATCGCAATTTGTTCTTTCAAGAAACGCTGTTCAAAACGCTTTACAGAGAGCTGATGAGTCGGACAGAGCAAAGAGAAAAGTAAAATAAAGCAAGATTTAAAAAGGAATGCATTAAAAAAATTAAAAGACAAAACTTAAAAATGAAATAATAAAAACTAAATGCAGTTAGATTAAAATTAAAGCATAAAAAATACTAAAATGATTAAAAAGTAGACAGATTTGGTTAAAAAAAAGCAAATAAAACAGTAAAATAATATAAAAAAGTAGATTCAATAAGAATAAAAAACAAAGTATGAAAACACAGTTAAAATAGTACAAACTAAATACGTGATTAAAAACAAAACAAAAAAAATACAGTAAAATAATTTTTAAAAATCGCTAAAATTTGACTAATAAACAAACCACAAAATACAGTAAAATAATCAAAAAATATGTAATAAAAACAAAATGAAATACAGTAAAATAATTTTTAAAATGTAATTAAAAACAAAACTAAAAGCAGTAAAATAATTTACAAATTTGATCAAATCTGACTAAGAAACAAAGCAGAAAATACAGTAAAATAAAATAAAAACATCATTAAAACAAAACTGAAAAAAAGTAAAATAATAATAATAAAAAAATAGATACAATTACACAAAGTAGCAAAGGAAGAAAACACCACCAAGTAATAAAAAATGGATTAAAAAGACAGACACAGAATAAAATATTATAAAATTCAACAACAGAAAAACAAAATGAATCACCTC